GTAGCGCGTTATCTCCCAGAGATAACGCGCACCTCCTACCATATCTGGAGGGAGCAATCGCACCGGCGCTTAGATGCTACTTTTCGGTCATGTCGGAGATACGCTGTTCCTCTACGCTTCGACGGTATTTTACCATGAAATTCTAGCCACTGATATGATTTCAGGACATCTTGTGCTCTTTCAGAGTTAATTAGCAATTTTAAATACATTTTGGGTCGATTTTGTGTGCTATGGCCCCAAACTACACAACAGAGGGGAGATGTGATCAAGAACGGCTGATTTGCCAATAGGACGCGTCCAAAAATTCCCCGAAATCGTGGGGGACATCGAAGACCTCACATGATCACCTATAACACTTTTTTAGGAAGGAAACTGCCATACAGAGCTGTGATAACCCGTAAAAGTGCGAAGCAGGGAGTCCAGTTCGTAGGCTCGATCTAAGCGCCAGTACGATTGCTCCCTCCAGATATGGTAGGAGGTGCGCGTTATCTCTGGGAGATAACGCGCTACGGCGCCTCCCAGCTACGCGCGCCTCCCAGCTCCGTCAACTTTGAGCGGCCCTAATGCCAGACAGTATGTAGCGTTCAGTCCATGCACACGCGAGATGAGGGAACGATGGCAACAGCAAAAAACACAGGCCCTTAACAGGCCCGGCAGACAAATACTATGCAAGGACCAATATGCAAATGGTAGTACCGCAGCGCCGCTCACGCCGCCAATGACGCTGGCGTGTTCACCGCCTGCATCTCCACCGCATCCGCGTCCTTCTTGTCCTCCTCGTCCCCCGTGGTCACGACACTCGCGCGCGCCTCCTCCAGGCGCACCGGCTCCGCATCCGGCGCCGCCTGCTGCAGCCCGAACTTCTCGTCCGTGTACGTCTGCATCGGCACCTCGCGCAGCAGGAACGACGCGAGGAAGCCCGCGCCCGACAGGCCCGCGAGCACCTTCCAGATCGTCGCCATGCTCTGCGCGAACGCCGCGCGCACCTCGCTCCGCAGCGGCTCCTCGAGCGATGGAATTTGCGGGATCACGGCGTACGCGATCTCGACGCCGGACGGGAAGTCCTGCACGAACGCGGCGGGGAGGTTGCGCTTCAGCTCGTTTTGGAGGATTGTGGCGGAGATCGTGACGCCCCATGTCTGAATGCGAGGGTGAGTATTTCGAACGCGATAACGGCACATGGTAGTGCATACCTGAGCAAAGGTGCGGATGAAGTTGTAGAACGCGAGCGCTGGCGCAGCGCGAGTCACCGGCAGGGGCGCGAGGATAGGGAAGATCGTGCTAGCCCACTGCACACATTGTTAGCCAACCGCGATCTCAGGATGTCCCCAAAAGAGGCTTACGATCGTGCCAGACCCTGCCGCCTGGAGCGCCTGATAGCCTGCCCACTCGCCCGCGCTCGAGTCTGCGGTGAGTGTCGTGAGCAGGCCGAACCCGACGATGGCGAGCGTCCAGCCAACCCAGTTCGCGGGCCGGTACTTGTTCGTCTTCTTGATCATGATCCCGCTGAACAGCGAGAAGCTCGAGGAGACGATCGCCGTTGGCAGGATCTTGACACTTGACCCGATCGGGCTCGAGAGCAGGCATGCCTGGAAGTATACCGGGAAGTAGTCTGCGCACATACGAGGTCAGCTGTAAGCTGAGGGCGGTATAGCGGCGGGGCGAGAACGTACAGATAGCGGCAACGCTGACGATGCCGTGGAAGAAAGTTTCAATATATCTATAACGCGCATCGCGAGTCAGCTGTTTCCGATAGCGTCTCCAAGGTCATTGCACTAACCCGCCGAGGCTCGTCCGGTTCTTGATGACATCGAGCGGAAGCGTCGGCTCGCGCGGGACGAACGTCTCGTACAGGAAAAACGAGACGATGAGCGCGCCCCCAAGAATGAGCGGCGTCAGGACGTGCACGCTGATCCACGGGTATGTGATGCCGCCCCACGTCAGCGCAATGAGCGCGAGTGTGGTCCCGGCGACAATAATAGCGTTTCCACTGCGCAGAGCCGTTATTGAGTCAGCGGTGAACTTTGACTGCGAAGTGCAGATAGCGCGGGGGAAACACTCACACCCAGTCCACGCGGGCGAGCTTCGACCTGAGCGACCCTTCAGGCGTGCGCACCCGGAGGAAGATAGCAACTAAGATGAATGCAATGCCTGCAAGGGGCAGATTGATGTCTATGGTTGAAGTGAGCTCATGAGGGTCGCTGGAGAAAAGAAGTTGAGCGGCGTACAGAAGAGCCATCGCCATGATGCTTTCTGGGCCAATGAACCTCCCTGTGAACTTGATGTCAGCGCATTTGGTATAGTGGATTCGGCGAAACAGAGAGCGGCGGAGGGAGCAGCGGGCGCGGAGCCAGTCAGAGTTCATGTTCCACGAGGTTACCTATTGCAATTAGCAGCAGGTGGGATAGAGCGCAGCTGCGCGTCATGAGGGGTTGCCACACATCACAGCGGACTGTCCGCCCATCGTGAGGGGTGAATTCTAAAAACCACCGGCAGGGCACGCATCACATCTTGTTGCAAGGTAAAGACGAGGTTGAGAGCGCCAGAGCCAAGACCACACCCACAAGCGAGAGCTAGAATTAGACTCGAAGAGATCCGCGCCGGAGGGATAGTCGTTGTGTGGCTTCGGAGGATTGAAGCAATCCATCATCTTCCGCGGACTCAAGCACCGCATACTATGCCTCCTCTCGCTTCAACCTGATCGGAGGAAGCGGTACTCACAACGATGGGACCAATGGCTGCCGCGAAGGCCCAAGCCAGCACAACGATGCCCTGATACGCCCCTCGCTCTACGAGCGGGACGAGGTCGGACACGATGATAGAAGACATGTTGATAATTCCGCCGCCGCCGACACCCTGGATGGCTGAAAGACGCCCTGTTAAGTAACCATGGCTTGATCGGTAAAAGGCTAACTCACTTCGCGCCGCGATGAGCATGTTCATGTTCTGCGCCGACCCGCAGAGCGCACTGCCAACGAAGAAGAACGCGACCGAGATCATCATGACTGGCCTGCGCCCAAACACGTCCGCCAACCGCCCACAGAAGGGCAACATTGCCGTGCTTGCGAGCCCGTACGCCGCACCCACCCAGACGAAGTCGTTGTCGCCGCCGAGGTCATGAGTGATCGTAGGCAGCGTCGTGGAGACAGCAGTGACATCGAGCGCACTGAGGATGTTGCAGACGACAATAGCCAGGAAAGAGAGCCAGAATGCAGAACCTTTCGGTATTGAGGTCGGTTTAGGCGGTGTCGGGGTCGAGGAGGTCGTGGAAGGAGAGTCGGGCATAGCGATGTGAGCCTCAGAGGCGGGGGATGACGGAGACCGCGCCATTGAGGCCACGGGGAGAAAGGTCAAGGGAGAGCAGGGCGGCGGAAAGACAAAGTTGCGAATGTGCGCCTCTGCATGCTACGGGAGAATATAGTGCGGGATCCGGCCAGTGCGCGCACATGCAAGCCGCCCATCTGCTTCTCCTGATGTCCCGACTAAACTCTATCCACCCTCCGGAACAGGGCCTCAATTGCGAAGGCAACCGACATGTTGCGGGCGCATCTGTGCCCTCTAGAAGTGAGCGCGAGCCTCCAGTAGAGAACGGTGCCTCGCGGGAACCGTGCGTGAATTTGGAGCTTGCGCAGTACTTGGGCCGGCGTCTTGTCAATGTCGTTGCGGCATCCTGCGAGAGACTCCCCGGCATGGCCATTGCATCCGACGTCCGTAACCCAGGATCATGCCGAGGCACGTCGGAGATTTTGGTTCTTCCCAGCCTCAGCTGATGATGTTGCAAACGCCCGAATCACAGCCAAGTCGGTCTGTTCGGCCTGCCCTGCCTGGGCATCGGCCTCGGACCAGGACGCCATTGGATGTCACTGAGTGCGCCCTAAAGACCAAAGTCATCTCGTGTTTTCGAATTCGGGTAGAACAAGAGGAATGTTGTGCCGTGAGCACTGGCAGACAACGAGGACAGCGAGGACTCGGACAGCGCCAGTGGCGGCGAAAAGCAGGTGGCAAAGTGCATTGCGTGGGAGCGCGATCAGAACAAGCTTCTCCGAGACAGGATCTCCGATCAAATGCAATCGAGATTTGCGTCCGCGCATCGCCCGATATGGAAAGATCGGACTGTTTGGCGCCAAGCGGCTTCTTGCTCGACGACAACGACAACAACGACGACAACGACCACGACGACCACTCGGACGGCCGTGTGCTGGCCAGCCCTGGCGTTCAACTTCCTCGACTGTCTCTCACGCCGACGTTCTCAAAGCCAACGAACACCCTATTCTCTGCCACACTCGCGGCTTCGCGTAAGATGGAGGACCGACTCAATCCCTCATGACTCTCTTGACTGGTCTTCTACTCTTCGACGATCGCAGCTACACCGTCTCTCTCTTTGCCTAAACCTGATGGGGCGCATGCAAGGACAGTGAAGAACGAACAGCCAATCCAATCATTAGCCCTCATCGATGCAATCCCCGCTGTGCCGATGATGACTTGCTGCGATCTGAGACCCGACCGCACTTCGGCACATGTTCGCGGTGCGCGGCCAATGAATTCCAATCATTCAAACTTATTCCACGCTGACTTCAGATGCCGAGCCTGGGCTCTCGTGCCTCAGCTGCTGTGCTGGGCAAAATGAAGAGTGCGCACTGGCTTGATGCTCGCGCGCGGGCTATGTCGCGCACAGAGAAGGTGAGTGCGCACGCCATCTCAAGCTATCGAACGCTGTCGATGTCCGGTGTTAGTGGGGGCATGGACGTAGCGTCGTTAATCTCCGCATACGGACCAGCGCATTCACATCGCCTTGCAAAGACCCTCGCTGCGCTGGAAGAGAAGCTGTCAAATACGAATCCGCCAGAAGCTACCTCATCACCCACCTCCATAAGCTCCGGTCAAAAATCCATCTTCCCTCCACCCTGTCGTATCAACCTGGCACGCAGGCAGTACAGCGCTCTGCTGCGTATAAACCCCTCGAGATTTTCCTCATCACGGGACATAATGTCCGAGGCGCAGACCACAACAGACGCACTCCTGCACCGCCGATTGCGATACGGAACGCCGCCGCGCATCCCCGCATCGTTGCGAAGAAACTCCGATCCCACGTCAGTTTGGGAAAGGTCTCCGTACGGTATTGCGAAATGCAGCGTTCGGCGGCGGCCCCTTCTCACGCGAACGGGACGGACCACGCGTTCTCGGGCTGTCGGTGGCGTCCCTGTCATCTCCAAGGTGTGTCAGTCTCCGCCGGAGAGCGCTATCGCCGCACATGTAGTTCACCGTCCAGCCCGGCGCGATTTCTGCTTCACGACGTCCCTGAGAACGTCATTTGTCCTCCGTATTTTGACACGCTTCCGGCCGCTGCGAGCAGTGCGCGCGGAGGATAGCGGATCCGTTGGGAGGCAAACCATGGGTCGCGACAACGTTGCTCAATACGTACGTGTGTAAAGCTCTGCGCCCGTAGCGTAAGGATACGTCACAAACTGAACGACGTGCCCGCGTAGGTCGAGGCGCAGCATCGTATGTTTCGGCAAAAGGAATGGGGAGAGGTTCCCATTGGGCGGTGAGCCCATCCGAGCGCCTCAAAGCTGATGTGGCGTTACTGCAGAGCAACGTGTTCAGGGCAAGCGGGCGCACGTCTCTGACGTCGCAAACATGTCGGGTGGTGACAACGCGCCCGCGTATTTGCAAGCAGCTGGACAGACGGCGCGCACCGTTTGGTGCAACGCATATGCTGCGCATTCCGTTTAACGGTCCTCTGCAGTAAACCAACCGGCTGTCGGCCTGCTATATCACACACCACGCCGGCCGGGCTACTACAGCGCGACAAACTTATCGGCGGGAGGTATTATTGTCTGTGGGGCGATGGGCCGGAGGCAAAGTGGGGTTTACCCGCCGTTAACCATCGCGGATGCACAGGGTTATCGTGCGCTCACACGGCACTGATTCCATCATGATCAGATGCAGGGACCGACGCGCGTCGAAGATCTACCGTGCCCCGATTGTGGTTTCGAGCAATATGCCCGTACGTGAATCTCGTCCGTCGCGACCGGGGGCGTCTTGCATCCTGAGACGTGCAAAACGCCACTGCAACCACTTGCAAACACTATAACGCTGTACGTGCGTATCATCGGCCTCAGCTGCGTCGGTGAGCTTCCTGTCGGTGCCGTGTATCTGCGTAACGGGCGGCGATTTGTATGACATACCGTTCGAAGAGCTGCCCTCCCACCCCGTGGCCGAGCCGGAGGGCCGAGCGCCAAGCGGACATGAATCCGGCAGTGATGGCAGTAGGCAATGCAGCAGCGCCCTCCACCAGGGACCCGGATCCGTACCTTCTGCGATTCCGAGACGCCTGCCCTGGGGCCCTGGCGCTCAATTGGGAGCACGGGAGAGTTGCGTGGGGGCATGGACGTGATGGTGATGAACCTTGTCTCGCCCTCCCCGCCCGGGCTTTAAGATACGCGACGCCCACAGCGTCCGCCCGCTTGCTCCCTCCGCCCGGGCGACTGCTGCTTTCCTGCTTCTTGGATCTCGCTCGTCACCCCTCCCCGCGCCGCCGCCGCCTGCTTTTCTTCTTCTCCGCGCCGCGACGCCCACGCCCCCTGCTCGCCGCTCTTTGCACGCTCCCGTATACGACCACCTGCTTCCTAATACGCCATGGCGGCAAACGCGTCTTCGAGTGCTATCCCTACGGCGGCGCTGCCGTTTAACATGTCTGATCCCGAAGCGGTACTGGAGGCGTACACGCTCCTCGCCGCCGCAGTGCGCTCGCAGCTGCCCCCGCTCCAAGACACATTCGGCGCGTACCTGATCTGCACCTGCATAGGATGCATGTAAGTGGTCCTCGAACCCCGCGCGCAGCTTCGCGCGGGGTATGTCGGCCAAGGCAGAGTGTGCTGACTCCTCGCGCGGTGTATTTGCAGGCTGTTTGGCTTGACCACGCACCAGACGTACCGGTATTACAGGCTGTACCCAACAGATGCTGTGAGCTTGAAGACCTTGGTGAGTGCGGCGCTAAAGAGGCCTTCGCCGATCGGACGGACTCGCTGACCGGTATGTGTATTTTAGGTTGCGAGTCTATTGTGAGCATGCGTTATGCGTGTCTGCTCATGCGCGGCGTTGCATTCTGACCGTCAACGCTTTAGAGCGCTCGACATCCTACACACGATTACGTCTATACACGTCTGGTGAGCTCCCTTGCGGTAGCCGCGCTCGACCCTCGATTGCTAACCGAAACACCCCCAGCTATCACTATCTGGTGACCAACTACTTCAACCCGCTAAGCATGGGTACCGGTGTCTGGTGAGCCCCCATCGTGCGGATGCACCCGAAATCAATGCTGATGAGTTTCTCGCAGGTCAATACGAGTACGTTGTCTGGTTGCTCAAGAGTGATGTTTAATGACGATGAGCATTGCAGCTGGGTATCATGGAAACTGTAAGCCGTTCCCGCCGTTTGGTTGATTTCCTGTCTGACACCATCCTCAGGGCATGGTCATTCTCGTCGCACATTGGCAAGTCACCCCACTCTGGGCTTTCATGGCCGGATAATTAACCCTCGCACAGTTTCTACGCACGTCGACTATTTTTGCGTGAGTTTATAGTCGCAACTTTCGCTCTCCACGTTCTGTGTAACCTTAACGCCGCCTCCGCAACCCCAGTCGGCAATGGGCATCTGTTCCCAGTATCTGTCATTGTGCGTCTGCGCCGTCCACAGAAGCCTACTTGCACCGCTGACGTCGATCCTGATAGGGATTGCTTTTACTTGCCGAAGTCGGTGAGTACGCGCGCGTCGGGGATCCACGCTCGGTGACATCCGCTGATGGCGTATTCCACGAACCACAGGCTTCTCTTTAGGTACGCAACCTTAATTGTCCATTCCACTGCCAAAAACGACGCTGACGAGGATTCGCTTCCGTGTGCAGCCGCAACCATCGAGTCGTACGTCTGCTTCCCTGCTTCGAGCCAGGGACGCGCGCTTACTGTATATCCAGCTTCGTCCAGGTGTCATTCGATAAGTTCTTCAAGTACCAGGTACGGCACCACTTACGGGTCTCAAGCGCATGCCAATGAAATAACACTCTTGCAAACAGTGGCTTATCTGGGTAGTACTCGCTGTGGCGCTTCTCGTCGACCTCGTCGCGACCAGCATCCTCACGTTCTACCTACGAAGAAGTCGCACTGGCTTCAAGAGGTCCGTATCACTCTATTTTTGCCGCTTGCGTACACGCGTCGTATTCTTGGCTCACGCTGCGAACACCGCGCAGGACTGACTCGATGGTCGATGTGCTGATGGTGTACGGTATCAACACTGGTATGTGATACATTGATATCACCCACTAGGCGGCCACACTAATCCGCTATCCCTCCACCTCAGGGCTATCAACGAGGTACTATAACAAACTTGTCACTAGCTCGGGCATGACGGCGATACTGACTGGGTCTACTCTATCCCCGTCGTAGTGTGCTCACCCTCGCAGCTCTGATCTGCGTGAGTGGTGGCGTTTTCTGAGCATTCCATCAGTGGGCGCGGCCTGCCGGCCCGAGACTAACTCGTCCTCCGCAGTCCATCGCCGCCTCGCACACCCTCATCTGGGCCGCGATCACGGTACCAGCGACTAAGAGTGCGTGCATACATGTTTCGTCGAGATCCGTACACTGACGGAGTGTTACAGTGTACGCCAACTCCCTGCTCGCCGTGTAAGGTTCCGTGCTCTTCTCCCCGGAACTCCATGACTAACCCCGCGTGTAGCCTGAACTCTCGACGCTCCCTCATCGACAAGGGCCTGGAGGGCTTCGAGACGGGCTCGTTCGGCCTGAAGGTCATCGACCCGCGCGCAATCGACCGTGCATCGCACGCGCTCGAGTTTGGACCCGCGTCGCCGCGCCTCAACGGGCGGCAGAAGGTGCGTGCCCCGGACAGCCGCAGCGCTACGCCGCGCGCCTCATCTTCCCGCTCCCGTGGCACCATCCTGCCATAGGTAAACCCGACGCAGACGCTGCAGACCGTCATCGACGTCAAGGTCACGCGCGAGACGTACCTGGACGGCCCAGGGGAGGCGGAGGCCGCGCGCGCGGATTCTGCGCTCGAGTACGGCTCGGAACGCGGGATGCGGCACCATGGCTGGGACGAGTAGTTGCTGCTTTTCCGTCTGCCACTCGTACCGCGTCCCTGTAGTCTGAGCCCGCCACCGCCCTTCCTCCATCCGCTGACGCCTGTCCCGGGTTTGGTCCTCCCTCACCCCTCCCATTCCTCCCATTCCTCTTCTTCCCACCACCGACTCTCCACCCCGGGTTTCCCCCGCCGACGCGGGTCGTGGCTGCGTATTACTACATGTTCTACTGGTGTTTGTGTTGGCGTATTATTATGTAACTTCCTCGCTCGTTCAGATGTACCACTGTATCAGCTGTAGCTCTTTTAGCAGACAGATTGGACTCCCTGGCTTGTTGCCGCGACAAGGTAGGTGGATCCGAGTTCGGTCTGGGGTCCCGCCTGCACTAGCTTTATTTCTCTCGGGGTTGCACTTTCCCAAACTTGCTCTACTAGAGCACGATTGCCATTGCAGGGTAATGTATGATCTTGCATGATCCTAGTGACCATAGCACGAGCTCGCCGAGTTGGCTCACTGCATTTTCTTGGATGTGCGAACACCGCCACCGCCACCAATCATCGAGGGGTCGATCGCGATTCGCGAGCAGTCAACCTAAGAGGAGACACACTGTACATATGTATATACAACGGACTCAGCGAAGGACGAATCGTCCTCCATCCTTCTCGATGTGCATACCAAACGCCCTGCACATTGCTCCGATGCGCGCGCGGAGGTTTGATAAGCCTTCACAATAGCCATAGACGCTGCCACTTTAGCTATTCTGGAACCAGAGCGCTGAGCGCAGTCTGATTGGGACCTGGCCCATCTTCCCACTCTGCCAGTATCACGCCAGCGGGATCCGGCCCACTCTCCTCACCCGGTCCCCCGTCGTAACACAAGACAGCGTACAGGCCGCCCAAGTCCGACTTCTCGACATCACAGTACACTTGCCTCTACGTCACAACGAACAGTAGCAGCTGCAAGACCGTCATGGCGTACCGCACGACAACCGTCAGCCCCCTGCTCCCCTCGCGCCGTGTGCAGGGCGGGCTCCGCTTCGTGGCCAAGTGCTACAGCCCCGAGAAAGGCAACCCGGACGGAGTAACCGCCCTCTTCTTCCACTGCGCCGGCTCCCGTGAGTCTATCCTCTGCACCGCATGTTGTCGTTTGTGGGTGCACGCTCATCGTGAATCGCGCCCGCACCGCAGACAAGGAAGCGTGGGAGCCGACGATCCAGTATCTGTTCTTGCAGAAGGATCCTGGCACGGGAAAACCCCTGCTCCGCGAGGCGTGGGCGTTTGATATGCAGAGCCACGGTGAGGCGTCGTCGCTGAACGCAGCCCAGCTCAAGAAGCTGTCAGTTGGTCTCCGTGAGTGCCCTCGGCCCGCGCTCAGCGTACATGAGGCTGTATTGACGTCATTGTCTTGCAGCCGTGGATGAGTATGCCGATGGCCTGAAGGCTTTCGCTATCACAGGCGCTCTGGCAGGTCATAGACTCGTCGGAGTTGGCCATTCTCTTGGGACATCTGCAGTGTAGGCCCCTATGTCCAGCGCTCAGGGTCCAGCGCTGATGGCGCTCGGTTTGGCAGGATCCTCTCGACCATGGCGGATGAGGTGCCGAGTGTGCGCTACGAGGCGATCATCCTCATCGAGCCTGCGTTGATCACGAGGGAGGTGTATAACGCGAACCTGGAAGAACGCGAGGGCGCGCTGAAGGCGATGAACAAGGCTATCTCGAAGCGGCGCGATACCTGGAACACCAAAGAGGAAGCGCGGGCGTACTTCGAGGAGCGCTTCCCTTGGATGATGTGGGACCTGCGCGTGCGGGACCTCTTCGTGGTGCGCAAGCACTGCTCGATACATGTAGCGACGTCACATCTGACATTCCTCTTATCTCCAGCGCTATGGTCTGCGGCAGGTGTCCATCCCCGACGCCAGCGGGAAGCCTGTCGCAAAGGTCACGCTCGCGTGCAGCTCGGACCATGAGCGCTGTGCATACTCCCAGGACGAGGTGTACTACACTGTCGTCGACCGCATCCAGTCGCTCGACCCTGCCGTCCCCATCCACTACATCCTCGGCGAACGGGCCGACCTCATGTGCGTGCCTTCCCCGCACTGCCCCCGCTGCCCATGCTAACCACAGCGCCCGCGACGCCACGCCGCCCCAGCCCGGAGTACATCCCGCAGTCCGTGATGGGCGTGCGCACGCCAGCTTCCGTGCAGAAGGTCCCGGATGCCGGTCATTTTGTGTGTTTCCCCTTCCTTTGTTCTTTTTCTGAGGTGCGGTGCTGACTCGTGGGCGGCGTGGCGTGACAGGTGCTGCAGGAGAACCCCGAGGGGCTCGGACAAGCGATTGCGCAGGTTATCACTGGCTTGCCGGCGGTCCCCGTACGTGCACACTTGTAGGATCGGCCCGATCGAACGTAGTATGAGTGCCTGTGGGTCCCCGTCGCAGCTGTGCTTGATCGCCGGCGTCTACCTCAGGTAGGGTTCGTAGACGTGTATTATCTGTCGGCCAGGGGAATGAGTAGGATTATTTATGTCTGGATGTACAGTGTACAGGGTATGGTGATCATAAAGCGGTAGCGCCGTTAAAGCTCGCTGTAAAAGCTCGACGACGCAGAGGCAACTCCACTGTGCAGCAGCATCTCATGATCAATGCTTTCCTACATTCTGAACAAGTTAGCACTGAACTCAGAGGCACCGGGGACTGCTTTTATACAGTCCCGCCTGACATCGACATTGACGACGCGCAAATGCCACCGATGATGGGGGTGGTCATGCGAGCAGACCGTCGCCGTTTACTCCAGCGACATCGCGTCGCGCGCACAGAGCCAGCCAGGCGGGACGCCGACCAGGGCGGGGGATGATAAACTGTGCACTGCGCTAGCGGTGCTCGTGACAATGTGGATACGCAGACAACTACAAACATGGCTAAGAGTACTGGGCTGATTAGGTTACAAATACTAACGTACTCCGCTCCGCACGCCCTAGTCCGCAAACGACGCGCGCAATCCCACCGTGGTCCTGGTCTAGTAGTATGATACGGTCCGTCCGGAGTCTACTGCCTGGGTGCGCCCTCCGCCCTGGCACCGGCCGCCGAGTGGCTAGGCGCAGGACGGATCCGAGGCACACTCGGAAGAAGGGCGACTAGTCGCGCCTATACGGCCGTATGAGCATAGGCAGTTGTGGCCCCGCCTCGGGATCACTCAAGCGCATCGGACGCATGAGCATCGTTGGTGTCCGCCCGACGTCCTCCGCCGGTAGCCCGAGCTCCAACTCGAAAGCGCGCAGGAGCGTGAACACCGCCACTTTCGTCCTACAAAGTGCAAGCGCGTTAGTCCGGATTGATATGCTGAAAAGGAAGGAAAGAGGGGTGGCACATACTCATTGAGCGAAAAGCGGTAGCCGAGACATGCGTGTTGGCCGCCCATGAAGGTGAGGTTGTTCGCCCAGATGCCTGGGATGCTCGAGACGGCTTCTGGGAGGTTGTCCCAGCGTTCAGGCCTGTGTCGGCGTCGGCGTCAGCTGCTGCGCACGGTCAGTAAGAGGTGGCACGACGCACTTGAACTCGAACGAGTCCTCGCCCCACAGCGACTTGTCCCGGTTGATGGCAAGAATCGAGATCACTATTGGTGTGCCCTTCTCGATCCTGTTTCACTTGGTCAACCGACCCCGCGAAGATGAGGGAAAGAGGACAACGCACCATATCCGGTCCTGCGCCTGGCCGTTGATGTTCACTGGCTCGCTGAGAGGCAATGTTGTGTCCTCCGTCGCTACCCGCAGTGATGACGGGAGAACGGGGAATAGTCGGACGACTTCGCGTAGAACGCAGTCGAGATAGTGGAGTGACGAGAGCTCCTCCATGGTGGGGTGGTCGGTCGGAATAGAGAGGAGCTCGTCTCGGAGCTTCTCCTGGATATTAGGATACAGTGCTACATTGTAAAGGAACCAGGCGAGCGTGATCGCTGTTGTGTCGTGGCCGGCGACGAGGGCGCTGGTCCGAAGCACGTTAGTAGGGGGCATACATGTGGATAACGTCTTAATACATACGTTCTGCATTCTGCGGAGGGCGTCAGCGTGGGTTGCGGAGCATGGTATGCCCAGACGCACCATCAATTATCGTCTCATCGGATAAGCGTTGCCCCTCGGGCAAGCTGGAGCCCATGTTCGCCTCGACGAGGAGCGTGAGGAAGTCGCCTCTCCTGCGGCGGACTTGTTTGCCAATCTTGTTGTCCTCCATCTCGCGCTTCTTCTCGTCGATGCGTATGCTCGCGAATTCGCCCATGACCTTCCGAGCCTTGGCGAAGCGGCGCGACTGTTCCTCAGGCTGCATAAAATCTGTCAGGACCGCTGCACACGGGCAGACGCCGAAGTACGTACGAATATCCGCAAGATGGGAAAGAAGAAGCGAAGCATAGGCCATAGCGACATGCGGGTCACGGATTGTGCAACAAGCCGGAAGGCATCGCAAAGCTCGTTGGACCGTGCTTCTACATTCAGGGTGCCGATGTCGTAGCTGAAGGCTGCAAAAATCAGTCAGGATCGCAGGGGGCCGCAGACTAGCCTAGAGACTTGCCTGCTTCGCAAATGATGTCGAGCGACATCCTATGCAGCCACGAATAAAGGTCTACCTGGGCGACGCTGCCATGGATAGCCACTTCGAGGGACAGGATGTCGCGGAGCTACAACGTCATGTCGATTAGGACTGTGCTGACCCAAGTGATGTATTTATACACACCTGACACGCTTTCTGGAGAAAGAGGTCCGTGAATTCCCGGATTTGCATGGGGCCGAATGCCGGATTCTACGTGGCCGTCGCTCAGTCTCGGAGAGCGAGTGCCCACTACGCTGCTAGTGCTCACCACTACTTTGCGCTGTTGGGAGTGACGCCATCAGTCAGGATACCGTACATAATAGAGCTAAATATAGAACTCACTTGTCTCCGGTGCTGCTCACCTACAGTAATTGTAAGAAAGACAGTTCTACATGACACGGAGTGGCTATGTGCGCGAGCGTACCCTCAGTCAGCAGCGTGCCTCCACAAACATCCGTACTCAGCATTCGCGTTCACTCCGATTACGAGCGGGAGATGCACACCTAGTCCGACCAGCTCGGCAATGTATGTCCGCACTTTGTATGGCTTCTGGAAAACCGCGTCGTGCGTGAGGATGTGCGCGAGCGCCTTGGTGTCCATCGTGAACAGACAGATGTCGGACAGGATCCGGTAGGAGATGGTGCGGCCGTACGAGCGGACCCACTCCTCATGCATCTCCGTCGGGTCGGTCGACCAGAACTGCCAGGCGAAGCCGCCGAACCGACTCGGGCTCTCCGGGCCCGGGAGGTGGCGCAGCGAGTTGCGCTGGAGGGCGCGGCAGACGCGCCAGAGCTTGAAGAGGACCGCAGCCAGCACGGCGCATATCAAAGGCGAGAGGGGAATGAGAGACATCAGAGAAGAGCAAAGAAGAAGGGGATCAGCGCGTCAGGCCCGCCCTTCCCATGCCCGAACCTTATGTACCCAGCGCTCACATCGCAATCAGGGCCCCCTAGCCGCCCGCACAGGCGCCCACGCGCATCGCGCCCCGGCCATCTAGGAACGCTCGCGACTCCCTTTGTGCATCAGGAACGCATGGTCCGCGCCGTCTTGTTTTGACATGGTCTACGCCCCAGACAGAGGCGCGGCAGCAGCACAAGATCTTCGACAATGCCGAGGTTAATTATTGCCGCACATCGGCGGAGTGCCGGTCATCGATCTGCAGCAGACAAAGCCGCTCCTCCAAGCTTGTCTGGTGCGCCCCATGATGTTGGCCGCCATCACTTCGTCGGGAGTGAGACCGTCGGGTAGCGGGCCAGATGCTATCACAAGTTGTAGCAATAGCTATGCATGAGCATTGTGCAGTGTGCGTCGAAACGCGGTTCGGGGCTGCTGAAGCAGCTGCAGCATTTCTGGAGGGAGAATGCGAACGCCGGCGGCAACCAACACATCACTTTGCGAGAAGCGGGTCCTCGGTACCGATGATACTGCGCCGCGCCACCCCCATCACTCCTGAATATCTACCCGCACGGTTCTAGCATGCGGAGAAGGAAGCTAGAACAGCGGGGAACCACTCGCCTTCGGATGATTTTCATGCTCGTTCTGTGCGCGATTCGGGCGTGATGTCGGGCAGTGCTGTGAACAAGGAACACTTTTGGACAGTGAGGACTCGATTCTCGATGAAACCTGAATTAAGATGACTTACATGCGCACACAAGATCGCCCGCAGTGTCGCAAGAGTGTGGGCGTGATGGTGCCTCGCCCCGAAGGGTATCAGGCCAGCTTGGCTCCAGAACGGGCTCCGTCCTCCTCGAGCCTCGCGGGAGACGCGCATCTGAGAGATGTCAACGTGAAGAAGACAGGCGGCCAAGATCGTCTGAGGCTGCCCGCTTTCGCTCGCCAAGGAGCTCGCGCGATGTGTGCGCTCCGATCGTACACTCGCGCCTTTCGCGAGCGTTTCCTCGCGACATCCTGCACGCGAAATCCTTGCTATCGCGAGCCGATAGACACGACTGCCTATAGACAGCTATTCTTCCCACTCGCCGGGCATGCGCCGTGCGTGTGCGTCCGGTTATGCAGGTGCGAAGACGGCAGTTGCACTCGCCCGACGTGCTATATTGAATGTCGCCGATGACATCAGTGAGTTCATTGATTATCACGACACATATAGGCGAGTTAAAGTTCCAGATCGCCAACAATTGATGGGTGCCGTACACCGCCATTGCTTGACAGACAATGCCACAGGCACCAAATGCAAGCGTTGCTCGCGCGTCTCAGCCCCCTTGATGGTGTTAGCGCCGCAGACTAAGTACACTAGATAATAACGGTGGCACTCACTCTCACGAAAGTCCGAACAAGGCTGTCTGCGTCGGGGACTTCGCTTGTCTGCAAAGGGCGTCGGAGGGGCCACAAAATCGGACGGCAGCTTTGCACGTAACACGCCGCAGCGTCGGTGAGCGTGGATCTCATGCCATGCCTGTGTCACTCACCAATTGTCTAATCCTGACAGACTCCACCCATTTTCGCGGTCGGAGCTGCCGTCTCTGTGCGAAAGCACGTCGCGGCCGCCTAGGCTTGCGAGGCCACCTGTCGCGATAATGCCTTGAGATACGCGACGCCCGACGCGCAGTTGGGAGGCACCAGGACGCAAGACGTGGAGGGACATTAGGACACCGAGCCATCACAGATCAGGAACGCGTCCACCGGGGAAGGCAGCATGCAGACAAGCCTTCGCGCCCGTGCACGCCTGGAGGGAGCCACTATAGAGACCCAGATTGCATTCCAGGTCGTCAAAGTGCAGAGAGTTACGCGAAGAGCAGACGCCAGGGACAGTCGCGAGATTCAGTGAGAACAACGGGGATGATCTTCGAGCGTAAGCTTCAAGCTCAAGGCTTGCCGGTCCGTAATGACCCACCCTACAGCTCCGTTAGTCTGAAACTTCAACGTCTGGCCAAGCAGCTCAAATATGACACGCACCTGGGAAATGAAGATCTCCACCTTTCCTCGGCATACATGACAGCGCGTCTAGGTCCAGAGTAGAGGGCTAACGCGCGTCGCGCGCCACGACCGGGCGTGTCGGTGAGTACTCCTGTTGGCGTGTAGACCAAAACAATGCCACCGATAATTCCAGAAAGGCATGGACGCGAGCGGAGTCGTAGGCAGATATTTCGCCTGAGGATATATGCGAGCAGACCAGCGAGACAACCCAAGGACGAAGAGGGACAAGTCGAGGACGGAAGATGCCCCAAAACGCTCCCGACGCGGTTTTGGCGTTACGTGACGTTACAGTCACCTAGGATCACGGCAGAGTCACGGCTTCGTACGAAACTTCCGCCTCTTTCCTTCTTTCGGTATGTTTACGGTCCATAGACGCCCGCGCTACAGTCCAAGCGCCGAATATAGTAATTTGTCACATGTTCTATTTGCGGACCTCGGACACCGCCGCGCGGCGCTGTGCTCGCCATCACTCATTCGCGCCCTCCTCGTACAGCCGACCGCGGGCGTCCCGTTGGACTGTAAACCCGTTGGACCGTAAACGCGACCCCCTCGCGCGATTTCGGGCATCATTTTGGCTGGACGCTCCGCCAAAAACGAGCCCGCCGCAGCTAGCTGCGACCCGGGACGTTTACAGTCCCATCGTGGGAAATTCACAGTCCACCGGCCCTCCGCACTCCCTCCTCGCCTCCCTCTCTTCCGCGCACTCGCGCGGGCCTATGCTTGCCGACGGCGGGGCTGTAGAGCGTGCGCGCACCATTGCGCGACCTTTTCCCGGCCTCTAAAGCACATATATTTGAGTTATTAGCTTCGTTTTCAGAATTCTGAGAGAAATGTTATGAGAACTTTCCCTTTGAGCTCAACTTGGGCTCAAAAATTTCTATGCTTTCACACAAAATATCACCAATCTTAATTATGGTCTCTGCCACACCATACATTAATTAAACACACAAAGAGCACCGAACAGATGGGTATAGTAGACTTGCGCTTTCGCGCGCGCGTGGGCGCTTATTTCGCCGACTCCGGGGGGGCCCGCGCGGGCGTTTGTGGACCGTATATTTAGCTTACATCAGCTCGCTTGGGACCGTAAACGAGCTGGTGGGCAACTCTGCTTCTTGGCGCGATCATCCTCTGCGGTTTCAAGGACGGTGTGCTTTTTGGATCACCCTCCGCGTTCCTAGGCTTGTGGAGTCGATACTCTCCGTCCTCGTGCATCATGCATGGCGTGACCTTCTATCTCACTGTAAGACACATTCCAGAAAGACTGCGCTGCACGCAGGACCGGTCGTCGGCCTCGCTCGACATATTCCCTTTACTCAGAGTAAAACGCCGACACCGGGAAGTACGACACACTCGTGAGCTCTAGTTATACTGTTATGTCTTGTCTGTTAACGAATCAATAGATCGTCAGCACAAGAAGCTGGGGTAGGTTGGGGTCCTGCGTCGACTAGCGACGGGCCCATGCCGTCAGCTTTAGATATTCCAACAGAAGCTCCCGTGGGCGGAAGATGCCCTACTTGTCTACCGCCGGCGACTAAACCGGAATTTCTAGCGAACAAGAACATCAAATTCACCGATTTCTCCAGCTTTCCACTTTCCATCTTCCCATTGCCGTACTACATACGGGCGCGCTAATGTTGTCCACATTGTGCCGCCGAGGACGCCTGTTGCTGCACGAGCCCCTACTACGCCTGCGGGATACCCATTCACGCCTATGTAGAAGTCACCGATCATCGATGCTGCCATTGCTCTTACATAGGCAGCCTAAATTCGGGGATCCGCCACCGACCCTTGGCAGTATCCATCGCATGCACAACGCCGCTTCCCTTTCTCACCGAAGCTCTGTGGTGCCGTTGCCGACCAGGGGCAAGTCAAAATCGGGGTTTGTTTACCGTTTTGCGGGGGCCCTATGACGATGCCCGCATCTAACCGCTCGCGCGCAGCGCTCAAAAGCACGGGCGTTAAATGCGAATTCCGACCTGACCCTGGTCGGTAACGGTACCGTTGCGGTCGAATTCTGCACGCCCGCACTGAAGGCACGGATGCCATGACATTGACCGTATATCCGGCGGGCGGCGTGGGCGCCCCACATGGACGGCCCCCTCTGTTCGACAGGAATATAACAAGACACCCGTCGCTCGTCCTGCGATATCCTGCCTTCCCTCCGCGGTCGCAGCGTGCTAAGCCCTCCTCTGGTTCAGCTCCCCTCCTCCCTTCGTGTTCACTCGTAGACTGGGTACCGGTTGCCTCTCGTCGCCTGAGTTTTGCGCTTCTGTGAGGCACTCCGTACAACGATGGCTACCCCGAACGCCACGTCTGGTCCGTCTGCTGTACTTGCTCCGCCCGCGGTACCTGCACTCGACAACACGTATGGGGTTCTGCTGCTCGGGACGAGCTTTGGGCTTCTGTGAGAACCATTTTATTATTGTTAGAGCAATCGTGCTAACCCCTAGCAGCTTGCAGGGAGTCATAATGCATCAAGGGTATCGCTACGCGTGCTTGCCAGCATACAAGCAGGATTCCCTGTACACCAAAACCATGGTAAGTGGGTCATGGTAGCTGTGAGCATCGTCGCTGTGGCTGATTTTCTGGCGCAGGTTGCTCTTGTGCTGTAGGTCCCTGTCAATGTCCTGAAGCTCCCGTTCTCACATCGGCCGCAGTATCTTGGAGACCTGGCACTCTGCAATTTCGATGCACGCAGTGTAAGTAGCTTCGTGGAGGCGCTTTACGAGATCCACTTGGGCTGACTTTGGTGACACCGTTGCAGGTACTTCTATTTGACGACCAACTACTTCAATCCTGCGGTCCTCTTCCAAGGCGTGTGGTACGTGTCGCGTTCGTCCTGGGATGCAAAGAGGTACTGATGTTAGATACAAATCTTTAGGTCCGTCAACGTGAGTAACAGCCCCCTCTCCTCCTGCGTTGAGCTCATGCTCATTGATTGGCGAGCAGCTTGTTCCAATGGCCACAGTCAGTCTTACCTTCTAATCCTCGTGGGATGAGAGGTCGTGCTGACCTCATGCTCCTCATTGGCAGGGTGTTGTCATCGCAGTATCTCAAAGGCGGGCCCATACTCGCGCTCAATGCGGAATCGAAGTACTCACTAGCTCATGCGTTCATAGCTTCTTCGCGCGTCGCCTTTGGCTGGGTGCGTTGAAAGGCGATATTTGTGCACGCCTCCAACCCGTTCTGACTCTTCTTAGTTGATCGCAAATTCAGGCCATTGGTTGTCTTCGTTGTGAGTCCAATCCGCCGCGTCTGCGCCCCAAAGCACCCCTCCTCAACTAATTCCCGCTTAAGATCTTCCTCCTCCTTGGAGAAGCAGGTATGTTTCGGGTCATTTGTGTTAGAGACACTAATGCCTCATGTTCAATCTTCAGCGCTTTCTACCAGTACGTATATTTTCGCCATGAGCTACCGAGTATACGGTGATGCTAATTCCACTTAGCTATCTCGGTCGAAGCGTACGTCACCGTCACAGTCGCTGTGCTCCGACGCGGCAACCCTGACACATTACTGGCAGTTTTATCCAGCCGAACCTCGTCACCTTCGAAAGCGTCTCTTCGGTATGTTATTCGTCCACTGTTGATGCTTATCAGAAACGGTGCACTCATACAGTCCTGGGGGTAGTGGATGGTGAACGCGACACTGGGCATGATCATCGCGGCGGATGTCCTTCTCACCACGCTCCTTACCATCGTCCTGAGACGCAGTCGAACAGGCTTCCAGTCGTACGCTCATAACCCTTGTCCGTCATGTACGATATCTTGCTCAACCGATACACTGCAGTACGGACTCGGTGCTGAACATTCTGATCGTGTACACCATCAACACGGGTGCGTGCTACATCATCTTCACATTTCCGCGCTATGCTAACATTCGTTCAGGGCTTCTGACTGGGTACGCTTCCTTCTATTCTCCCGGTTGCGCTGTTGTCTTATTCCGCTTCGTGCATAGAGCGCTCAGCACCCTCTCATTCCTTTTGGTAAGATCCTTGTTCCAATTCGCAGCCTGCACGTCTCACACGTCCCAGGCTATCTTTTTCCCACATACATTCTTCGCAGACGGGATGAACATGTGCATCGCTAAACGTACGTCGCACTCGTCGCACTTCATTTCCCGACGTCTATACCTAACGCCCACGGCAGTCTACGCGAACTCCTTACTCGCAGTGTATGTCACATACTCTTCGCACGATCGTATCGCACGACTCACCACACGCGCCTCAGATTGAACTCCCGGGACTTCTTGAAGGGTCATAGGACGAACGGCACCGGTCTCTCAGAGTCCGGCCGCCAACCTCCTGTGAGCCTCCACAATGTCACTCCTCGCGTGCAGGTACGCCCCCCTCCAACTGTGCACTACTGCGACGCCATGCTGATGTCGCCTTTTGTCTCGGTCACACAGCGCCAGAACACGACGACTTCCCGGGGTGCCATCGAAATCAAGCTGGAGAGGGACGTCGTACGCTCGTCGCACCCCAGCGACGAGCTGCGTCGCGACGAGTACGAGCTGGAGAAGATCTCGACGAGGTACCCCACGGGCGGCCTGAGCGGCGGAACAGCTCCCTCGTTTGAACCTCCAGGTGCGTACTGATCGTTATGTTTGTGACTCGTTGATTGAGCAGCCTTTATCGCTCTAGTGTGAGCTATGTTTACGAGGAAGCACCGTCGTGCCGAGGTGCTTCCCAGATGTACAATGTCGTATCCAACTGCGCGGACTAGTAGTTTAGCTTTATTTATCTTTATCGGACTGTACCCTGCCGAGGGAGGAATCCTCAAAAATGCTCTTGACGCGCGCTTGAAACTACTTGATCGCTCCTCCCACGGTGACGACGTTTTGAACGCTATGGTCATCATCTACTGTCTAGCCGCGTTTCTTCCTCTGAACTCATGACCTTACCAGCTGTATCTGCGCGCAGGGCAGACCTGTCTGGGCGTCGTCCATTCCTTTGGAAGGACTTGCCAAGTTTCCGAATTCGAATTCCATGCCCGACCCTCGGCCACTTCGGCAAATGTTCGTTCACAGCTGCAGACACCAGGGAACACAATATTGGGCCTCGTGAGTCTCCATTGGTTTAGTTGGATGGTCTATTTTGACCATCAAGCTGTCGGCATACTCCACGTTGAGCGATGCCAGTCCCCAACGAGTCGCTGCGTCCCAATTCAAATTGACGTTTAAGCATATCCCTCATGCGACGATACTCGCTGCCTCATATGGATATGTGCACTGCCAGACCAGCTGCCGCCGGTCTGGCTAACTAGAGTCCCGCATCGACTTCCGTCGGAACCTCATCGTCAGCTTCAGATGTTCCACCAGAAGCCCTGTGGGCGGAAGATGCCCTTTCCATCCACCGCCCGCCACGAATTGGACTTTCCAGCACACGAGCAGATCAAAATCGCCTTCCTCCGGCGTTCTGTTCGCCCATCGCCGTACTCTATACGGGCGCGCTAGACTGTGCTTCTCGGGCGCATGCCGCTCTCACTGCGCCGCCGCCGGAGACACCTGCCACCGGACGACGCTCTCCTTGTACCTGCGGAATCGCGCACTGGTGAGTGCTATAGAGTAATTCTATGACCACTTTAGTATGCCTTGTTAACAGGCATTAAGCAGTCGCCGGTCACTACTGACGTCTTGCCACAGATCCCTCCGCATGCACTAGGCCTGCTTCCCTTTCTCACCGAACTCTGTGGTCGAATTCTACGCCCCCTCATCGAAGGCACGGATGCCATGACTAGAAGATGGCTGCCGGCGGGCATCATCGGCGCTCCGCATGGGCGGGTCCCTACGTTCGACTGGAATATAATCAAGACACCTGTCGCTTGCCCCGCGACGCTCCGCCTTCCCTTCGCGGTTGCAGTCCACTGAAGCCTCTTCTGGCCCAGCTCCACTCCCCCGTTGTCTTCTCCCCTAGACCGGATACCGGGCACATCACCCTCTCATCGCTTGACTTCGGCCTTCCTGTGAGGCGTACCGTCCAGAGATGGCTACTCCGAACGCCACCATGGATCCTCAGGCTGGGGCGCCTGGCGTACCTCCCGGACTTGCTCCGCCCCCGGTACCTGCACTCGACAATACTTACGGAGTGTTAATGCTGGGGACGAGCCTGGGGCTTATGTGAGTCTATTGGTTCCTCGTATAAGATGAAATTGCTGACCCCCTGCAGATTGTATGGAGTGACTATGCATCAAGGGTACCGCTACGCTCGCCTGCCGGCGCACAAACATGATTCCGTATACACCAAAACTATGGCAAGTAGCTTTAGTCAATTGAAGAGATTGTTCCCGAAACTAATATTCTGGTAAAGGTCGCTATTGTGCTGTAAGTCCCCTGTCGATCTCCCGAAAAGGTCTCGTCTTCATGCCAGGTATAGCATCTTGGAGACATGGCACTCTGTGATCTCAATGCACGCAGTGTACGTGTCTGCGTGTGTGCGTTCCGCGAGATACGCCTAAACTAACTCTGGTAACGCCGTCTTAGGTATTTCTACTTGACAACCAACTATTTCAATCCTGTAGTTCTGTTTCACGGCGTGTGGTGCGTGCTGTGTCCGTTTTGTGGCGCAACACGGCATTGATGTAGACCTTTAAACCAGGTCTGTCAACGTGAGCAATGTCATTCCCAGTGTTCCTGCGTTCATTCCTTGACTAATAATTTTGCGGGGAGCAGCTCGTTCCAATGTTCACGGTTAGTCTTCCCTTTGATTGTCGTGGGACGGGGTAATGTGCTGATCTCGCGTTCTTTGTTTGTAGGGTATCATTATCGCAGTATCTCAAAGGTGTGCCCCTACTTACCTGTGTCAAACGAGTCGAGAAGTCACTCATGTATCAACACAGCTTCTTCGCGCGCCGTCTTTGGCTAGGTGCGTCGAATTTCAGTGTTGGTCTATCACTTTAACCCGTTCTGACTCTTTCCAGTCGACCGCAACTTCCGGCCACTGGTTGTCTTCATCGTGAGTCCACCTCGCCATATAGTTACAAAATCATTGCCTTATAAAAGGACTCCTGTACAAGGTCATCCTCCTTCTTGGAGAGGCAGGTGCGTTTCGGGCTCATCGGCATTGATATCCATCGATAGACTGATTCCTAATCCCCAGCATTCTCTACTAGTTCGTATTATTCTATCATGAGCTGTGGAGTATACAACCATACTGATTCCACTCAGCCATTTCAGTTGAGGCGTACGTTTTTACTTTGCTCGCCCTGCTTCGAGGCGCGGCATCTCACCTACGACCAGGTTTATTCAGCCGGACCTCATGCACTTCGAAAACGTCTCTTCGGTGCGTCACCTGCCAATGAGTTGTAAATTGTGGCCATCACAAACCACAGGCTGATACAATCTTGTGCATAGTGGATGGTGAACGTCGCACTAGGCATGATCATTACAGCGGACGGCCTGCTTACCACGCTCCTCACGATTGTCCTGAGGCGCAGTCGAACCGGGTTTCTGTCGTAAGCCCAAAATGCCTATCTGGCGTCGATATTGCGCTCAAGTCAAGCATCTCAGAACGGATTCTGTTCTAAACATTCTGGTCGTGTATACTATCAATACAGGTGCGGGTTAAGATCTGCTTCGCCGTCTCTCATCAAGCTGACAATTTTCCAGGGCTTCTAACCGGGTACTTAGTCGTTCTTCTCTTTTATCTCTCGTATCAGTTTTATTCACTCCATTTCGTTCACAGGACGCTGAGCACCCTTTCGTTCTTCCTGGTAAGATGATTGCCGTGACAGTCCGTCTGCGCAGCTCACACGTTCTAGGCTATATTCTATCCGCATACCTTATTCGCGGATGGGATGAACATGTGCATCGCTAAACGTATGTGGCACTTGACGCGCTTTATTGCCCGTGACCGTATATATGATCTGATGATCTTGGCAGTCTACGCAAACTCCTTACTCGCCGTGTATGCCCCTCCCCAACCCGTGAAGTCAGTTCGCGCGGCTCACCGCACGTGCTTCAGGTTGAACTCTCGGGACTTCTTGAAGAGCCAAAGGTCGAACCCGGGCAACGGTCTCTCGGGGTCCGGCCGTCAGCCCTCAGCGGGTGGCCAAAGTTCGAGCGCTCGGTTCACTTCCGTGCAGGTATGCTCGCTTTGCCGACACCATGTTATGTTCACATGCATGGCTTCTCACCGTCGTACCTTTATCAGAACTCGTCTACCTCTCGGGGCGCCATTGAAATCAAGCTCTCGAGGGACGTTGTGCGGGACCATTCATTGTACTCCAGAGACGACCCAACCCGTGACGAGTGCTACGAGCTAGAGAAGCTCCCGCCCAAACCTCCTATGAACAGCCGAAGCGCTGGGTCCATTTCCTCGTTTTTGCCTCCAGGTGCGTACTGTATATCACCATATTAGCGAAGAGTGACGAATTAAGCTGTTGATATACTTTAGTGTGACTTATCTATGTGCAAGCTACGCTGTCCTCGTCGATTTCTTGGTGTATAGTTTTCTTGTTTGGCTCGGGCTCGGGCTCGGGCTCGGGTGCATCCTACCGGAGCAGGTGTAACTTCTACGCAACGTGTATCTATTCGTAACATATCTTGTAGCGCTCTCGATTCTTGGGCTGCCGGTCATCGTGTGACCAATAGTTCTATACCGCAGGTTTAAAGGCCGGATATGGGTAATGTGGCGAACTCCTGCCCTCTGTATACGACGGACCTGATCGCGCGCTGGGGCCGCCTTCTCGGAACACAGAGGAGAGACAAGCCCCTCTACCCCATTTGAACTGCGCCGGACGGGGACGCTGTCGGGAGGTGTCACATATGTTAACTCTGATCATCTGTTCGGGGCTGTTCATCCCGCCCATTCGAGAATACAAGGTTGTGGGTTGGCGGTAGAAGACATCGCGCGTTGATATCGCCGGTGTCTGTATGTGTCACCGAGCTCGGCTTCGGCCGTTTGAGCATCGGAGGGCCTGCCTACAAGTGCTTCCGTCGCAGGTGTGCTCGACCACATCCGACAGCGCCCACCCGCATATCACGAACAACCCTAACATAACAACAGAAAATAGTACATGGAAACACATCCTGGCTTCTTGTGCCTCTTCGAACGCTCTTCATCCGACCCTATTTACCCTCGCCACGGGTACGCGACCCATCCTGCCTCGGACTGCCATGCCCGGGCGCGAAGTTCTATACCGGCGATGTCGTTTCCCTCATTCGAGTCACGGTTTCCTTCCCGACGCTCTTCTCCCCGAGGCCGAGAGGCGATGTCCGACCGGACTTCGAACCGTCATACGATACAGGTACCGTCCCGGCGGCGCTAGAGCACCGCCAGACAGACGCTGAGACCTGAGAAGAAGGGACAGCCCACTATCGCGTTTCGAGCCTGAGCCGACGATGGATGCAGGAGACAACCGTCCATTTGCACCTGGGGGCTCTTCCATGCTTGCACGACGCCGTCCGGTGATTGTTCGGTGGTCGAGCTCGAGTCGCAGACCGGGCAAGACTCAAAATCATCGACCATGCTCATGTGGGAAGCCAAAAAGCGGCGCGAGTTGAGTCTGGAGCATCGGGGATACGGGCGACGGCGACGAGGTGCCACTGGTAGATGATGTATCGGGCACGTACATGGCGGGTACCGAGTTCGTATACACTGTCATGGTCGCACGCTTAAGTTCGAGAGATGCGGAAAAGGATTCAGAAGGACGCACGACGTCGTCGTCCCGCGTCGCATGCTAACCCGAATAAGTATCTTCGTGCAATTATCGCACTGTCTGTGCCAATAGCTCGTATAGCAATGCGTGCACTCGCGCAGTATATATATCACAAAAGCGCCTGACAGAGCAATACAGAATAAATAGTACAAGGAAGTATACCGCGGGCGTCCTGGGCCTCTTCGAGACTGCTCCTCTGATCCTGTTGACCGAGACTCCGTTAAGCGTTAAGGTTTGTGACTACTCGGGTCTCGAGCTCCCATGCGTACCTAAACCGGGGACGCCGTGTTCACGATGAACGTGTCCATCGCGAACTCTTCCCTGCCGCCGTCCTTCTTTCCGTGTCCGAGGGGCGACTCCCGACCGGACTCCATACCACGCGACGCAGGCACCATCCCGGTGCCTCCCGTGGACTGCCACAGAGACGTCGGAACCTGAGATGGAGGGAACACGAACTTTCATATCATCTTGAGTGTCAGCGGACGACGGATACGAGACTGCGAGCGGGAACCCGCACCTGGGCCTGCACGGCGCTGTGGGACGCCTGCCCGGTGCCGGAGCTGAAGGCGGATGTCTGGCACAGCTCGAAGTCGTCGACCATGCTTATGCCGGTGCTTGAAGCCAGGGAGCGGCGCGAGTTGACGCTGCGACATTGGGGATGCGGGTCAGCAGGTCGAGGACGAAGTGCGAAATGCCTTATCGGGTACGTACATGGCGAGTACGGAGTTCGCGTATACTGTAAAACGCGTAAGCTCATGAACTGGGAGAGAATTGCGAGAAAAGGAACACACGTTTGATGTTGACAATGCTGATACCAGCGTATATGTAGTTGCCAGGCAAAATGAGTGCCTCGAGCGAAGTGTCAGACCACTGAGTACGAGCTGTGAATTGTGGTACTCACGAAGATAAAAGCCATTAACCCGGTAATACTAAATCAGAGGCCAATGAGATCCCGGGCCGTGCAGTATCTGCATTCGAGCCGTTCACCTACCCCGTGAGGAGACCTGTTGACGACATTGTATGAGAATGGACAGAACGCACAGAGACGCTTCTAAGTACATACCAGTATTGATCGAGTACACAATCAGCGTGTTGATCAAAGAGTCCGTACTGGAGTAGAAAATTGAGTCAGCGCTACGGGAGGGAGGTAGGGTAAATAATGAACTCACTGCTTGAACCCCGTACGGCTGTGCAGCAGTACATAAATGAGGGCTCCTGTCAGGAGCACGTCGGTGAGGATTGCGCATCCGTATGCTGCGGAGGCAATCCACTATGCGTTGCGGTCAGAAATGGGGGAACACAAGCACCGTACGATCATGCCTACGCTGAACCGCGCGAAGTCCGAAAAGCTCAATTCGAAGCTGTCAGCTTGCTAATCAATCCCGTGAAGAGGATGGAAGTGCATTTTGACTGACGCTTTGATTGTCCCGACTGAAATTTGACGTGAGGAAAGTATTCAATGGAAGGGATGAGGTATCGCAACGCACTGATATCGAGGCCTGACACAAAATGTAGGGTAAGACAACCATCCGCCGCCACAGCGACAACCAGACTTACCGAAAGTTCCGAGCATCCCGAGTACCTATCACTCGTGTGGTCAGCAAACATCATGCCCGAGAAACCATGTCTCTCACAGCAAGAGCGACAATCCAGTGGGTCTTCGTTTGGACTGTTCCATGTCGCACGAGCTATATGAGCTAATGTAGCGGTGACCCGAATATGGACCGGAGGACTTACGAAGGAAGACGCGCCGCGCATAGAAACTGTGTGGTGACCATTACTCCGATAAGCCTCAGTCAGGTACCTTCGCGGGTTGACCCACCCTTGGCACGGTATAGTTGCTAATCCCTACGGGTTGTGAGTTCTACACGAATGCCCAGCACTATGCAACTTTTGCGGACGCACCGTGATGATTATATTGACCTGTCGCATCGGGTTGACACAAGAGAGGTAGCATTTCGAAAAACGACGGAACACTCACTTTGTCGCTCCTATAGTGAAAATCAAGATAAGTGAGCGATGTGTTTAGGGTGATTCCTACTACTCACCAGTGCCCGGCGTTGATCAAATTAGGTTTGAAGTAGTCTGTGATGAGAAAGTGATAACTAGGGCGAGATGGTCGAACAATGATTTGTGAACCGAGTTTTACAGAGGTATAGGTACTCACCATGCTATAATCCATATCATAGTATGAACCGTCTCAAGCGTCCTGTAGACTCACATAAGATATGTGTGGTACACTGGGCTCCACGGACTCACAGAATATACAAGATCTTCGGGTTGATGGCAATGTGCGTACTCAATGTCAGCGTACCACACCATGGAGTCGGAAAGGCGAAACGGAAATGCTCACGAAAAGCTTGAACGGTATGGGATCCCGAGGGTACAGCCGGAAGTATCTGTACGTCTGGTGGACGGTAAGCCCATATAACCTGCACAAGATTTCAGCCAGCACATCATGTTCAACCGTAGAATGTATACTCACATGCCACCAAGGAAGGTACCGAGCAGCATTGCCCCATAGCTGTTGTCCAGAGCGGGTATGGCAGGCAACGCGCCTTGGGAGCCCTGGGGGGTAGCCATGATTACCAGTCGGGTCAGGATAGGGACACCAAGACGTACGTGTACTTATAGGCCGCGTAGGCATGGCCGGACTCTTTCATCCTCGAAGCTGTACCAGAAAGCGCACCTAGTGGAGTCGATCCTGGAATCGGCGTGCACACGCAGGAAGGATAGAACCTGATCTCCTTGGGCATGGGGCCCGTGTATTGAGTGAAATGATACTGACCCAGTGGTCTCCGAAGCCGCGTCGCTGACCCAGATCAACGTTCAACTTTGACGCCGCCTGTGAGCGGGGTGTAAGATATCAAGAAGTCGACGCCATACAACTCTTCCCAAAGATCCACTCTAAGAGCGCAAAAATAACCATTTAACATTGAAAATATGCTCAGTGCTCCCACACGTGTCGCGGGGAATGGCCTGGCTCGATGTTCTCGTAAGCAAGAAGGCCGAAGTATGCAGATACGATGAATGATAACGCTGTACTTACCCTGAGTAAAGTAATGACTTTCTTTGGTCTATGCTGGACCATCGAAGCGGGTGTTGTACACATAGGAATGCTTACACGGCCGCGGGAGCGCTGCGAGCGGCGCCGGTCACTTTCGGGGAGGCAATCAGTACTTGTAGGTATACTTTGTGCGCTTCTATGCATCCCGGAACCGCCTCACTATGATAAAGTTCAGCTAACTCTCTCCACAGATGGACGTGCCCCGACAGTTTATATTTATGACTGACCTGCTCGGTCGCGGGCAGGACAGCCTGAGGGCCAGAGGATCGAGGCCCTGTGGCAGCTGACTTGTTCCTGCGACTGGAGATAGCGACGACCCGTTCCTTTGGGGGCTGCCAGGAGAGACACCACCTAGCAATGTAGAATGCACTTCCGAGAGCAAAATTCGATAGCGAGACCCATATACAGTGATATCGACAAGGAGTTGTGGTCCAAAGTCATACCGTGTTCAAGGGAGCCTCGCGAGGATGTGGTTAACTATCCTCAATCCACGTGGCAGACGAGTAAGACCCCGTGGACCGAAAAGACGTCTGGTACACTGCGTGCCACCAGATTCCCACCCTGACTTTGTCTCCTCGTCTCTCTCTCACTCCCTCGACGGCCGGCTCATGCTTTCTGACTCATGTCGGCCCCGCTGGCCAAGCTCCGACCGAGTGTTTATGGCAGCAAGACGCATTCTCAAGCCAATCGTAACCCAGCGCCCACGCATTCGCAGGCGCGCTCTGTAGATCGCAGCTTCAAATTGATTTCGAAATTCGCACAGGGTCTCCTATGCCCATCCCTCTCCTCTATATAATGGACTTGGACGCCGCACAAGGCTGTAAGTGTGGTCGTTTTCCCCCCTTGACAAGATCACCCTCGTCCGCCTAGAGGAGACAGCGCCAGGCTAGACAGTATCGCCAATATGGACGCCGCTCTCTACAAAGAACTGCTCGTCCAACGTGGTCTGACCTACCGCTACTATCAGTCTCCTTCCACGCACGGAAAGCCCACTTTAGTCTTCCTGCATGGCTTCCCATCGACCGCGGCAGACTGGCAGAAGCAAGTGGCCTACTTTCAACCGCTCGGCTACGGAATACTTGCACCTGATTTGCTGGGCGCGGGAGGCACCGCTAAGCCTCTCGACCCCAAGTCGTTCCGGTTGAACGACATGGCGCGCGATGTCATGGACATCCTCGCCGCCGAAGGAATCGACAAGGTGATAGGCATTGGTCACGACTGGTATGCGTATCCTCTTCCTCGCCGTGTTGATTTACACCGACTAACGATCGACTCGATGCAGGGGCTCCGTGATGCTTGCTCGTCTTGCGCTGTTGTACCCGGACACGTTCCACGCCTACGCCTGGATGGGGCTCGCCTTCATGGCGCCGTACACCACCGAGTTCGACCTCGACGCGACAATGACGCAAATCAAGGCGGCGTTCGGGTACGAGGGCTGCGCGTACTGGCAATTCTTTCTTAAAGACGATGCACACCGCGTCATCCAGCAGCATGTGAGCCTTCGTCTGCGTCTCTGTTGGCCGTACGTGGCGCTCGGGCTGACCTGCGCACTAGGTCGACAGCTTCTTGCAGCTGGTGTATCCGAACGATCCAGACGCATGGCTCACTCACATCGTGCTGCTGGGGAAGACGGCGGAATGCGTAGAGGGCGACCTGCAACTTGGCCGCCCGTCCTACATCGACGACCAGGTCTGCAAAGCTCTGCTATATAATCCTGATTACGCTACTTACACACGCTGATCTCGCAGATGTACGCCGCGCTCCGTGACAACATTCTCACAAACGGCGTCCAGTCGTCGTTAAAGTGGTACAACGCGCAGGCCGAAGGCGTCGACCTGGAAGATAACCGCAGTAAGTACACTCCAGGGCTTGGATGTTGGTCACAAGGTGGCGATTACTCATGGGTATCACTCGTGAACCAGAATTCACCGAAGACGACCTGAAGCTCCGGGCACCATCCTTCAACGTCCTCCCTCTCAAAGACGCCGTGTGCCCGCCCCAGATCGTCAAGTCGACCATGCCAAAGTACGCGTCGGACATCGAGTTCCTCGAGGTCGCGAGCGGGCATTGGCCCCATCTTCAATGCGCTGAGGAGGTGAACGTCGCCCTCCACCGCTGGCTAGAGGCCCGGGGATGGTGAGCAACTGTTGTCCGGGCGAGCGACGTACGAAGCTGCAATACATGTATCTCCGGTGTTCCCTCTGTATCATCATGTTGCATGGGTTGTTTCACGCCTGTTCCGCGAGAGCGCACTCATTGGTTGAGAACGCCGCCCTGGAAGACATACGCTCTCTCAGCGCACAAAACACTCCTGTATAATCCACGAGGACGCTCTATGGCATTCGAAGAGTTATGCATAGGGTAAGCTTGACTAGTCCATGTGTTTCCGTCAGCCGTATTAACGAGATGTAGTTCAAGAAATGTGGGCTTCCGGCATATAGAATATCGCCGCCTGTGCCTGGAATCATAACGCACCGGAGCTAGTTGCGAGCAACATCTGTGAAATGCAGGTGCGTTGCTGGAGTTTTTGCATCAACATCCCGATATCATTCGGTGCGCGCCTGCTTCACCGATATTTGAAGGTGGCTGGGACATAAAGGCGCTCCGTCCCCGCCCTCTCTCTGCGCTTCCAGCATGACGTCTATACACTACCCTCGTTCGTCAGTAGGAGTACCTGCGACTAGTGCTTTTACTCCGTCACCGGTAGAGCTCCCTGCAGTAGATAACACTTATGGGGCAGTGCTCATCGGGGCCTTCCTGGGGCTCATGTACGTCTCACAAGTGTGCGACTCGGCGAGGTTACGACTTAACTCCTTTTTCTTCTAGCCTTTACGGAGTCATGCTTCTCCAAGTTTATACATGCACGCGGCGACAACTCGCGGACGCGCTGTACCTCAGATGCTATGTAAGCCTTCTCTTCCCTTTCTCTGTACAGCACGTACTCTTCACTGACGCACCAAGTAGGTCGCCTTCATCGTGTGCGTAAAACTCATGTGGTATTTCGCCTCACCACACGGTTTATTTGACTTGCAGTGCCATCGGATCATTGCTTACCGTCCAAGTTATACACATGAGGTTTTCCTGTCTCACCATTGTGCTCCCAGAGTACTTACGCAGCGTCTCAGTTACTGGAACTTGGTTGAGCACTACTTTCATCTGTCCCCCCAAGCCGTCATCTATCTCTGGTAGGTTTCATGGTTCGCTCCACGCGGTCTAGTTGATAACGTCTGTCGCTGGTTTAATTTTCTACAGGTCCACCAACGTAAGTGTCCTCAGACCATCCGCTTACTCAGCTACTATTTGCTGTATGTCATACTATAGCTCCTTCCGATTTCGACGGTGAGATTTCCCTTACTTCTTCGATCAGTGGCGTCGTGGAGGGAATATTGACCGGGTATCGATTACTTCAGGGACTCGCTATCGTTGCCTGTCAATGGCAAGTTACATGCATCAGACCCTCCCGAAGATCGTTCACATACTATGCACATAGCTTTTACACGCGCCGTGTCTACATCTGTGAGTATGTCGCTTTCTTCGCTCTACTTTGGGGAATTAACTTCTGTCTGGATACAGTCCAGAAACGCTTTAAGCCTCTTGTTGCGGTCTTAGTGAGTCAAAGACGCTGATACGACGAGCGGCAGTAGCTGATGAGCTCGAGGAAGGCAGTGTTTTTCTTGGGGGAATTGGGTGCGTATGCTCCCAAACAATCGCTAAAACGTTCGCTATATATATCTAACATGCACATAGGACTTGCAATTCGTGAGGCCTCACCAACGTATGACAGTTCCTGCCCCGCGCTGACCTTCCACCTCGTCTGCTCAAGTGGATACAATATATCTGTAAGCGACCCCTCATCCTGTCCCACTTGCCCTTTCTCACATGTGACTCTGCGGCATGATCAGCTACGTCCACCCGAACTTGACAACATACCACAGAGTGGCGGTAAGCGATACCAGCGGCAACTGAAATATCGGATCCAATCTCTGGCGTGATCATGAGCTAACTCTTTCACCACAGAGGCTGAATTCAGCGGTATACGCGCTGGCAGTGACCGCAGATACGATACTAACCTCCGTGCTCGTGATAAACCTGCGTCGAAGGAGGACAGAGTTTCGTCGGTACGCCTGCCGGTCAGCCCGGTCGCTGCACATGGCGATTGACTTGATATATTCCTCAGCACTAACTCTACTATCAACGCGCTCATAGCATATGCCGTGACTACGGGTACGTGGAGGATAAGCTTTCCCGCCTGGCTAACAAATTGACACGCACTTGCACAGGGCTTCTTATCGAGTATGCAGAGCTACCCTCAGATTTCTCTTGCCTAACTTCTAGACGCACATTTAGCATGGTCAGCATCGTATCCCTCGCATTGGTGAGTCTCCGAATGCGTTACGTCTACCATGATCACCGGCTCACTGAAGGCCGCAGGCCTGGATCATGCCCGACAACTTCATCTACGTCGGATGCAACATCGTCTCCACATATCGTAAGAGTACCCTTCATCACGAAAAACAAATACCTTAGCTTACCATACACATTCACGCTAGTGTACATAAACTGTGTCCTAGGGACGTGAGTAGTATCGCTATGTGACTCCAAGCAACCCCCCCCCCCTTGCTCCGGGCTTACGCTAACGCTTCACCCTCGCTCCTAGGCTCAATGCGCGGCAGTCGCTGTCTGGACAGCATAACGGCCTCTCCCAGCCCGACGGCTTGATTAACCTATCGTCTCTCGCTCAGCGTAGCGACACGAGAACAGGCTCAGCGTTAGATCCAGTGAGTGCTCGCACTCCACATACGTTCACACGTCGCTCGCGCTCACCACCTCAAACGCCCTCAGACCCAGTGCGAAGAGAAACACCCCAACATCCTGCACATCGAAACATCTGCACCCCATGCGCCGGAACAGCGAGAATTCGAAATGCCCGTCTATCCGGCGGCATTGGAGGTTTAGCACTCGCGCGCGCTCTCTGTCTGTATTTATCTGGGGCATGGGCTGGGCCTACGCCGACCAGGAGCATATGCGTTCGCCCGAAGGTCGTGCAGCGAACCTTGCTGTTACTCTATTTGTAATGCCATGTAGTTGTCTGAGCCCGATCGGTGCCTGCGACGGTGCTCACTTGCTGGCCGCGGACTGGTTTGATGGGAGTCGCAAGTTCCATAAAGTTGCACACGCAGGCAACGTTGAAGTTCTTGCGATCCACGACGTTCGAAGGGAACCCTGTTTTGACGACCTAGGAGTTTTACAAGATACTAACGACACCCGCAAACCTCTGTTGACTGTGACAATCGATGTCATGGTTGATACAGTATTACACCTCATGATAACTTAAGTTCTTGAACCCTTCGTAGCATCCGCCATCAGACACTGTCCATGAAGCTCTTGGTTGATACCCCCTTCAAGACGCCACAGCACTGTTCGGCACCTGGGAATCACAAGGGGAGCGACGCCGCAACCTTGCGGTCGTACACCATCCCGCTCTCGCGGTCGCTGTGGCCATCCGTATCGATCTCCGCTGCGACCTTGATGTTGATCACCGGGGGCGCCTCCGGCATCTGTCACAGAGTCAGCGACGTGCGGGATTACCGCAGGTGGCGGGTGCGGCGGGGCAGAGAGAGACGCACCCGGGGGACGTTCCACTGCTCGACAGCGGCGATCTGATTCGCGCGCGAAAGGATGTTCATGCCGAGCGCGTTGTCGCCGGTGTCGAAGATCTCGATTCCGCGGCTCACGAGCAGCTTGCGCGAGTTCAGCCTGCGCGCCCAGTGTCAGTGATGATCGCGCGCGTGTATGGCGTCGTAGGCGCGGGCGAGGATGGGGAAGCGGGACTTACACTGCGAAGAGCGTGACGGCATACACTGTTACGAGAGAAGCGGGGATGACGGTGAGCGATGCGGCACGATGCACACCTACGAGCGGGTAGACGTACTCTTGATCGCAACCATCCCGGTAGCAGCCCAGTAGAGCCTGTACGGCCACGCTATGGACTGCGCACGGCGTCAGCTACTCTGAGAGTCTAATATCTAGCGAAACACGTACCAAGATCGCAGCGATGCCGTGAACCAGTCTGAAAGGTATATTAGTATCAAGCACTATGATCACGCTGCATTTGGTGAGAACGAACCCAGTCAAGAAACCTGCGGGCAAGAGTAAGCGACTGGCTGACTAAAACGTCCGAGCGGGACGCGTACCGGTGTTGAGAATGTACAGCGTGGCGGTGTCCAGCTTCGACGTGTCAGAGCTACAGGACAAGTGTCAGCGTATTCCCAATGTACCCACATGTGTGGATAGAAGCGGTGCTTACCCCTGCTGGCTGTTCGCACGCGTGCGCGGTAGCGCGAAGATGATTGCGCCCGAGAGCATGAGGTCGGCTGCGGCGGCGCACAGCAGCGAGGCGAAGCTGATGTATTTCGTCTGGTCGGTGAACGTCGAGATCACTTGCAGGTGGAAGCTGGTCTTTGGACTCAGGTAGGGAGTAGAAGGAAGGCGAGATGAGGGCTCACGTTTCATAAGTAAGGTCTGAAGATGTCGACAATCATCAAGTCAGTCAATGGGGAGAACTTTGGATGTAGATGGACGAACATATGCTTGTGCCTGCATAAATTACCCGCAAAATCAGCAAAGTGGCCAGGTAATACAACCAGAGAGGGCCGTACCGACATGGCCAAGAAGAAATACAGTCTGATTTGAAGATAGCTTAGCACGACGCGCATAGTGATGATGGCGACTGCACTTACCGCGAGGATAGCAACGACTTTCGACATGCCACCAACTAATAGAGCGAAATGAGATCGTGTCCGTAGCATGAAGAGGACGCATGCATACTCAAATATACTCGACGAGCGAAGAAGCTGGGTAGAGAAGCCAATGATGAGTTTCTGCACCGATGAGGAATGTGGCGAGCTTCGACGCACGCTTGGGCAGACAAAACGACGAACGCCTAGGCAAAGGTAAGGATCGCATGGCAATTGGAATTAGTGACGACCACTTACAGCTATCGTCGGTATGATCTAGGACAAGAGACATTGGCGTTATGTCTTGCTAATTCGATAGCGCATGAAATACGTACATTCAATGACCTAACGAGGGCGCAGGGATTGAGCGGTTCTTCCACACATAGCGCGTAAATGCCACTCACCAGATACCTCTCAAAGCAGCGTTGGGGTTGAAGTAATTCGTTACGAGATAGTAATAGCTGCCCTAGTCGTCAACCTAGCAACGGCCTATTCGTACACTGACAGCTCACCATGCGTGCATTGGCATGATCGTGTGGATAGTTTGTAACAGCCTACTCTAACGTATGAGTCGACCCGCATGCTGAAGGATGGGCGGCGTACTCACATCACGATAATCACCTGAAATACCAGCACCGGTAGCGGGAAACGATTGACAAGGGCACTATAAGGATCGTAGTGGATGTGCTTACCAGGACCTTGATTGATAGGTTGTCTTTGGGATACAACCGCACGTATCGATATAGCTGGAGGGCACATATCCCGTACAATCTGAGGTCGAGTCAGCCCCACTCCGATCCGGGCTGTGAGTGATACTCACATTAAACTGAGGAACGTTCCGAGGCTGAATGCACCAATGGTGTGGTCGAGGGTCTCCTGTGGGGCAGCCATATTGTCCACAAGCGAGGCTGGAGTCGCGGCCGGTGGGGAAGGGAAAGCTCGCGTCGGCTGCGGGGATCAGGTTGTCCAAGGTACGGGCGACCCACCTTAAACGAGCCACAGCGAAGAAGGTTTGATAGTAGACAGCGTCTGGCACCTTCGGAGAGCGAAGGTGATGCATCCGATGCACCTTCGGCAGTGCCAGCGCCCACCGGGCGGCGTGAGTTTTGCATGGGCGACTATACGGTGTGTCCGAAGCTCCACGCCGGATCCTGAGCGCTGAACGTCGCCCTGGGCGGCCAACCCACGTCGCAGTGATCATCTGTAGGTGGACAAACAACACTCGGGCGTGGTCCGTTGCACGGAAGTGGCCAAGAACAGGCTCCGCAGCAACGCCGCATCTACGTAAAGTGTTCTTCAGTAAGGGAACATCTTCAGCGTCGGAAAATGGAGGGAATGCCCTTACCGTATATGGGCCAGTTAGCCGCCATGGAAAGGCTTGACAGATGCTAGATGCCAATGAAAATGCAAAGAACTGAGGCGCGGGAGTGCGGCGTCATTGACTTAGCTGCCGCAAGCCACGAGGCTGAGGCACTCTCACACCACGCCAATTCATATACTCACCGCACTCTGTTCCATGATGTACGGGGTGTCCCCGCGGCGCTCCCCCTCGACAGGTACAGGAAGTGCACAAATGACCAAGAGAGGTGCTCTGGAGGCCGAAGATTTGTCGTTGTTCCAGAGTATCGGCGCACACGAGCGCGCAGACGGCCCATCTCGGATGCATCCTGTTCGTAGTTTACTTCTTCTGATAGATCCCGTTTCTGCCTTGCGAGTCCGTAAGCTCTGCGTGTCTGTGTACTGTATAAACCTGGAACTGCGCGCCTCGAAACCGGAGAGAAGACTCACTGGGTTCTCCAAAAGTGGACGATCCCGTCGATATCCGGGATTCCACCCACGTTCCACCGGTCGCGCGAAAGCCGCACTGTCAGCGATCAAACGATACAGAAGTCCGGTGGAGGGCGTTCCGCGGGACAAACAAATTGTAGTGGACTGTCAGGACGTGCTTGTGGCAGGACGCAAGCTTCGAAGCGCCCATTTACTGCACTGCAAGTTCGCTTCACCTCGTGCAGTCGAGAGAGCAACACCAGGGAGCAATGCAACTTTTCGCGGGCACTATGTGCACAACCCCTGAGCTCTATCTCACCCAGCTACACATAAACCGTTCACACCAGTGCCGGGTAGTAATGTTACAAACAACAATCGCATATCCAATCCGTCCAACTCCGTAGTACCATGATACACAAACACTGCCATCCCATTCCCTCGCCGGCTACGGCCATCCGAAGAGAGCACGCTGCGGCACCTCGCTCCACTGCACGTCGCTTGGGCCCTTTACGTCCCACTGCGCCTCAAGCGTGATCTTCTTCCCCGGCGGGATCGCGCACACCCACTCATACAGCCCGTCCTTCTCGCCGCCCTTGCCGTCCTCGACCTCCGTCCAGCGCGCCTTCGCCGTCACACCCGCCTGCGCCTCTGCGAGCTTCATCGCGACCTCGGCGCCCTGTATGGCCTCCGCGAGGCCCGCGGGCTTGCGCAGCATCACCACGACCTGCAGGTCCTCGTTCCCGAGCGGGATGGCGTCGCGCACGACGAGCTCCGTGACCGCGTGCGCGTGCTGGTTCGCGATGGTGGTAATCGCTGTGCGCGCGATGGTCTTGTGCGGTTCCGCGAAGTTGCGTCGGGGTTCGTGCTCCGTCTTCGAGCTCTGCCGGTACGTGACCTTGAGGGACGTGTCCACCCCGAGCACGCACGGGAAGCTCTCGTTCACCGCGATGAACTGCCAAAGCCGTCAGTGTTCTGCATGGATCGACCATGTGAAGCGAGCGACGTACATCTACCGAGGTCTTCGTGACAAAGCTGTCGTCCATGAACACGCTCACAGGCCCGGCGAGCAACTCGTACTCGCTCGTGTTCTTCACCGTGCCCACGATGAACGCCGCCTGGCTCTGCTGCGGCACGCACACGTACTTGAGCGCCGCCTTGAAGTCGAGCGCCGCGATCGTCAGCTTGTGCGCCTCGCCGTCGCTCGGGAGCGACACCGTGCCCTCGACGCGGTATGCGAGCGACAGCGCATTGCGGTTCGGCGCTGGGGCGGGCGTGGGCGGCGCCTCGTCCTGCTCCGTCGTGTCTGCAGTAGTGCCAAACAAACCCCCTGGAGCTTGCGCTGGCGCAGTCTGGCCCTGGGCAGTGCCGAATAGGCCCTGAACAGTCGGCGCCGGTGCGGTCTGTGTCTGCGCCTGGCCAAACAGGCCACCAGCTGGCGCTGGCGCGGCCTGGGTTTGGGCGTTGCCGAAAAGGCCTCCACCTTGGGTAGGTTGGGCCTGCGCCGTGGGGGCCGCACCAAATAGCATGCCTCCAGCTAAAGTTGCCCCAAAATGGTAGATGTGAGACCAACAGAATCAAAGATGCCATGAAGGAAGAGATACGTACGTCCTGCGAAGCCCTGATTCGCCTGTGTTGGGGCTGCTCCGAAAGCGCCAAATGCGGCAGTAGTCGGGGCTGGCAGACTCTGCCTAAGGGCTGGCCCTGCACCGAAAGCTGACGTCGCGAACCCGGACCCCTTCGCAGCGCCTACCCTGATCTTGAGGGGCAGGACAGAGGGCACGGAGAGCCGCCATTGGGCTTGCGTAGTGGCCATGCTCAGGGTAAGCGTTGCGTCTGTCCAGTCCTCCCCGGTGCTCTGGGAGATCGTCGCGCAGTAACGCAACGACACGTCCGCAGACGGTCGACCGTCAGCTGTCGTCGCATGCAGATCATAGTACGGCTTCCAGGAAACCCCCGACACGACTGTACAGGATGTATATCAGCTACGCGCGATGCTACAGCAACTAGTCACTCACGGTACGTCAACTTCAGGTCCACCTTGCTATCGCTCTGGGCGACGATTGTGGCTACGATCGTGGTGGTCGCCTCGCCCTTGCGCGCGCTGCGCAGGAGCCATAGGCTTTTCTCGAGCGCGGCAATCTTCGCATCCAGGTCCCGCAATGCCGCTTCTGCTGCGATCTGCCGCTTCACGAACCCATCCACGAACCCAAGCAGCTCCGCGTGCCAGTTCGCGGTGTTGTTCGCGCCCTGCGGCGGCGATATGATCGCGCGCCCGGCATCGTTGAGGAAACGGACCTCTTGCTGCCGCACCTCGCGCTCTGCCGCGAGCGCGCGGGTCGAGGCGAGGTTAGCTTCGATCTGGGACGAGGTCACATCGTCGCGGAGGTCGGGCGCGTCGTGTGGGTGTCGTCGGCAGACGACGTCGAGCACGCGCACGCCGTCCGGCGTCCCGCTGATCCTGGGAGACTCGGAGTCGGCGTCACTCGATATGCCCTTTATGGTGACCACGTTCTTGCCGCTCTGGACGTTGCTAGGTAAGTCTTCATGTACGAAGAGAACAGAGTGGAGATGAACTCACCTTAAGCTCGAGGGCGAGTGTGCGCGTCACCTCTGCCGTCGACGACTGGAAGATAGTCGCGGACTTAACAGGCGCAGATAAAGTACTTATTTTGATCTGGTTCACGAACATGATGGTGCGAGAGGAGCAGAGTATCTTTGTTGGCAGATGGAGCTCTCTTAAATGCCGCAACACCGGGCGCTTGTGGTGGCCCGGAAGCCGAAGGCTATAGTGACTCGTGCATCCGCAGACCCTAAGTGCTGCGATAGAATGTCCTCACCGAACGCACTAGGTGTGCTAAAGGATATGGCATGACAGCCTCAGCGCCCATGCGACAGGACGGGCTACAGGTTAACACAGCCACGACACGGCCACACTGTCCAGAGCCTCAGGTACCTTTTGGCGGCCAACGAGGTTTCGTGTCGCATGTCGACATTCTGCCGATATAACCCATAATGTCCTTCACGCTTCGGCCACCGGTGATTGATGGAGGAGGGGAGGAAGCAAGCCTGGGCGCACTCCAACATCAGCATCGGAAGTACTTCTGACCTACGATTCTACTGTCGACGACACCAAGATGCAAAAAAGGACTCAATCGTACAACAAATGATACTCGCAACTACGCCGCGTTGACCTCCAACTCCTCCAGCCGTGTGATTTGTCTGCAGAGGAATTAGCTGGTTTAGCCACACCACCAGACGCGTGCACAAACAAGACGTACCTGTCCCGAATGGCCTCTTGCCACCGCTGCAGCTTCGCGATCTCGTTGACCTGGAACCCGAAGATCCGTGGTCGGTATCTGTCTGCCTTCAGCGCCACGGCAGCCGTGCTGCCCGCCTCGCCCACGCCCTCAGCCTGCGCGTCTTGCTCTTCCCTGACTCGCCTACTGCGCCTGCTTCCCTCGATGTCGGCACCACGTCCGGGAAGACCGAGCTCCACGGGTCCGCTCTTCGGGGGAATGAGGTTGGGGTAGACGAGGAAGAGGAGATGGGGGAAGGAGGTGCCGAAGTACGCCCCGTCGATCGAGCCATGGCGGGAGGACTTGGGTGAGTAGATGTCCTCGCAGCGCCCGCAGTAGAGCTTCACAGATTTCTCGTACGGCACGTCTGTAAGACCAACGGGGAGGAGGGGTTGTGATTGGCAGAGCACGCGTGGGCAGCGGCCGAAGTCTGCGCGCTTGTACTTCTCGAGCTGTGGAGCGACAAGAAGCGTGAGGGGACAAAGGTGGAGAGCGTGATAGCATGGGTAAGAGAGGAGATGAGAGGTAAAGCATGTTACACACCATCTTTGCCAGGCCTCTCGCCGTTACGATCCATCTAGCGTGGATGAGCCCATAGAGGAGACGAGCCTGGAGGTCGAGGTTCCCGCGAAGGTCATCCTGGATCTCCTCATCTGGGATGTACAGTATAAGCGCACGAGATCATAAAGTCAAGGTCAGGCTACACACCCAGGTTGTCCGTGATCATGTCCAGTGCCTGCGCATAGTGCTGCACCTCCGTGTTGAGACCCGTCAAATTGAATCGGTCTAGAATGTAGTCCTCTTCGACCTCGCAGAAGTACTCATTGCCCTTCGACGACAAGAACCACGAGATCCACTGTAGCATTCGTTAGACGGTGTCCGGGTACGTTTTGTGGGATGGTGGAGAGAAGTACCGAGCTAGAGCTTCCTCAGAACATCCGTCAAAGACGAGCGATTGGAGTAAAGGTCACTCACTTGGAATAGTCGGACCCGGAGCCCGTCGAGACTTCTTCCACTGAAGAGGTAGCCAGATTAGTCCAAGAAGTGAATATACCGGTGACCCCAGGGTACTGACTGCTGATGAAAAGGAGGGAAGAGGAAGAGAGGTCTAGGGAAGGTGGTAGGCGGAGGCAAGAGGCGGAATGTCAACTGAATACAAGGAGCATTGATTGCTATTGATTGATCTCGTTGACCTGTTGAACTACACTTGCTTATTTGCTTCTTACTCGATTGGTACATGATCAGTATTTGTCAGTAGCTCGCTACCCTTTGGCTTACTCCGGTGACCAAAGCCGGCTTATTAGCCAAATAGCACACCGGAATTTCTAAGCGCCTCATCACGGTCAACGCCTTCTGCTTCGTACCTTGCGCGTGTGCCTCGCCGCGGAACCTGCTCATGTGGACAATAACTTTCTAAGGGACTACATTCGTGCTGTACCTACATGCTGGGCGACGCTGTGGTGACGATGCCGACTGACCTGCGCTCGACCGCAGCCTTTGAGCTGGACTCGCCCGAGCTGCCTCCGCCGGAACCAAAAGGTCTCGCCAGACTTACGGTGACCATACCCTCCTCGTACAGTCCGCAAGTGAAGGTTGCGCCGCATCCCTTGCCGCGATGGAGGACACCGGAGTTCATGGTTTACTACGTGGTGTTCGTTCTGGTGGTACCTATGATGGCCTGGATACCCTACAGCCTCAGTTCCTGTGAGTACTTCTTCGACTCCCTAGCGAGAAAGGATTGGCACTGAGCGACGCAGCTTCACATCCTAACTATCCTTTCTATGAGAGGCGGTTGTCACCCGGGTGGATGTTCGGCCGGAGAGTGGTCAGTACACAAAGGAGTTCAGTGTGGTCGTCATAAATAATAACATTGGACCCAGGACAACAGCGACAACCAGTACCGCTCCTTCCGATCTGGACTGTCATCTCTGGTGCTCCTCGCCAGTGCATTCCTCGGCCTGAAATACTTGTATACCCTGGTCGCCCGCCAGACTCGCCATGCTTCAGATAACTCTAACTTATTCCAAGTCCCTTTCCTGGTCGCTTTCTCGATCGCCATGCTCTTCGGCCTTCACGGCCTGAGTGCGCTGAAAGTTCTCTCCATCCTTGCGCTCAACTACGGCATAGCTAAGACGTCCGCGGGATACAAAGCAACTCCCGCGTTGACGTGGGTCTTTAATGGCCTGGTCCTATTTGCGATCGACCGCAACTCAGGGTTCAGCTACGCCTCACTGCATCCATACTTGTCTGCTTTGGTACGTCGATATATCAGCCCCTACTGCGTATCTGACCTGACCAGCCGTCCCCGTAGGATGCTTGGAAGGGAGTATACCCGCGGTGGTGGATCAGCTTCAACATCACGATGTTGAGGCTCATCTCATTCAACATGGACTACCATTGGGCATGCAGACGCATCGGTCTCCCTGACGTAAGTGTCGCGGTAATTGGGAAAAGGTACATGTTGACGCGTCCGGTTCCAGACAGGCAGTGCGATGCTGGACAAGCAAAGACCGCGTGTCCCGCATTCGCTGGAGCTCTACTCGTTTGCGAATTATCTCGCCTATGTGCTCTATCCGCCGTTATATATCGCGGGCCCAATCATGACCTTCAATGACTTCACGTGGCAGGTAATTTGTTCCTGCATCAACAATTTGTGTCTGTGTTGACGAACTGCGATATAGCTGCGGCGACCCTTATCTATCAGCCCGCGGTCCAACTTAGGCTATCTCGCCCGGTTTACAGCATGTATCCTGACACTGGAAGCTGTCCTGCACTTCATGTATGTCGTTGCTATCAAGGACACCAAAGCATGGATCGGTTACTCAGCAGCTGAGCTGTGTCTGGTCGGCTTCTGGAACCTCATCGTGGTCTGGCTGAAGGTAATTTATGTCCAGTTTTGCGTAGCACCTTGAATCTCGCTCATGTTCCTGTCAGCTTCTCGTCCCATGGCGCTTCTTCCGCTTATGGGCACTACTCGGCGGCGTAGACCCTCCGGAGAACATGGTGCGCTGCATGGCGAACAACTATTCGACGCTCGGCTTCTGGCGCGCATGGCACCGGAGCTACAACCTCTGGATAACGCGCTACATCTACATCCCGCTCGGTGGCACGCGCAACCGCGGGTACACGGTCGTGCTCGTCTTCACGTTTGTCGCGCTCTGGCACGACCTCTCCTTCCGTCTGCTTGCGTGGGGTTGGCTCGTCAGTCTGTTTATCATGCCGGAAATCGCGGCGCGCTATCTCGTCCCTGCTTCGAAGGTACGTTCATAATTCAGCGTAACGCGCGGGGTGAGTGGAAGGCTGATGGGCGGCGCAGTACGGGGATAAGTGGTGGTTCAGACACGTCGGCGCTATTGGCGCGGTATTCAACGGCTTGATGATGATGGCAGCGAACCTCATCGGGTTTGTTGTTGGCACAGATGGGTTGAAGTACATTATTCACCAAGTGTTCGATACCTGGGAAGGTACGCCCGTTCTCGCATGCGCCTGTGTCTCCTCCTGAGCATATTCTTGTACAGGCATCCGCTTCCTGATATTCTCGTGTGTCTGTATATTCGTTGCTATCCAGGTCATGTTTGAGTACAGGTGCGTGCTATCCTAGACCTCCGTCCCTGACCGCGCTAACTAGTGTACGTTAACAGAGAAGAGGAAGAGCGGCAAGGGATCGCTCGGCGATGCTAACGCGGACTTGTAGGTGGCCAAATGGACTGTCGCTCGGGCGATGAGCTGCTATTGTACTTCATGTTAATCGTAGACCTATGTATATACCGTACTCCAGTAACGTATCGCATAGCTGCGCAGGTTGTCATTCTCGAAGTTTCGAACGTACATAGCTTGCCAAAAATGGACCAGCACTGAAGTGTCTATGGGCGCCTGTCACTTGGACACCGAGAGCGGGGAAATCGACCCGTCTTCGCATCTTGGCCTGCTACCACATCCACCCTCATTTCCCGCCATCCTCCGCTGTCGCTCGTCTCCCCCAATTACTTTCTTGACTTGATACCTCACTCATCGGTGCCTCGAGATACCCACTAGCACCATGTCCACCTCATCATACAAGTACGAACGCCTCGCGACAAGCCCCACAGCTGCGCCCTCAGACCTCAAGCGTCGGACGAGCCACGACGAGCCCACGAGCGACATCCATGAGCTGCACCGCCGGCTCGAGGCGGACCCCCGCTTCAACCCACCCACGCCGTCCGTGTGGAAGCGCGTCGCGCTCATCCTCTTCCTCCTGTTCGTCTTCTGGTTTGGGTTCAAGCTGCGCACGTCCGTGTCCCCGGGCGCCGCGCCAAAGGTCGTTCATGCTTCTAGGTGCGTCAACCCCGTTCGCTGATGCTCGCGTGTGCTTGTAGGTTGCGGCGTAGAAGGCTGAGACGTTGCGTCTGCGGTGTGTATGACAGGTACTCTAGGGACCACAAATTTAGGCCGGCGGCGAGCCCGATCATTACTGAGCGGCTGAAGGACGGTCGTACGCGTGTGCGGGGGGCTGCCCCGACGGCTCGGTGAATGGTGCGTGTCGGTTTCTTCACCACTTGTTGGTGTTCTGAGTTAACATTGAAGGTGCAGTGGGCGCATTCCCTGCATGGACTTTTTAGATTCTGTGGACGTACATGCCTTGATTTTGTCTTGCTCTACCCCTCTCTCATTCTCCCACCGACAATGGAGGCTTCCCTACTATGGGCCGTTCCCTCCCCTATCTGCCGCCGCTTTCTCGGATATCCGCTACTTCTGCGTAATACATGCTTGGCCCGCACAAGGTCCACAAGAAACGCGTGTGTCCTCTCCTCGGCTGCCGCACTTCCAGGTGCATGCTATAGCCAACCCCAATTATTGAGGAATGGCGTGAGACTGGCTGCGCAGGCTTACCTACCATCATGGACCCCGTTACACAACACAGGCCACATGCAAGGGTAGCCGACGGCCGTTAATTAAATTCATAGGCCCCCCTGCCCTCAGTCTCTCATACCATTCCCAGATTCATCGGCCCTGACAAAATGTGGAGCAGCAACTATGCATGAAGCCACACCCGTTTTACCTCGCATGCAGTCGGCGGAGCAGTATTCACGCTTCAAGCAGTATTTCTCTCCGTATCCAGTTGGATTGGCAAAAAGGGAAAAAGTGCGCTAGGAACGGTACAAAGTGTTCTAATGCAGCAGTGGGGTGTGCGGGAAACACAACCAGGAAGCTCGGATGAACATGCGGAGAACGCTTAGGCGACGCCCTGGGAGGCCTCGCCGGCGTTCTTGGTGTCGGTCGCGATGTTCGTGGTGAGCTTCTTCTGCTCCGCAGCGATCTTGCTCTCGATGGACGAGGTGTCGGAGCCAGCAGCCTGGGCCTTGGCGAGCTTAATCTGCAGGCCTTGGACCTCGGCGGTGAGCTTGAGCACCTTGTTCTTGATCTTGCCGTTCTGGAGGGCCGTGGCTGAGACGCGCGGACTCGTCAGTGTCTTGATGATACCTATGGGCAGAACAAACGACGTACCAGCATCGCCCGACGCAGCCGCGATGGCGGGGTTGAAGTCGTCGGTCTCAGCGGACTCGGCAGCCTGACGCATCGTCTCGATGTTGTCCGCGACGCTGTCGTCGAGCGTGGCGAGGTCAACACCGGCGAAGGGGTCAACGAAGACAGCGTTGGCCTCAGCCGCGGCGTTGCCGGTCGTGCCGTCGGAGATCTGGAAGTCGGCGTAGCTGGTGGTAGAACCGTCAGAATCTTCCAAACACTAGCCCACGCAATGCATTACTCACTCCTGAACAGCGAAAGCGACACCAGAGCCGCTAGCAGCAGCGGCAGCAGTGCTGGAGGCAGCGGCGGCGGTCTTCGTGGCGGAAGCGGCGGCCTTCTTGGTGGAGGAGGCAGCAGCGGAAGACGAGGCATCAGTGGCATCCTCGTTGGTGGACGCGGCGGCCGCGCCACCGGTAACGCCCTGGGAAGCCTGGCCAGCCGCCTTGGTGTCAAGACCGATGTTCGTGGTCAGCTTCTTCCTGTAAACGACCATGGTAAGCATCGTGGCAAACAAACATAACCGAGCCACTAACTGCTCAGCGGCAAGCGACGCAGTGAGCTTGGTGGTGTCCTTGCCCGCAGCCTTCGCCTGGGCGATCTGGATGTTGATGCCCTGGACCTCGCCAGTGAGCTTCAAGACCTTGTTCTTGATCTTCCCGTTCTGGAGCGCGGTGGCGGCGGCACCGGAGGCAGCCTCAATCGCGGGGTTAAACTGGGAGGTCTCCGCGTCCTCAGCGGCCTCGCGCATGGTCTGGACGGCCTTGAGCGTGGTCGCGTCGACGGTGGCAAGGTCAACCCCATTGAAGGGGTCGACGAAGACCGCGTTGGCCTCGGCTTGCGCGTTGCCGGCGGTGCCGTCAGAGATCTGGAACGCAGCGTAGCTGCAGAGGTGGTCAGCGTGGGTTTACCGAAAACGAGCGCTTGGGCACGTACTCCTGGAGCGCGAATGCGGCGCGCTTGGACAGGCGGATAGGCGCGGCAGCAACCAGGCCGGCAACAGCGAGCGTGAAAACGGATGCGAGTCTGACCATCTTGGGCAATGATACGGACTGGGTGAACGACGAGTGGAGCAAGAGAGTGAAGGAGTAGACCGAGGGGACAGGCTAGCTGTGTACTTGCTGCAGAAGGAACAACAGAGACAGACTAGCTGCTTGCACGGAAGGAAGGAAAGAGGCCTTCGAGACCGGACCACAAGGGAAGGAAAGTGGAGGAGAGAAGAAAGTGTTGGATGCCAGCGTGCAGCTCTCCCCGCCTTTATATTCCAGGGCCATCGCACCACCCCGCGTGCGCAAGCCGTTACGCCGAGGGATCGAGGGCGTGCACGGTGGCTGCTCCGGCGGCCACGAGCCGGCAGCCAGTGGAAGATTCTGACGTTCTGTTTACGAGGCACCGTTGCGACGCAGCGCGCGGAAACGCATAAACGGGGCGCCCTTGGCACGCGAACCACAGAGACCTGCCTTATTGGGATACAACGGGTGCGGTCATGAGCAGTGATGAGGCACGGTGCCGGGCTCCCTTGACGACAACCGGCGGCTCGACCATCTTCGAGGTCGAGCACGCATGTATTATGCGGCCACCGGGACATATGATCTCGGCGCACCACGACCGAGGCTTGCACATCGATTAATTAAAGGTGCGGGTATACCCCATGGGCCAGGGAGCTTCTTGAACGCGCAGGCAAAGTGATATGTGAACGACAGTAGTGGGCTTGTATACAGGCGGTCAGAGTGAGCCTCGCTGGTATCCAAGAAGTACAGTAGCGAGCTAATGAGATCACGGTAAAATGAAACGGAGATCGCAGCAACAACTATCACAGTCGCGAGCCCGCCCTGCCGGAGAGTCGCCAACAGCGTATCACGCTGTCAAAGGTATGCCGTGGATAGTCGTTGAGAGCGCGTAGTGCTCGTTCACTGCGTCAGACGCTTCAACTGCGAGAGCCGCCCCGTCTTCGTCAGTATGACGGACGAGGCCCCCACGAGCGCAAACACAATCCAGAAACCCCACCTCGTCGCAGCCGTGAGCCCAGTCGCCTTTCCGGGCCGGGGAGGAAGCGAGACCGTCCCGAGGAACTTCTTGTAGTTCGGCTAGAGTTAAAGAGGCAGCGTGAGATGCCCGTTGGCAAGGGGGTACAAAGGCAGAAGGCATACCTTGTAAGGAGGGAAGCGGAAGCTGAAGACCTTGTCGACCCTGCGTGGCTGTGAGTATGGGGAGACGGCTGTGTGTCATGGGAATACACGTACCAGCTCGGGTTGTTCAAAGACACACGGAGGTAGGAGAACGTGTCAAAGGCGAACTTGCCGCCGTAGAAGCCGTCTGAGGGAACAAAAGCCTGTGAACAGGTGTCCCATACGGAAAGAAGAACGAATCGGACTGACAGCCACTCTCCCCAACACCTCCGACAGGCAGTCCGGGGACTAACAGATCGCCAAATGAGCGTTCCAAATGTCAGGTGCATAGTGAACGACGCCTTACCGCCAGCTGTGAGAACGCTCTCGTTCACAACGGCCGCACCACTCCTGGTGTTCCTAAAGACTACATATGTTGAACGTCAAAAGTGGATTCGGCGGGACTGTCACTGGGTTCATACCTTTGTCCTGGAACGCCTTGTCCTGCGAGAAGACGTAGACGGCAAGCGGGTGCTCCCTGTGTAATCGTGAGCACGACATGATACGAGTGAGAGCGAGAGTACCAACCTCGCCCGGATGATCGAGAGCGCCTCGTCGATGTCCTTGACGGGAACCAGCGGCAGCACTGGGCCGAAGATCTCCCTGCGCGTCGACGAAGGTAAACCCATGGTCTAGACACAAGATATAGAGGATAAATTACGAACTCGGCCATCAGGATATCGTCCAGCCCGACATCGCGAACAACGGTCGGCGCTACGAACCGTGTGGGGACATCCACAGAGCCCCCGAGAACGATCTTGCCCTTCGTCTCATCAATGAGACGCTTGATGCGCTGCGTATGCGCCTCCGTGACGATGTGCGTGATGGAGTCAGACTTTTCAGGGCCGTCGGGGTAGAAAGAGGCGTAGCTGTAGTACATATATGAGACACGGGGCAAGCGGATGAGCGAGGGAGGCACGTACGCCTCCTTGAGCGCCTCAACCAAGGTGTCTTGGAAGTCTGCGGGCACCAGAACGTACTCCGGGCACAAGCAGATCTAGGGCCGCAAGTCAGGCGATGCCGTGCACGAAGTAAAGTGCGATGCGCACCTGACCACCGTTCGAGAATCGGCCCCAGAGCAACCGCCGCGCGGCCATCTTGAGGTCTACCTTGGGATCAAACACTACGGGGTTCTTTCCTAGAAAGCGTAAATCATTCGTCAGCCGCTGAGTACACCTACGTCTGGCGGCGCCCATTTACCTCCAAGCTAGAAAAAAGCGATGTGAGCTCAAAATTACACAGCACAAGCATGAAGGATTACCTCCAAGGTGACAGGTGTCAAATGCTTCGCCGCGGCGGTTGCAACGATGCGGCCAACACGTCCATTGCCTGGTATCTCAGCATCAGTTACGATCCGGAGAAGACGGCGAGTGAATGCATACCTGTGTAAAGAACTGCAGACACATGTCAGTCGGCTAGCCTCTCTCTGAAGCTTATATAAACACTCACTGTGATCCCACCGGAGCTCGAGGGCCTGCGACATGATCAGAAAACTGACGAGACACACTCCCCGGGTGCACACCCACCTTCGTCGTCTCTGCCACGCTTCCATTGATAACGTGGTAGAGCTCCGTGTCAAGGTACTTGGGCACGAGCTCCGCAAGCAGTCCCGCAATGGAAGGAGTTTGCTCGGAAGGCTTCAGGACGGCCGCGCTTCCCGCTGCTATGGCACCGACCTGCGTAGCATCAGCACGCCGCAGACAGCTGCGTCAAATTGAAGGGAAGGCGTACCAGGGGGCCGATGAGGAGGAACATGGGGAAGTTAAACGGCGCAATGAGCAGCGCCACGCCCTTCGGCTGCGGTGCGTACGACGGGCTCATGACGAAGTACTTCGGGTTGAAGCCCGGGCTCTTGGGCTTCACCCACTTCTCAATGTTGTCGTAAGCCTGCTTGATATCGTTGTACACCGTCCCGAAATCCATCCTGCGGAGCGTGTGAGCAAGATCGGCTTGGCTGTGCAGGTTACAATGCGTACATGTCTGTCTCCTGAGGGGGCCGACCTAGGTCGGCGTGCAGAGCAGCGCGGAGCGCGTCCTCATTGTCCCTGATGAGCCAGCCGAGCTGGGCGAGCTGCTCTTTACGGAAGGCAATCGACTGCGTCCTTCCCGTGTTGAAAGCCTTGTTGGCAATCTCATGGATCTGCAAGTACGCGGTTACTCGTGAGCGCGGATAGGAACTAGTTTAAACGAGTACGCTACCTTGGGAATATCATCCACGGGGGTGTACGTAAGCGTGCGAGCGGCCATGGTGAATCTCGAGTCTAGCGGGGAGGCGTGGGTCGCCTGGGGAGATGTCAAGGACGCGATTTGGTGGAGCGGGGTGGACGCGGGGTTGAAGGAGCGATCTGGCAACATCTCTGCTCTTTTGCCATCGACGCGTGTGAGTATACGGGGCCGACCACAAGCGATGACTGCACCACCCCGGACACCCGGTGGCAGAAGACGGAATGGAAACGGTTGCAAACGTACACCCGGCCCTGCCGACGCGGTGGAGTCGCGATCACATGTCAGTGCCTGATCGCGCTACCCGCCCTTGGCGATCCCCGACTCTTTCGGGTTCGCGGTATTTTTGTGCTGTGAATGTACCCGGGCTGGCCTTCTCAGCAACTGATTTAGTGAGTGGCTGCCAGTATATATGTTAGCTTGGGTTGATTTTCGGGAAAGGATAACGCATAGTGGTAGAGAGTGACGGACCTGAGCGTGTGTGAAAAGCTGGCCAATGGCATGCGCAGCCCGACTCGCGCGATCACTCAGCGGGCCTTACGATTACTTCCGGGCCAAGTTCGCGCGACTCGTCAACGCGTCATCCGTGCAGAATTCGCAAGACGCAGCGTCCTGTAGAAAGTACTTATGACCAGGAGCGCACAGCACAAACTAATCGGCCAAAGGATCAGTATTTTACACGGGACTTCCATACACAGGGCCACCATCCAGCAGACTTCGCTAATATCGTACATGGACATTTCGACTGGGCGATGTTCAACACGAGGCTTACTCTTAGACCACGCCATCGCTGCGAATGGCACACTGGCCAAAATTCCGCGTCGTGAGGCCCTCCTCCCTGGGAAGGATATCCTGAAAAAGCGATGAGTACAGACGGGAAGGAATGACGCCAGAACGTGAGACATACGAAGTCGAAGATCCCGAGCGGGAGTGCCATGGTGACACATGCATTTGGTGAGTCCTAAGGCATGAAAACGCGTTATCAAGACGCACAGCAAGTACGTGCCACTGAGCCAATGACATACCACGATTGCGCCTACATGACTCTCCACCGGGGCCGCAGACAAGAGAAGATCTGCAAGGATAAAAAAAATCTTCAGCACGCGACTCATGTTGAGGATCGACGGGACAACGTACATGCTTGCTCGCGGGCTTCGTCGCAGGAGAAGGTGGTCAGCAGGTGTAGGATCCGTGGGGACGGCGGGTGACTCACTATAGCCAAGCTGCAAAGACGGGATTAACACGGAAACCTGCTATATAATAGGGGCGACATACCTTCATCAAGTACGTGATAGCATTCAGGGTTGCTTGCTTGAAAGCGACGGTCCTGTGGTCACACGCTCAACCCAACCGTCATCACACAAATGAATCGAGAGGATGAGCTCACGCGTCCATGTTGTACTGCTTGCCATCACCGTCTAGATCGTGATGGACCCAAGTTGAGTACACAGTCTTCAACAACTGCAAAGCGCAGGTACTCACGGACGTCAACACTGATGCCCTCGAAGACAAGCTTCGCGGAGTACAAGGGGTCCACTGGGGACGGCTAGCGAAGTCGCGAGTGAGCAAGGTACAATAATCTTGTGATATACTCACCAAGAACATCGGCTGCTTCATGGAAAACTTCTCGACGCCACCCTTGATGATGCTGCAACTGAAAGTGATGATCCCAGCCTGTAGTAATTCGTTGGCTCGTTTGACCCTAAAAGCCGCATTCCTGTGCTACGCGCACGTACCATCTCGATGGCGCCACAGAACGAGATCTACAGACCACAGCCACATCCCCGCTCAGTGAGGGAAACTAGAGAAAAGTGTGTATCATACCTCGCCCTATAGAAGTTGTCAGTCATGAACGCGTGCACAAACGTTGCGGGGACAAGATGCTTACATCGCCCTGGGAGAAATGCAGATCACCAACAGACAAATTGGCGCCCTTGATGTACACCGGGAAGTAGCAGCGTGAACCCCTAAAGCGCAAGATAATCGTCAAAAGGTGGCCTCTTCGGTTCCGGCAGGCGCTGCTTACTTAGACAGGTTCTTGATCTGCCGAGGTCTCGCAACGTCAGAGCAAGGTTCCGCGGAGATATACCAAACAACATACGTCGCAGTTTCCGCCATGCTCGCGCGGCGGCACAGTGCGCGCACCCTCGCGAGCGACCTTCTCCTTGATCTCATCCGAGACATCCTGTCCGACATACGCGCCAGTCGGCTCGGGCGGGAACGCGACGGGCGGGACGGAGGGGCCGTGCGCGTCGATGAGCGCGCCCTCACGCGTGTTCCATGTCGCGAGCAGCTCCGCCGAGGGCGCGGTGCCGATGAGGCCCGGGTGCGACACGCCCGCGAAGCGCACCCCGGGGATGTGCCGCGACGAGGCGTAGACGCCGTGGAAGTCCCAGATCGCCTTCGCGGCCCTGCTGTTGAACTCGCGGGCTATTCGGTACGCGGCGGTCAGGGTCAGGGTTGATTGTGTGGGTCTTTGTGGTGGTGGTTCTACGTACCGAACAAGCCACCGCCGTTCTCGAGCTCGAAGATGCCCTGAAGCGATTATCAATGTCAGTTGGGCTGCAGCGCTACGAAACAGAAGTTGGACATACGGTGTATCCCCAAGGCATCTTATCGAAAGGCCTCACTGTTTATTTCCATTGAGTGCATCAGCGAGTGAAGCTTGAACAATATGCATACCATCCAGGATGTCCACGACGAGGCAGTCACCAGGCTCTGCGCCTTCGATGGCGACAGGCCCAGACAGGTTGTGGATCTTCGTGAGATCCACATTCTTGATATCATCGCTGTCTACGATTGATACTGTGAGCCGAGCACGCATCAGGTTTCTCTTGTAGGATGCGTACTGTCGTTGTTTCCGATCTGAGCACCAGTCCAGTCTGGGGGCAGACATCAACGTTCAGCCATGCACCTCTAGTGTGGATGCACACGAGCGTACGCACCTACGCATTGGACAGTGAAGACCTCCCCAGGCTTCACTGACGCGAACGCCGGAATATCAGGGCTATCAAGATCGTCAGAGGCTATAAGCTATGCAAAGCATGGGGACTGACTGCCAACGGTTGTGAATACCCTATCGTCAGGTAGAGCGTCAGCGCCGAGAGACACAAGAGGTATAACGAAACACGCATGCCTTCTGCTGGTCGGCAGGGCTATAGAAGCAATCTCGCATATCAGATACACCTATTGTGATCTCTCAGGTGCTCTTACTTACATGAAAGGGTCGACCTGGATACCCATACCTCCTCAGTATGGGCGCTTCGTTGGATGGATGGAGCATCGGGTGACTGACCTCGATAACGGTGCGATGCGCAAACGAGTTCTCCTTGGTCGCCATGCTGATGATTCAGTTGATAACACAGAATAAAGAAGACACAGAGAGTGATAGACGCGTCTTGTCTCCTACAGATACCGTGGAGGCTGCGAAGGCGAAGTAGCTCGGATTCCTCCACATTCCCTCCTTTTATCTCAATCTGCGTGTGCAGTGTTACGAGTCACAGTATACCCACCCCAAAGATAAGGCCTAAGGAACGGCAGGCCGTCGGGGGTTTCGTACGAAATACCCAGGCTACGTGACACCTGAAGCATCGACGATAAGATAGGGTTCGCGGGATGATAAAAGAGATGATTGGAGAAATACTCAACTGTATAAATGCTGCGCCGAACGACTACGGGTCGCACGGATGAGGCGCAGATGACCGTCCACGTGGATACGAACCGCCAAATCCATGTGAGAAGTGAACTGGAGTGGCACGCATGAGAGACTCCGTGTGCGGTCCAGACGTCTTGGACGCTGATGTTGAGATTGTAGCCGTTCGCCCAGATGGTAAAGCGTGGAGCTTCGAATTTGATCAGTTTCCGGGAGTATCGGACGAACGTGCAGTGTACGGAACGCAGTGGCCTGTGGCTGTGATGTAATGCATTCAGTAATCAGCAGAAATACACGAGGGTTCATCGGAAAGACAGAGCAGGCGTGAATAGATCGTGATAGGTCGTAACAGATAGGTATCGGTGGACAGACGGAAGATGAGTGAATAAGTCAGCATGCAGGGATGTGATGATAAGTGAGATGTGCAGTATATCAGCAGAGATAGGACAACCAGTTTGAGCGAGATGGAGTAAGAGGTTCAGGGGAGAATGAGACCAACGAGGAAGTAGACGGCGAAGATAGGTATAGTCGTGGTCCATGTTATGAATTGACTTGTCCTTGGTATCGCTTGATGAGTTCCCTCAACCGCGCCTGTCCAAAGGCGAGTTCCGCCTTGGGCGACTTGGCTACCACCGGGGTTGACCCCGAAGTAGACGTCGAGGGAGATGCAGTTGCGTGCGGAGCTGCGCGTGGAGCGTCCTCGGATATCGTCGGAGGCAGCTTGACGTTCATCTTGTGGCGTTCAGCAGGAGCAGGGGCTGGACGCGCGAGCGATGCCGTAGACGAGATCATCGGTGTCGCCAGGGACGATGATACTACTGCCGGCACCGAAGCAGACTTGACCATCCGAGCGCGCCTCGCAGGCATACCTCCGCCAGAGGCAGACGTAGCATCCACGGCAGGGGGTGTAGGAGTAACCGAGGGCGAGGATGCTGCTGTCTTGGCTAAGGGTCTCAGTGCGCGCGGGCGGGAGTCGGCCTGCGGAGCAGGAGACTTGGACGGCTCGGACTTCGGGGCCGCTGGGGCCGCGGTCGCTGTCCATTGCTCAATGAGCTTGGTCGGTTTCCTTTGAGGCTTGACTGCGACAACAGGAGGTTTGGGTGCCTCTTGTTGTGGTGTCTGCGTCGCGGACGCCCAGAGCGAGGCTACAGACGTTACGATCCCGCCTCGGCCACCACGCGCAGAACGCACGTCGTACTTGACCTCCGGGTCCAGGGAACGAGGCGGGTACACGGCAAGACGAGGGGACGCCTTCGGTAGGAGGTAGGCATCCCAAGGGGCTGCGCCCTTCTGACCAGACCTTGCGCCGGTGGCATGGAGCGTTGGCGCAGCTCGTACACTACCGATGGCGATGAAACCAGAAGAGCGTGGGTTTGGTGCCGCTTGTGCCTCCTTGGGTGCAACCTGGTCTACAGGAGGGGCATCGGTGCTCGTCTGAGGCTGAGATGCGGCCACAGGGTCGGGAGACGGAAGTGCCGGAGGCGAGACTTTCGGACTGGGAAGCGGAGAGCGCGCAGGAGACACGGCGGGAGACCGGGCAGGAGACCTACTCACTGCTCTATCTGTAGGCTTTGCGGGAGGCGACAATGCTGCTGGAGGTGGTGTCGCAGGCGGAGGTGTTCCCGACGGCGGCGGTACCTCAGGATCGATGTTCCCCAACCAGGCGGCAATTCGACCCTGTGCAGCCTTGCGCAGATGGTGAAGCTCCTTGTCTTTCTCTGGCGGGGCCTCGGGGTTCGCACTGCGCTTGCTGGTGTTCTTCTCCCCGCGCTCGCGCTTGGTCCCGCCAGATGCACTCTTCGTCTCTTTACTTCCCCTGTCCCGACCTCTCGCCGTCTCCTTGCTATCCCGGGCGCGCATCGTCTCCTTACTCGCTCTCGCACGCGTAGTCGACGTCGGTAGCAGCTCATCCCCGTCCTCCCTGTCACTGCCCCCACGCGCGCTCATGTTCCCGCGCCGAAGCGTGCGTTCGTCCCCGTCGACGTCCAATCCTGGCAACGTGAGACTCGAGATGGCAGAGTCATTCGGGGGGTCGACATCCGTCGCGCGCGGGATCGCGATCGGCATGACCGTGCGCACGTCCGGCGGACGCTCGCCTTTCTCCGGCTTGCGTGTGCCGACCTCAGCGAGGAGCCGTGCCTCAAGCGCATCCAGCCCTGACGAGTCGTTCCCAGGGCGTAATCCGCGAGGCACCTTGAGTGAGGTGACCGCAGCGAGCGTCGGAGTCGGTGGTGTCTCAGCAGCCGCGGCGTCCGTGTCCAAGAAGTCGACAGGGAAAAGCGACTCTGCCCGGCTCCGCGGAGTAGGGATATTCTCCTTGTCCGTTGGCACTGGTGGCCTTGGGAGCGTCTTGTCCCTAGTGTCTTCGCCTAGCGCAGGGCCAGACAGAGGGACGACAGGGCCTGCATGCTGCTGTTCAGCTCGTGCTGCGATGCGCTCGAGGTTTTCGACCTGGGTGACTTGGTCGAATGGGTCGTTCGTGAAGGACCGTTTCGGCGAGAGCATCGGGCGTGGAGATACCACCTCTCCGCCAGTGAGCAAGGGTGAGAGCGACAGCGTGGTTGCGCCCCCACGACGGGTCGCTGGGGACGAACCCGGGCTAACAGTGGCATCATGCGCAGCGTCAAGGGTGGTAGGAGCAGCAGCGAATGCGATAGGTATGGGAGGAGCGGCATCTGGCAAGTGGAAGCGGTGGGCAGGTGGAGATGCTGAGCGGTGGCGAGAAGACAGGCGGAGGTGGTGTGAGATGCGGGAGGCCCGCTCGCCCTTACCTTCTTCACGTATGCCGGGCTGGGATCCACCTGTAGGCATCGGGAGCAGAGGTGGTGGCGCAACTGCGGGCGGTAGACCGGGCGGCATGTTGTACAGCGGTTGAGATGGCGTGGGCTCCGCACTGGACGGGCGTGGCGGTGGGAGGTACGGGAATACGGAGGTAGGAGGGGAGGCCATGTAGCCGTAGTAAGGCGCGGGCGTGTACGCGTTGTAGGGTATTGGGCTCATGGACGGAGGCGGCAGCCATACTTGGCCGTGTTCTACATAGGGCCCGATAGGCGGAGACATCGGGAGAGCCGGGTATGCGTAGGGGCTGGTAGGACGGTCGAGGTAGGGTGTGGGAGATGAGGGAGGCTGATAAAACATGCCGGAAGCCGGGTCGTACACAGGCGCAGCGGACGGCGCTGGGGGTATGGCGTACATATCGTATGGTGAGAGTTCTGGGGCAACAGATTGATGCAATATTGGGACAGGTAAATCCAAATGAATGTCTTTGCTGCTCGAACGGTGTTAGATAGCGTCACGAAGAAGATGTCTAGTGATTACCTTCCTATCCCCATGGAGAGCTTGACACTTGCTATACAGCGTACCTCAAACAGGCATTCACTAATCTTGCCTTCATCGCCTATTCGGCGACCACCCTTGACGCCCCGTGCGTTCTTGGGTACATCCACGACCAAGTTAGCCACGCCTTCGCCACCGGGAGGTATGATGTATTCAGGCCCTCGGAACGAGACTGAAGTGACGGTGTCAGAAAGCTGCAATGGCTGCTTCTGGGTGGGGGGTATGTTCGGCAGGTACAACTCGCGAGTCAACGTGACTGACAGACTGGAATTCTGCTCTGACATGAGAAACGCAGTAAAGTAGAAGCATGCGTGGAAGACTGACCTTCTTGGTGGAATGGTTCTTAACCATGAGCTCGATACAAGCAGGCTCTCCGGCGACCATGAAGCCGCCCAGCACCTTGCCTTGCATCCAGATCTTGCCGTTCTCACCGACGACCACGCCCTCGGGATCGACTCTGCGGAAATCATCAAATCGTTCTACGACGTCCACCGGCCGTTTATCTGTGACAAGCTTCTTCTCTCCCTTCCAAGCGGCACCAATGCTTGCGCGGACCTCGTACCGGACGCGGGCCAGACCGGAGCCGAAGTCGATGGATGACGGCGAGGTGTGAGGAAGGGGAAACTGGAACAGAAAGGAGGTGATGCCGCGCCGCGCATGATAATAGTTTGAAGGCAGTGGGGGGTCTCCAGGTGAGGGGTAAGGATGTACAGAGTTCGAAGGTGGCAGTCCGGGTCCTTGAAACAACCGTCTGGTGTGGAGGAAGGGAGACTTCGCAGAGTGATCCCTCGATGTTAACTCTGCATTAACCAGCAGTACCAGCAGCAATGTGAGTATTTCTTGTCACAGGGTACCCTTCTACAGGGCGTACCTTCGATCGCATATAACTCGACCATGATTACACCGATGCCAAGACCCTTTTCAGCCTTGCATTCAAGCTCCATCTTGCCGGTGACCGTTCCTCCCGCCGCAAATTCGGTATCGGGAAATTTGAGCGACACCCTGACCTTGGAGTGGTAAGGCGAGGCGTTCATCGGCTCAGGCCTCATCTGTTGCGCCGTCCCAGCCATGGAGATTTATGCAACGTTCCAGCAGTTACTATGGCTCCAGCATGAGAATGGCGAAGCAAGTAGTGCAGCAAATGCTCAGTTTCAGCTAGTGTGTGGGTGCTTCTGGGTCGTGCTGGGATATGTGGTGGCTGTACTTGACAATACTACACCATGAAGGAGGAGGTGAAGTGAGGTACGGCACTTCGACCGCAGAGGGAGGCGTGACACATCTTGGGCGGCGGTAGGCCACAAATCCTGGTGACGTAACACTGACGTAAGCGTAACAGAATGGGTCACATTCACGCACTGCCGTCGCGGTCACGTTTCGGTCCTCGTACTCGTACTCTCCGTTCCACCGTACGGCCATTCCAAAACAACGCCTGCCACTGTTTTCTGCTTGTGTCTTTCCAAGTTTGAACGACTCTGGGACAACAAGAAGCACTGGTCAGTGCACGCGAAGTCTTCCTCCTTGTGTGTGAGGTCAACTGGCTCATCCCGGACTAGGTTAGCGTAAGGCCTGTTTACATTTGACATCTGACACAGCAGGGCACCATGCCGGCGAAGTACTCCCATGTGAAGAAGCGGCCCGCTGCCTCTAAGAAAACGAATAGCAGCAGTGGAAGCCACGCTCACACCAATGCGGAACCTCACCAACCCAACCCGCAAGTGGACAAAAGCCTCTACAAGGCTACACCCGCTGAATCGCAGTTGGAGCGGACAATTGCGCGTATCATCCTCATTCGCTTCGAGCAAGATATCATACGGCTCTTCTCCACGCACCTCTCCTGCGTCGCGCTCCTCCACCTCCCTACCTTCGTCCTGCGCTGCGTGACCGTCGGAGGCCCGAGCTGGGTAGCAGCGAACGCCGACTCGGACGAAATCAAGGACTTCTTCCGCGGCGCAATAGCCATGGATATGCGCCAGGCCGGAGACCGCGTCGCGACGAAGAGCGTGCTCTGGACATACACCGCGTTGCGGCACTTCGTAAGTCCCCCCACGCACGCGCCATATCCCACATACCCATCAAGACTACGCACGCCCAGGCGAAGTCGAACGGGATACCTATCTGCCAGCGGCGCGGGTTGCACTCGCATCACCTGCTCCCGCACTACGCGGCGCTCAAGGCGCACCTCGACACGCTCGAGGCCCAGCACCCCCCGCCGTTCGCGAAGCCGCCGCACCTTGGCCCCATGTCCGAGGGCATCCGCGCGCTTGAGGAAACGTGCGAGACCAAGTACGGCAAGGGCCTGGACTGGCGGCTGCGCGTGCGGGAGGGGTACGACCGCGCGTGCGCGACGCTCTGGGACGTCGCGCGCGAGTTCGACGTGCACGGGTACGGGCTCGTCCTCCGCGAGAAGCTCACGTCCCACTGGTGCGACTGCGGGTGCTCGACGGACCATCTCGGCGAGGTGTGCGAGAAGACGGTCCGGATGGAGGAAGAGGAGAGCGGCGTGCGCCCTGGCAAGGAACGGGAGTGGGACGGCCGTGGTACGCATCGCTCCCTCTGTGCAAGATGCTTGTATTCTGACCTGTGTAGGTTCTGGGGTGACTGGGTGGGGCACGGAGGAGGAAGAAAATATGTGGGAGGTCGACTTCGACTACGTCAACTCGGACTCGGAGAAGAAGCACGACCCAGCAGAGTGCGACATGACCGTCGCAGAGCTCATCGAATGGCGCTATCTCCGCGCTGAGCGAGAGAAAGAGCAGGTCACTACCGCGTCATTCCCCATCCGATCGATTGCTCACGATGCGTCTCACTCCAGGGTAACATAGCGTTCAAGAAGGGCGAGTTCGCGGGAGCCATCGAGCGATACAGGAACGCGTATCGCATCGAGCCCGAGCTGCCGCGCTATCAGCTCAATATTGCCGCGGCGTGCTTGAAAATGAACGAGTGTGTTCTACCGCGGCTTCCATCCATCTTATCTGCTGATCATGGACATCTTCCGCCAGCTATGTTGAGGCGGAAAAGGCTTGCGATCTGGCGCTTGGCCAGCATCGGAGTGTCAAGGGCTACTGGCGGCGGGCGCAGGCCAGGAAGGCCCAGGGACGAATAGAGGACGCTCTGAAAGGTACGGAGCGTGATGTGCTCATCCATGCTCCTCGCCTCTCACGATCGTACAGACTTGCGTGCCGTCCTCCGTCTTCAACCCTCGAATGCGGAGGCGATCGCAGAGATCATACACCTCTGTCCCCCAGACCCCCTCGCGGAGCACGAGCCTGATGCGTCCGCATCGATAGCATCGAGCTCGTCGCAACCCTCATCGTCCTCATCATCATCAAAACAGCCTGCAGCACCAAGCGCGTATTCGACTTGGATCCCTGCGGTCAAATCGCCCAAACCGCTTCCATTCCCGCGAACCAAGACAGACGACCGCAAGCTCAAGGTCTCGTCGCTCCCGATCACGGTCGACATCCCCGACAACTTGCCGTTCTTCTCGAGTGACAGCGGGGTGGAAAGCAAGAACAAGCGGCCGCCGTCCTCGTCCTTCTCTGGCTATACGATCCCCCACACGTTCTCGTACCCGTGCTGGGAGCGCTACATGGTGTCGAAGATCTCGGACTAGCCGCAAGATCATATGCTGTCCAGTGGCCCCCGCGCCACGTCTTCCAGTCGTCCACGTTCGCGACACGAGCGCGGTGCCCGGTGCGAGCGCCATGCGTTCGATCGTGCTGTCGCACTTGTGATATATCCTGCCTCGCTGACGCGCTAGCACTCTCTAGCTGCTTCCGCACCCCGCCTCCTCGTTTTGCCCCGCTGTACTAGTACTACTTACCGCGTCGCCGTTACGCTATCCTGCTCGCCCTCTCTGTCGCTCCCTTCTTGCCATTCTTGTCCCGGAGCAGACGGCACAATCGATATATCATGCTTCCATGCTACTAGCGGGTAAAGCGGTATAATCACGACGTGCATTCGCCGGGCAGAACACGATTAAGAAGCCACAAGTATTACCTGTTAACTTAACCAGCTTGACTGGCGTGGTTCCGAGCAGGGATGGGCTAGTCGTTAATGGCCCATTCCACGCGAAGCCCCTGCTACGCGTCAGAAAGCCCTTGCGAAGGGACTCGCGATAGAAGAGGATGGCTGGTTCGTGCGTGCATGGCGATTTGCATCGTGTTGAGAGAGTTCGCAGTGTAGTACTACCCCCCACCCCCCCATACCCCAGCAAGGCCCTTGACTATATATAGCTATTCGGAAAAGCAGACATGAGTCACAGTCTTCAACTCTATGTCACTCGACGCTCAGCCCTTGCCTTCTCTAGATATTGCGACGATTGGTAGGCGGTATAGATGTCAGCTAAGCTTCTGGCCTGATCCCACCGCTGTGCTGGTGGTAGCGGAATGGTCCTCGGTGGTTTGCTAGCCTGGTTGACATTATCGTCCCTCTCCCCCTCGGCAACATTCCACGTCCTCTGCCTAGGGGATACAAGTTTGAGCTTCGAGTTTTTCAAAGCGAGGATGGAACTTCGCGGGACTTTCCCGCCACTTTCACGCCTTGCGGTAAATCTCTTAGCCCATCACGCCGAACATCTAGCACCTTGCAGCTCACGCTTCCATACGATGGATGCCGCTCCCCACATCGCTTGCCAGTGCCCATCCACCGATACATGAACGGCGACGCACTCATCCTGGCTGCGAAGAGTCGGAAGGATTGAGGAGGCGGGCGCGGTATCGGAGCGCCCGTGGGGGGGCCGTCGGCATACCAATGCGCACCCGCTTGCCGCGACACGATGGCGAGCGGTGCCTGCATCAACGGTCGGCGTGCCTCGCAGCAGCCGCCGCTACGTACATTTGCCTCCGGCCACGAGAGCGCGAATGGCGACGCCATCACCTGGGGCACCCTGAGCTGTTTCCGGCTAAACTGGAGCAGGTTTCAGAGCCTGGAGGTTCCCTCCGCTCGGCGCCGCGACCCGATATCAGGACGCCTTTTGACAGGCGCGAGGAAGGTAATGAACTCGCTACGAATGGGCTTCGCGCGGTGCAGGGAAGTCGAAGAGTTGAGCCAGCCGAGGTGTTTCGCCTCCCCGAGCCAACCCCGGGTCTCTGCTTCTTGGTGGGAACCCGGGGTCTAAAGGTAAATCGCAGCGGCTTCTCGCCTTTACATCACCGTCAATTTCGTTTATCGCTGCCGTTATGGGCGGACGATCGTCGGCGCTCGCGTTGGCGGGACTGCTGCCACTCAAGGGGGCGGGACGGGGACGGCGCGTGGCCAGTAAATGCCATGTGGCTATATATGGGTGAACAAGACGGCCCCTGTCCCCGTGGAGGATCGCGGAATCAAAGGGGGCCTTCAGAGGGGTCAAAATGTCAAATTGACGATCAACCTGTAAGTTACTAATGAGAGACAGGGTCGCAATTTCCTACTGGTCAGGAAGAGCGTTCAGGCCGACAGTGCGCATCACTGTGACACCCCGCCAGACCTGGCTGGCCTCGCCACGACGACGCTCTGCGCAGCCTGCCCGCTCGCGGTGACGGAGACGGGGACGGACCCGCGGGTATGGAGGCGGGGGCGCATCCGCGTGGGAGGGGGCGCACCGACGAATTGAGTTGGGCTTGTCGGGTGGTCTTGTGAATATGATGGGAGAAATTCCGTCTTGTCTTCTGTGGAACCCGGCGCGGTTTAAGCGACGACCGCCTCTGGCCATGATGCACTGACGCTCCTGGACCTTGACGCATGCCAGGTGCTGCCTTGATATATCTCCGAGCCTCCGCTCAATCATGCTCCTCCTTTCCTTTTCTCCGCCTCGCCTCTCCATTCCTCCCCGCTCCTGCCTCCCGCCGCCATGAGTGCTGAAGTACGTCCTAGCGCGTTCTTGCTGTCCCGTCGCAAGGTCCTGACCCAGACCCTACGTCATTACAGTCATCTAGGTCTGGTGCCCCGCTGCAGACCACCCTCCCGATCAATTTCTTGATAGTTGGTGGAGGTGCGCGCGATCGTCTACGGTGTACCTGCGCTGTACTAACGCCGCTACCTTGCCTAGGAGTTGCTGGGTTGGCGTGTGCACTGGCTTTGAGGCGCGTAGGACACCACGCTACCGTAGTAGAACGGCGAGACAGAAAATCCGCGGTGAGCGCATATGCCCCTATCTGAGCGTTAGCGGTCGTCCTGAACCCATCGCCAGCGAGGAGAGGGCGGAATTCGTCTACCACCAAACTTGACCAAGATATTCTTTCACTGGGGCCTCCGGGACGCGCTTCGAGCTAAGGCCCTCATTTCACATACCATTCTTTTCACAAGATGTGAGCACCACCCCCGCCTCTTCTCGACGCGACTCTCATTGAAGACGACGCGCAGACGAATCTGGAGAACCTCTCGGAAACCAAGTATGGGACCAGGACGTCCTTCGGGAAACCCGCGGCGTCTTCATGCTCTTGACTGTACGTGCCTTCCCCTGAGCTTCCCCCGGGTAGCGGTGCGGTTCTGACCGATTGCACAGCATGCAGAGCTCCACGACATTCTTTACGACGCCGCGACCCGCGCAGGCGCCCGCGTTCGTTTCAACGCCGAAGTAGTATCCATTGACCCCGAGGAGCGCGAAATCGAGCTCACGACGGGAGAAACGCTCACTGGGGATGTCATCGTCGGTGCCGATGGCGAGCAAGGCCCGTCGCGCACGGCCGTGCTTGGGCGGGAGGTGAGGGGCGGGCCGACGGGCCTCGCGATGTATGAGTAAGTTTAAGCTTCCTCGCCCCGCGCGAGCCCCGGAACGTGGGGAACGATGCTGATGTGCATGATAGCACAATCGTCCCTGGAAAGCACCTGCCAGACCACCTCGCGTCGCTGCGGAAAGACGTGAGTCACTCGCGCCGCGACCCGTGTTATCAGGGCCTCGAGGATGGGTGTGGCTGACGGGCGCTATAGAACGGTGTGTTTGTGGCGTTCGGGGAGGGACGCGCCATCGTGGCGTATCCGGTGGTGCGTATAACATCCCGATATCTGCGAACGTGCCCTTGCTGAAGGGTGCATCTGCAGCACGGAACGGAAGACTTCGCATTCCAGTTCTATGGCCCGGACGAAAATGCGCAGGGCAAGTATGGTGACCCTCCATCGGTGTCTGTGCCAGAGATTGCGCGGCCACTTGACCCACGGTACGCATACTGCGCCATCTCCAGCCGCACCCTAGGCTCACGTCTTGTCCAGACTAGCCGACATTGTGAACAACGCGCGCACAGCGGTACGGGTATCCGTCGTCGCCCACGAGGACCTCGAAGACTGGGTGGAAGACGAAGGCCGACTAGTGCTCATCGGTGACGCAGCACATCCGTTTGCCGTGAGTTCCATACCATTCCTTCGGCTAGCTCCCCATCAGCTAACATAATGCTTGCCCGATCTCCAGCCGGGCACGATCCAGGCCACGGCGATGGCGGTCGAGGACGGCGCGGTGCTCGCTAAGCTCTTCTCGCACCTAAGCGAGGAGCGGCAGATCGAGAGCTTCCTGTACGCTTTCCAGGAGTTGCGCCAGCCCCGCGCGCGCAGCGTCGCGGCAGGCGAGTTCGGCGCCGCGTTCTTCATGACCGCGACTGGGGAGCTCGCGGCGGGGCGCGATGCGGCGATGCGCGCGCAGTACGAGGCGGGCGCGAACGCGCTCGAGGGGGAGGGCGACGAGGCCAACGCCGCCTGGGAGGAGATCCGCACGATCTTCGGGTACGACTGCGAGGACGAAGCAGACGACTGGTGGGTGCAGTGGGGCCTCCTCCGGGAGCGCGCGCTCACCCGCACGGGCGACGACGAGGACGAGGACGGCGCGCCCGGGGGCCCGCCGCTGCTCGACTTCTCGGCAATGACGGTGCAGGTTAGTTCGACCGCCACTGACTACGACGAGTGAGGCTGGTCAGGTGTTATTTTTCTGAACCGCTATGCTATGTTTGCTGGATGGGGGCCTGGGGACGCGTTATCGGATCGCTGTCGTTGCTACTCTCCACTTCTCTTAATTCCGCTCCTCCGTGTTCTCGCCCATCACGATCTTTACCTACTGGAGAACGGGGAAAATTTGTCTTGCTCTGCTGTCCGTATACCGCACGCACACCCGCTAATCGCACAATCCACATAGACGTCCGACCGCAGCCGCGGCGAGAAGCACACCCCACGAGTGCATTAATGATGCCCCCCTTGGCGCGCGCTCTCGCCCCCAAGCACGGCCGAACCGCGAATGGCAGGAAGGAGCGGAGGATGTGGGTGTGCGCGCGGGAGGCACGCGGGTGGGAGAGTTTGGGGTGTTTGTACATGCTATGTTCAGGGGAGCTGTCAATTTGCGTCAATTATACGGGCTTCTCAAGCGGTGCTTCATCAGTCCGCGGCGCGCGATTCGCAATTTCAGGGTCCCCAGAGTTCGCCGGAGAAGGCGGGGTCGTCATCAGAAGGCCCGGGAAGGCGTGAACATCAAGTCCGGGGGGCTCCCATGTGCGCCTGGAGCAGACTGGGGCACAGCGCCGAAAAGCCTTGATTGATGCCATTCATCAACAGAGATTCATCTTGGTCTAGAATACAGGACAAGAGACGGTACCGCTGTTGTAACTTTCAACCTTACACCTTGCTGCGGGAGTCTGGACTACAGCAGACTACAGCTCCCCGACCTTCTTGACGCCAACGACCACCCGCTCGTTTCGTCGCCAGAATTCTACCAGGACTTCTGCCATCCGTGTCGGATCGTCCTGTGAGGCACAACGGAGTCAGCGTCCGTGGTGTGCGGACGCGCGGATGTATATTGCAGCGACGCACCTCGTGGACCATATGGCCGACCCCGGGAATCACGACCAGTTGGAACTTTCCCTGCATTTGCCCAATCATGAGCTCCCTGTCCAGGCGCTCGGTACCTGCGAGGATAAGCAGGCGAGCGGTCCGCGCCGACAGAAACTTGCTAGACAGGCCGGTGAACCAACCTATATAAATTTGGGAATTTAACGGGCTTCAGAGCACTGCCGGATACCATTGACATACTGGTCCAGTAGGGTGCCGTAGATCGGAGCGGCGTTCGCCAAAGGTAAGCGGGCGTGCTGGGAGGTGATCCTTCTGGTGCCGGAACGATGATACCGGGTACGGACACCCTCGCCGAGGCCGGATTGTGGATCGTGTTAGTCTTTACGCTGGTGGGGAGTGTGAGACAAGCGCCATGACGTGGTCAACGATGACGATTCCACTCACTGCCATTCGATCGCCTGCTCTTGGCTGTCAAATCCTTCAGGACGCGCATTTAGCAGACTGTGCATCAGAGGCAGCGCCTCCAGCGTGAACTCTTCGAGGGAAAATTAGCTATCGCTCTAGAATAAGGATAGGTAGCGAAGGTAAGCCAACCTTCCACGATATCGACAACGGCCACGCCCGTAATCCGATAGCGGCTTTGCTGGAGTGCCGGACAGGCACGTACGCATACTGACCCGCCAAGACTATGTCCTACGAACTAGAAGATGTCAGAACTTCGTTGAAGGGAGGTAGCATAACTTAGGGCGATAGATCGCAGCCATGTCTCTCTTGGCCCTCGGCGTGAACGGCGAATACGCAATAGGCTGAGTTATCCTCTACACCTCTCTCCGGGTGCAATCAGTTCCCAAAGGTTGGACACAGGTTTAATCCATCCCCGCAGAGATACACACATGCTCTTTGCATGCGAAGGAAATGATAGCAGTCTATTAACAAAGTTTTATTGGGAGACAAACTCACCAGGAGAGAGGGCGCAGCCTGTGAATCAGTAAACACAGCTTGCACGAGGTTCACGAGGTCGGCGGTCAAGACGTCTATGTCTAGATTCTCCTCGGTAGAGCCACCCTCACTTCTGAGATGCTTCGTCTTTCCTATGAGACATAAGTCACCGCTCTGAGTAACAGTGCATTTCAAACCCACCATGCCCGCGCGCGTCATACGACAGCACCCCGCACTCTCCCTTGCTCATGTCTGTGATCTCTTTCGCCATGCATGCAAAGGTCAGCCCCGAGTAGCCGGCGCCATGGTGGCACACTATCACCGTGCCATCCTCGAACTTCGGCGGGGTGTAGTACACCCGCACGTCAAGGTCGGACTGGGGTACGGAGACTTGTATCGCTTGCTCAAAGTATCCAGATGCGGAGATAGGCGTGAATGCAGGATTGGGCGTGTGCTTTCGCGCAGCTCGGGGCGTCCTGGATGGGCTGTACAGGTGGCTAAGTCTCTCCATAAGACGACGGTGCAACTAAGATACATACGCCGCGGGTGGTCCCATACCGGTCGGCAATGAGCCAATCGAATCTCCCGACTCATCCTCCTCCTCGTCTTCTCCAGGAAGAGGTGGCAGTTGCGGCGCCTTAGCGAATCGGGCCTGAAGTGCTGTACGGTACAGATCGGCCATGGTTGTGGCGCGGTAGTGTTGTGGCTGAGGCGGAGATGGCGCCGGTTACGGATTGTGGGTGCGTTGCGAGAGATGAGTGTTTACGAACAGAAGGGTCCTAAGATACAACGTGTATAGGCAGAACCCCAAGCAGTACTTCTGAGCGAGAGAGAGGTCGTGGTCAAGGTCTAAGTTATCTGGATCCCCGCCACCGTGCTTGCATTGCCCACGATCTAATCTTATCTAAAGTACGCACACACTGCGCGCGGGAGGAATCGCTTCGTACTTGCTAAAGCCATAAACATTCCGACTGGATGCTCGCGGCATGATGAGTCTAGCAAGTTGTGGGGGGTCTAACGAAACATGCTATATATGCTACATTTATATAGACAGCAACAGACAGATCAAGCCACACTTGCCTTTTCCTCTACACGCTTCGCCTCTTCATCCCGCCCCACACGCACTGGCAGCCCCGCGAACTTCGACCGCAATGACTCGTACTTGCGCCTCTGCGCGACCGACACGCTCGGCTGTACCTTGTCCAGCGCCTGCCCAAAGTCCGCGATTGAGACGATAACGCTCTGTGCACCACTCGCGCCCACACCGTCGAAGCCATCCATCTCGTCCAACGCTCCCAACGCTCGTTTCAGTGCCGCAACACCCGCCTCGCGCACGAGCGCGGCCAGGTCGGCACCGCTGTACCCCTCGCACCGCTCACGCACGAGCGCATCAATGGCATCTTGTGCAGAGGCGTTGTCGTCGCCGAGGGGAACCGTGCGCGTCATCTTGCGAATGATCTCTGCGCGCTCGACGGAGGACGGCAGATCAACGTAGAGCAGCTTGTCGAGTCGACCTGGGCGACACATCGCGGGGTCGATCATGTCTGGTCGGTTCGTCGCTGCGATTACATATACGCTCTTGCGGGCGTCGAGGCCGTCCAGCTCAGTGAGGAGCGTGTTGACGACGCGGGCCGACGATTCGGACTGTAAACATCTCAGCGATGTGAACTCGAGCGGAATGGAACTTCAATACTCACCATGCTGTCATCTCGCCGAGGCACAAGCGCGTCCAGCTCGTCGAAGAAGATGACACAAGGGGAAGACGCGCGTGCCCTGGAAAATACTTGGCGCACCGCGCGCTCACTCTCGCCGACGTACTATAATGGGTTGTTCAGCAGGAGTCCTATGAGATGAAGCACAACCCGCGTACCTTGTTCAACAACTCTGGGCCTTTGACACTGATAAAGTTCGCCCTCGACTCGTTCGCAACCGCCTTCGCAAGTAGTGTTTTACCGCATCCAGGCGGACCCCAAAGCAGCACACCGCATGCGGCGACGATGCCCACAGCACTGAACAGCTCTGGTCGCCGGATCGGCTGCACGATCGCCATGTGCAGCTCTTCGCGCGTCCCATGCAACGCGCCGATGTCTGCCCACGTCACGTCCGGGACTGTCGCGAAGCCTTCGCGTTTTGAGGAGGGCTGGACGTGTTGCAGCGCGAGGGTGAAATCGGAGTACGTGATGCATAACGGGGCGAGCTGGGCCTCTGTAAGCGGGTCGGGGTGTGCCCGGAGGAAGTGAATGATAGAGCTGCCGGCGGTTTGCCTGGAGGCATCGAATGTGGCGAATGGTACCAGTTTGCTACTGCTTGCCTGGGGGATGACGGACTCTGCTATAGGAGGATCGATGGCCATGGAGACATCGCCGTCGCCTGAAACCACTGCGGGCGCGACGTTGTCGGGTAGGACGAGCGTGCCCTCGGAGATCTGCTTGAATATACGCTTGACAGCGATGATACCTGCTGCGCCTGTCAGGGCGGCCAAGTCGGCACCGACGTATCCAGGTGTTGCTTTCGCGAGCGCCATGTAGTCAAAGTCACCTTCTAGGCGAAGTTTTGAAGCCTGCACACGCAGGATTCTGAACGGCAGGACGTCAATGAATTTGCACCTTGTTACGAAGAAACATCACATACTGAGCTCTGGCTTCCTCATCTGGGACGCCCATGCTGATCTCATGGTCGAACCGTCCGGCTCGCCGGAGAGCAGCGTCCAACGAATCTGGCCGATTCGTTGCACCGATGACTATGACTGGCTTGTTATCGTTCTTCTCCCACGACATGTCTACACCAACCTCAGCTTATGCGCGAGGAAGAGAATCTATGTGACGCACCATCCATGCAAGTCAAAAATTGTGCGACTATTCGTCTCTCCATCTCCCGCTGCGCGCTTTCGCGCTTTGGTGTAATGGCATCGATCTCGTCGATGAAAAGTAGACAAGGGGCTACTCTCTGAGCCGAAGTTCGGTGAGCGCAGTAAGCTAGGGTTTTTGCAGAGCTTCGCACCTTTGCTTCGTCGAACGTATCTCGCAGGGTCTTTTCTGACTCGCCCGACATGCCGGATACGACGGAAGGGGCAGAAATGTTGATGAATGGTACCCCAAGTTCCTGGGGGGCACCGTCAGGATGCGATATCATATTTAACACAAATAGTGAATGGACGCACCCCGGCAATAGCGTGGGCAAGCATAGTCTTCCCGCAACCTGGTGGTCCGTGCAGAAGGACGCCTCTCGGAGGCTGAACCCCAGTATGTAGGTAGATCTCGGGGTGGCACAGAGGCATTGCGACGAGCTCGAGCATCTTCTCCACGCATTGGTCCACGCCCCCAAGGTCCGAAAGACGGGTCGTCGGTGGTGCGTAGTCCTTCGAGATGCTGCCGGATAGTTTTGCGCGTTTGCTTCCCTCCTCTCCTGGTGCCCGAGAGGATCGTAGCTTGCGCTTTGTACTGACGGGCTTGCCTTCACTCGGCCCTGGACCCTCCTCAAGTGCCGGCGTTCGTGGTGCAGATGAGGGCATCGGAGCGGCGGGTAGTTCGCCAGCTGGTACTTCTACAGAAGCCTCAGGGTAGTTCGGTGGCGCGGTGGGTGTGTTTGTGCCCGTCGCTGGAAGTGACGTGGAATTGAGGTTGATCTTCCGTCTTTGTGTGGACCATAAACCTTGCATGGAACGGTTTAGGGCGTTCGAGCTCTACCTAGATACATGTGAGTGTGTACATCTCGCACAATACCAACATACGCACAGATATCTCCATACTCTCCCACTTTGCGAATAAGACGAAGGCAGAGAGTTGAGGATGTCAAAGCGGCAGGAAGCTGAAGGCTGCAGCTGAGCTCAGAGCTGCAAGAATTTCGCGTAGTTGGAGACGCCCAGCGGCCCAATACTTAGGAGCGCGGGGTGGCGGTCCGGAATCCCGTTACGACGAGGAACGGCGCTTCGCCGGGGCTTTCTGGATCCCTGAGGCTCTCTCTCGCCACCACCGCGCTGGCACGACAAGATAGCACTTCTCATCTTCGGCAGCTCATTATACTCTAACGTATAACAAACAAATCATTTGAATAATGCGCCAAGCTGCTCAGAACAATGGAGTGCAACTTTGGCGACACAGAGGCTACATGTGTTCACGCTGCTACTACCCCGCTTAGAAGAGGCTATCGACCTTGGACGTGCGCAGACAAATAACTTTGGGTATCTTATACTGCTATCCAAAGAGGACGACGCGGATGGCAACGGTACCAGATCATCGCTCCTGGGAAATCCCGGTGTAGGATACGGCGAGTAATGAGCATCTAGCAAGGGCATGGCAAGATCTCAAATGAGGTATCTATCCTCCCGGAGTCCTCAACGGGAATACCACGCTCACGGCGCTACTTTTTCTTCGGCCCAGCGTCTGCAGTACCACATTCTTGATATTGATCATCTGTAGGCGACTAAAGCTACGGGCAGACTATCATAGCCTCGATGGTTCTTCTGATATTCGTTCGGGGACTCTCTAAACCGGGCCCTATAACCAAGGTCTATGGTAGCTTGGCTGGGTTGCATCAGATACCATGTCAGAAGTATTCTACTGAACAGGAAGACCACATCCCCATGAAAAGCTATTCTAGCTGCGTTACCACGACATCCATCCCCACCCTTGGACATCCGTACTGCGTGCGACCTTGACAGATCCCCCCAACTTCATGATTATGCACTGCGATGCTTTCGAGATGAGTGTCCAGGCGATAGGCTGTCGTTGCCTGACAAGGTACGAAATATCCGCTTCGTCACGACTGCAGCTCTGATACTAACAAGTAACTAGCGCTACCAACCTGTGTCTTCTCCGAAGCTCTTCTCACAGCTATGTTGATCATCTACCGCTGAGGACATTCTTGCCATCCTGATCTCGCCATCTGACTGCCGACATCCGGAACAGCCATGTCACGTACTGTGGTGGTAATATACGCTCTCGTCTCGTTCTATAAATGTCGCGACGACGACTTTACACTGCGGCGCCCCCTCCACTTCCGCCATAATTTCATCCGCTCTCCACTCGCGAATAGCGTTAGCACATTCGAAATGGATATGGATTCGACCTTTGGTGCTTTGCTGATTGGGACGCTGGTCGGGACCACGTAAGCTAGCTTTATGTTCTCTGTCGCGTCGTGGCGCTAATACTTCACATACAGGCTCTATGGGATGACTATCCTGCAAATCTACCGATATTTTCGAACATACCCGAATGACTGTACAGCGAACAGTCTCTTGGTGCGCTATTTAGTGCAGGTGATCCGACCTTATTGATGAATGCCGCGGGTTGCCTTAGGTGTACGCATTAGCGTATGTATCGGCTTTTTCGCATCTCGAGTATATCACCTACCCTCATCTCCCAGAGTGCTCGAGACTTTTCACGTAATGATCAGCGCTCACGCATGGTAAGCACTATATCCAGTGCGACACGCCAACAGCTTTTAACTCACCATTGCGTTGTAGCTATTTCTATCTTGTGACGAGTTATGGCCATCCCGAGGCCCTTTCAGTCGGAGTTTGGTCAGTACTTTACTTTCAATTTCGTACACGTTCCCAACTCAAAATCCTCTCTATCGGCACAAGGTCTATCAACGTAAGTGAAGACAAAAAGCCTGCCGCGTGTCATAATTATACAGGGCTTACCCTTCAATGTTCAGATCTTGTCTGTAGTTTCGGTAAGACTGTCTTGGTTAGCATTCCCTGCTCTAAATGATTCAAGCGTTCGCATAGGGAGTTACGATCATACTGAGCCAAAGGTCAGAGGACTCAACTTGCTTAATCGGAAAGTCAATCCTTAATTTTTTTCCCGCAGTTTCTTCGCGAGACGGGTCTACTTGAGTACGGAGAGCGTTGTCTACGTTTTTCCCGCAGTGCTGATTTGACCTCACCAGTCGGGACTTCCTTCCGTCTTTTGGTCCTCGTAGCAGTAAGTTTTACACCAATCTCCCCATCCCTCCATCTGATCGAGTACGAAGGTCGTCCTGCTTGTCGGGGAGCTTGGTAAGTTCAGGCTTATCTTGGGCCGTTCCTAGCTCTTATCAAGAACACAACGCGCTACAGGTTTCTTTACTGGTACGCTAGAAGGCATGCTTCTCACGGGACGGCCACTGACTTCGAACTGTCTTTTTTCCAGCCGCGACTGCCCAGGCGTATGTCGTTTCTCAATGCCGGGTTCTCAAACTCATATCTTGCCCCAGATTTATATTTCCCCGATTCATGCACTTCCAGAGGTTCACGGTGCGAGGTCTGGATCGTTTCTGGGTTTCGTCGCTGACGAGTAATACGTATATCTCTCAGTGGATGATCTCTGCCGGGGCTGCCATGGCTGTGGTTGCGGACGGTCTCCTGACGAGCGTCCTCGTCACTGTACTCAGACGAAACAGCACTGGGATGAAGCGGTACGCCTCGCACAGCGTGATCATCCGTGGTTCTTGCCGCTTCTCACTGTCACATCAGGCTAGACACCATCGTCGACATCTTGATCTTGTATGCGATCAGCACCGGTACGTCGCGTCATTCTATTGTTCAGAGAAATCAGGCTTGACGCGAACGGCACAGGCTTGTTGACCAGGTACGCTTCTCCCGTCTCTACTATGGGAGATAGTAGCTCACTTCCTTCTCAACCTCAGCGTGGTGAACTTCCTATCCTTCATCTTCGTGGGCACGCTAGGCTCTCGTGCTGCTGCTCTTACTGACCCGTTCATCAGTCGCTAGCGAACCCGAACAACCTCGTATACTCTGCCTTTGGTATCGTGGCTACGAGATGTACGTTCTCTTCTCGGTCTTGTGCATCTGCTCCCTGAACTTCCCTTACTATGTTTCTAGTGTACGCTAATTCCCTCCTCGCTGCGTGAGTTTCATTCCCTCCGCAGGCAGTGATACCCCATCCAACCGGCCTCTCGCACCTTCGCAGCCTAAACTCCCGCAAGTACCTCGCTGAACGCGCCGCAGGAGACGTGTTCTCGAGCTCCCTCGTCAACGTGCGCGCCACAAGGGCGCTCCCTTACGCTGGGTCGGTCTCGTTCACGATTGTCAGCCCGACCACGTTCCGACCACCGGTATCACAGTACATACAGGTCAGTCCGACTTCTTCGCGACATTATATGTGTTTTAGTGCCAGGAACGTTCTCGCTGACTTTCTTGCAGTCACCGCTCTCTTCGCCGACATTCCCGCCCACTCCGAGGATGGCGGGATTTCCGTCGCCCTCGACGCCGAGGGTTTGAGGTGGCATAATCATTCTGGACAAGGCTGCGAAATGTCTGCCCCTGCAGATGTATTCTCATTATATTTATCCGCCTCTTGCTTATACACGCACCTTCCCTTCTCGCCTCCAGGTAGTGAGCTGCTCGGCGCAAGGTGTGCCAAACGCGAGAGTCTCAGCATCCCCAACCTGCGGGTTCGATAGACACATAACGAACCTGCAGGAGGTACACAAATATTATAGGTCCTTTGGGCAGGCTCATCACCTGTCGTACGGATTACACGGTAAACGTCAACATGCTCTCCGCGGAGCAGCGTGCGATTCCCTAGCAGAGCGCGTGCACCTAGCCCGCCGCCGCCTTGAAAGTCAGACTTCGGTCCGTATCATAAATTACCCGAACACGGAGTCCGAGAAATACTCGACGTGTGCCTCAACATAGAGCTCTCTCGGGGTATATTTCCGCTCCAAAACAACGGGTAGGACTTAACACGGACGGCCTGAACATGCGTTATGTTTTCGGCAAGTTCATGCATATGAGGAGCTTGTACAGGTTGTATCCTCAAAGCGAGGAGGCTGAGCGGTAAGGCGAAGTGGGGAGACGCCAAACGCAACGTTAGATATAAATTCTCGAGCAGGATCGCATACAGGGATGGAAGGAAAGCCCGTTAGGCATATATAGCAACAGGTAGTTAGCGAGTCAGGACATAGATCTTTACGAAGTAAATGTGGACGTGAAAATGAATCATGGATACGATCTAAACACCGAACAACGGCGGACAGGATCATCTTCAGAGTGGCATATATACGACAGGATTTCATGGAAGTAACGAGGAAGAGGATCGAGAAATTATAGAGAGAGTGTGTGTGAGTGGGGGGGGGGATCCTAACGAAATAGGAATTGCGAAACGGCGCCGAAATCCGAGCATGTTTGAGTGTCGACTACTGGTCGTATATACACGCCGTGCTCGCCCGGTGACCTGAAATTCCCATGTATGAGTTGAAAATCAAGGCGGGAAGCATATCGGAGAATCTGACGACACGGCAGGACCAAAATTTCCCCCAAGCTCTTCATCGTGGGGGAAATCTTGGTCGTACCGTGTTCTCAGAGTCGAAGCAGCTCCCGCCTACATATAAACGAATAAAAGCCCACCCTATTTCAGACCTGGCCCCCGATGTCACGGTCAACCTTGATATCAATGACTGTCGACGGTTCAGTCACGGTCTCCGCCTATTTACAGTTGCAACGGACGCCCCGATTCAAATGATAAATCAGCCCGGGTCTTGAGAATACGAACTTGGGGTAATTACTCACCGAAAGCGACGTCCACGGGTTCACAACGTTAGCAGCCGTGCGTTTGGAGAGCTCAGAGAGTTCCGTTTCCTGTGAAGATGAGCCATCGCCTCCAAGAGAGGTCCGGCGTGTATTCATTCTTCGTTGGAAGGGTAGCATTCAGTTCAAGCACAAGGACGCGTGAGCAAGTGCGTAGCTTACGTAGCTAGAACGGAATTGATATATACTGATGATTTGCGTGAGCTCGGGTATGCTCTGCGGCGGCGTTTTGGAGAACATAGTGCTAACCTTTCGCGTATATCGTATCAGCCGCGATGAAAAGCATCTTGCCAGGAGCGGCCCGATCCTATGTTTGCCGCCATATCAGTAAATGCTTTGGGCGGGTCATGTATGTCCGAGAAACTCACCAAGCTCAGGCAGGCAATAGCGGCAAAGCTATGTTAAAGTCAGCGGTCGCGTATGTGAAGTAGCACATAGACGTCACTTGGTAAGGAAACCTAGAATGTCGGAGTCAATTGCGTCGCTACCCTTCGAGACTCCCAAGGCTCACCAGTGTAGAGAGCATATGCAATAAGGACGTCGATCATGTTGTCCGTTCTGTGGAAGAGTGTATCAGACTTTGAGCCAGAATCGTCCCCTAGAATTAGACACACCCTTTGAATCCGGTTCGGGACCGGTGGAGAGACGCGGTAAGCACAGAAGTTGACGCAACATCAACAGTTATGACAAGTCCAAGGCCTGCGGATTGTAACCACTGCGAGCATGCGGTTAATGTTATGTATAAGGCTGACAGTAACCCAATGTTTACTGTGAGCTGTCTGAGTGTGGTGAGGTTCCCGAGGATAAACCTAACGGGAAAACAGCGCGACTGGTCAGACATGATCGATGTGAGGTCAAGGGGCTGACCCTTCAGCGGTGAAGGCTGAGTCTACAGTCAGAAGGCAGGACAGGCGGCGTCATGAGTAGTCGCTCACCTGCACCGCAGCCTGACACGCAACAGACATGAACGGGCGGAATGACGGGAGGTTCCATCAGCGAAGCCCCGCGAATCGTATGGTAGCACTTACCTAGCTCTGCAAGACACAGAATCCCCTGGTATATGTGATTATGATTTCATGCAATGACCAAAAATAGGCTTGCATTCAAAAACTCACCAAAACCGCCACCAAGGGCCTCAACCTCCTGTCCACTATGGAATGGGGATAAGGGCGGATAGACTATAACACGATCGTGGCACTGACGTAGGTATACGCGTCGCGCATAGAATCTATTGCACGGCGTTAGTACCAGTACCAGTTTGAACTATGGTGGATTGAGATTCACGTTTGACAAGTGACGATCACCGCTGCCTAGATATAAGGACTAGATGTGAGTACTTAATCACACACCAGGAATGTCGACGGTTGTACCATAGTGCACCCCTGCAGCTACCATCGTGCGGTGATATCAGCGACTACCTGCCAAGAACCTCAGCCTTGTGCAACCTCGCGACTTACATTGAGCGACCTGTAAATTTTGAATCAGAAGTAGTCTATCATTTCGCGACATAGCACTGACCATACAGGTGTTTCGAGCTTGATAGGATCGAAATAGTTCACGACGAGATACCAATAACTGTCAAGTCGTCAGTACGCTGCCACAGTGAACTCGGTGTGATAAGAAGTTTACATCGAATGTACGCAGATGGTAGTATGAAAAGTGTCGAGAATGCTGTCGGTAACTTAGTACGTGGCATACTGCACGCTGCCTAGGCGACTTCTGGAGCTTACAATAGGAACCCAACCTGATGTCGTCCATTAGATGATGCATGAACAACATATACGACCGCTACTCACGTAGCACTTGAGGAAAACATGGTCACGGCCATATAAACGGATGTACCTATACACTTGGTGTAGTTCTACGCCATACAAGCTAAGATGAATATTAGTATCGGCAAATAAACAATCGGAGACGATAGCTACGCACATCAGACTCAAGAATGTGCCCACAAGAAGAGCGCCGTAGTTGGGTCCCATGGGCAGGAGCTGTAGCGGAAGCAGAAGTGCGCTTGGGACACCCGCGGCTGTATCTGGCTGTGAAGACATGGCGATTGTGAACTGGGGCACCACTGCCGCAGAAGGCTGCTTTACATACCGCTGCATTAGCGCCGTCATGATCAAGAGCTAAAGATGATCCGAGTCAACTCACCGAGGATGGGAGAAAAAGGACATGCTGTGAGTGAACGCTCCCGCGAGGTATGAGGAAGCCCGTGTACTGACAGTTCGACGAAGTCAGAGTTCGCACCCAGAGACACAGGAGGGTCGATTCTTCATCTTATGGAACGTCATCATGATATCGGATGGAACTGCTCACCGGGGCCAACAACTTCGAAGAGATAATGCGAGATATTCGTACACCGCTTCCTGAGATACATGACTCACGCTATAGCACGGTATAGCTGACGCTGTATCTAAGAATGAGCAAGAACTAGATGGAGAAGCACGACGTACGTACCTGACTGTGATAAACTCATATCGTACCGGTACCGCAGGCTGATACATCTTCGATTAGAGCTACGTTCGAGATGCAAGAAAACCTTGACGGCCAAGATTAGGTGTCCGAGTGCCTCCTGCCAGGAACATTGCTGGTGCCTATCGAAGTCGGTGGAAATAATCCTGTGAAGTCTGTCAGTCCGGCATCTCGAAATCTCATCAGTCGACTCCGGATAGATCGAGCCCCGGGAGGTAGCGGCTTTAACGAAAACTCCAATATCATTTGTAGCAAACGTTCGGGGGTATCATCCCTGACAGGGATGCTTTAAAAATCTCAGTATACGCGTACGGGATATCTCGCACATCGGGACCAAGGAAGGTTTGGTTCGAGGAGGAGATGGAAGATGGCAGAAGGCCGGAACAGCGTCGTAGCGCTTCACTTGCCATTGACAGATGCGTCCAATAAGCGCCCATTTCCGCTTACGGAATCGGGACTCTCCTTATAGAGGGCCGGTGTGCATAGGAACTCGATCCGACTCATACCACCATCCTTCGCCTCTTCTGTCAGGCTCGAGGCTATCCACGTTGTCTGCAACGGTGCGCGTCGAGCGCTGAGCTCTCAAGTCTTCTCATAGTTCTGTGAAATCAATCAGCACCGAGTACTACATCTGCCAACTTGAACTCAAGGTCCTCCTTCGCGAAACACACGCTCCGCGTGTGGCCGCTGGGCGACGTTCAACTTGACAACAACTTCCAATTCCCTATCGGTCATAACTCGGATGATACTACCTGACACCTTCTGGCTAACTCGGACAGGTTTCGCGTCTCTATGGGCCGAAGAGCTTCTATATAGCACCGGGCAAGTCCACCACTGGCACACGTGAATGCAGCAGCCCTCAACGCCGATATCTGAGAACTATCAGCAGTATAGGCCGGCAACGACGCCGTATTTCCTAATCAATGTAAGATTCGAGAGCGTGACTGAAGTTGGGAGCATACAGCGGTCATCTTACCAGCCGTCCCGCCAGCCCGTTGATTGCAGGACGCACAAGCTTAAGGCCCGGGTATCTGCGCAGGGTGAGCACGTTCCTCGTATTAGATCTGTTATTTCTGCTAACCCTCTTTAAATAGCACTACCATAAGTACCTCAATGCCTGGCGCCCCAACGCGTCCATGAACTCCCAACGATGTGCGCTGGTTGAAGTCGGTCGGCAAAGCCGCCCAGCTTACGGGAGACGGGCTGCACCTCAAGACCAGACCTGTACCTGGAGGCTGCACTGTGCTGTGCGAACCATAGACCCCGAGGTCCAAACGACACGATGAGCACCCGGCTGACGGGAGTGATGCATGCACTCTTTCGCTATACTAGTACAGTGGCAGCTATTCGGTTACGCATCCACATCAACAACCGTTGCCCTGTCTGTCGTCCCGTTGTGAGTGCTATCCTCGTCAGGGCTTCTTTGCACAGCCCACCAATACGTTTTGATCAGCATGAATCTCATCGTTCGAATGCACTTCGCCTGTTGTTGATGTCGTATCGCCTCTCTTCGATATAGTCACTCTTAGACTGCTAAATAGGAGTGACCTTATAGCGTTCCTGCCACCTTCTCGACGTAACTAAATCTGCTACTCAACTTCTCTAGAGATTATGCAACAGACCGTCAGAGCTTCTCTAGATGATGGTCATCATCCACGAAGGAACGGAGTCGTCAGTAGTAAGACTAGTGCCAGTCCGGTTAAAACTCTGCGGACGGCACACACGACGTCCCTGGTATCACGAACACGTCGTAGCATCGAAGAGGCATTCGACAAGCCATCGTGGACAGTCATGTAAGTGCCATGACCACCGGCGCGCACATGCGGCCGCGGTCGTTGACAATGAATAAATAGGCTACGTCCCAGTACACTGGCTCCAGCCACTGGCAGCGCAGCTAAAGATACATCATATCGGCGTTACGGTCATAAGCAGATTGTCCAGTATGGCCAGTTACATCAAGACACGGGCGTGGCCAGCAAGACCGACAGTCGAGCAGCCGCACGCTCCACAGTGCACGCCGGTGCAATATACACGTTCGGCACGCGCGAGAACGAATGATCGCCCGCTGCCTGATGTCCAATGTCTAATGTTCAGTGCCCAGTGCCCATATGCGCTTAGGCGCTGTGCGCGTTGACGTGCATGGTGGAGGGCATCGCGGACAGCTCCACGCTCGTCGCGTTCGCCTTCGCGGCGTCGCCCTCCTCCTCGTCCGAGGCCGACGAGGGGGCGCCCCCTTGGAGCCCGTACGTCTCGTCCGTGTGCTTCTGCATTGGGACCTCGCGGAGGAGGAAGAGCGTGAGGAAGCCCGCTGCGGAGAAGCCGATCATCGCCTTCCAGACGACGGCCATGCTCTCCGCGAACGCGATGCGCACCTCCGTCCGGAGCGGCTCGTCGAGCGTGCGGATGACGGGGATCGCGGCGTACGCGATCTCGATGCCGGCGGGGAACTGCGCGACGAACGCCGGCGGGAGCCGTTTCTTGAGCTCGTTCTGCAGAATACTTGCGGAAATAGCCACGCCCCATGTCTGTATGGCGCCGGACAGCTATAATCAGTACAAGTGGCTAGCAAGGGTACTATGGATGGAACTTGCCTGCGCGAAGGTCCGGCAGAAGTTGTAGAACGCCAGTGCGGAGGCCGCTCGGGTGACAGGCAACGGCGCAAGGATCGGGAAGATGGTGCACGCCCACTACAGTCCAGAGAGTGCGTGTTAATGGATTGCGCGTAGTTGCTCAGGGACAACGTCGGGCAGAGGTTCACGTACGATGATACCGATTCCGGCAGCGGAGATGATCTGGTACCCCACCCAAGCCGCTGTGCCCGAGTCGAACTTGAGTAATGACAGTAAGCCAACGCCAATGATTGTAAACATCCATCCAAGGTAGTTTGCAGGGCGGTACTTGTTCAATGCCTTCACCAGTACTCCCCCGATCAACGAAAAGGGAGAGCACACAAGTGCGGTAGCGAAGAGATTGATGCTCGACTTGATGGGGCTGGCTGCCATGCATGCCTGGAAGTAGACAGGGAGATAGTCTGGAAATCACGCTGTAAGCAGCGAATCCTGAGTACAGCGCCAAGTAACTTACAAATGATCGATATGCTGACGATGCCGTGGAAGAAAGTAGAGATGTATCTGAGGAACAGGATGCGGTGAGTCCTGGCTTCTCTAGCTGGCAGCAGCACTCACCCGCTGAGACTCGTCCGGTTTGTCATGATGTCGAATGGTACCGTCGGTTCCTTCGGGACGAAGAACTCGTATACGAAGAAGATCGCCATGAATGCGCCGCCAATGATCAACGGCGCGAGGACATGCGCTGAGTTCCACGGGAAATGTATGCCGCCCCACGTCAGGCCAACCAGAGCCAGTGTCGTCCCGATGATGATGATCAGGTTGCCCCTGCAGTGGGACGCGGTTTACGTCAGGAATATATCGCGTCGGAACATGAAGCACGTACACCCAGTCAATACGCGCCAGCTTGTCCCGTAGCGAGCCGCTAGGCGTACGGACCCTCAAGAAGAGGGCAACGAGGACGAAAGCGATTCCAGCGAGGGGAAGGTTGAGATCTACGGAAGACGTATAAGACTACTGTAAGGAGCGAACTTGACGAGACTCACAGAACAACCATCTCCAGGACGCTTTCTGAGCCAAAGAGCCTCCCTGAGTTATCGCGACCATTAGCAGAGGGTAATCGCACAATCATCGAATAACGTACGATTGCGGGGCCGATTGCAGCAGCGAACGCCCACGTCAAGACAAGGAACCCCTGGTACACGCCTCTCTCCGCGAGAGGGACGAGGTCCGAAGTGATGATGGAGGCAAGGTTGATGATTCCTCCCCCGCCCACACCCTGTACGGCTGCCATAATGTGAGGTCAGTACAGATGTCTGATTGGTAACACAAACTTTGACGCACTCCTTGCTGCAATGAGCATATTCATGCTCCGGGCAGAACCAGCCAAGGCGCTTCCGACGAAGAAGAAGCCCACACATGTCATCATGACCGGACGTCGACCGAGGATATCGGCCGCGCGACCAGAGAAAGGCAGTATGGATGCGGCAGCGAGACCATAAGCAGCCCCGACCCAGACGAAGTCGTCGCCTCCCTTCAGCTCATCGGTAATGGTGGGTAGCGCAGTCGAGACAGCAGTGACATCGAGCGCGCTGAGAAAGTTGCACACTACTACAGCGGTGAAGGAGAGCCAGAACACGGAGCCTTTCGTGGTCTTCGCGGGAGGGGGGGATACGAGGGACGGTTGGGACATCGGGGTGACGATCTTCACTTGGGAGTCAAGGGACGAAGTGGCCATGGTCTGGCGACTTCGGAGGAATGCGCAGGGGAAAGAGCGGGAAGTGTGCCTGTTCTGGGTGCGCCAGACGTGTGAACCATATATCGGAAGTCCGGAGGGTATCCACTAGCCCGTTTTTCATAGGTGTGCAAGGTCCGTACCTTCTGTGAGATGGAAGATGAACGGTATCCTCTCGGATGGGATACGAAATCACAGCTTGGCTCGGCGCTGGTACGCCCACACCAGCGCGCTCGGATTGCAAGGCCGCCCAGGGGGTTGAGAGAGAGAGCTAAGGCATCGATCATCGGATGGACCGCACATAGAGAAGATGGTTCGGCAACGTACGCATACGGTGTGCGCCGGAACAACCTGCACTTCGGGCGGTGTACATCAGGCCTGTACATCGCGTCTAGCGACAACATTACCCACGCAGTGCAGGCATGGACGGCCATGGGCTGCGACGGAAGCCCCCAGACAGCCCTTCGTTCGTCCTATCCAGATCGGCGGTGGATCGGCAGTTGTCAGCTGCCCATTGCAAACCCCGGTATGCGTAGTGACTCACTGTGTCGGATGCAATTTGACGCCCCCATGCGAAATCCCAGAAAATCAAAGCAGGCACATGGTCTTTGGGAACTGTGCAGTACCACGGCGCTCTCGCGTATTCGTACTCGTAGCGCCCGCCTGGGCCATGAGCGCTTCTCAACGCATCCTTTTCCACGACTACTATCTCCGAAATCCGGTGAGGCCGGATCCCCAGCCTCCGTGCGCACTCTATGCGTGGTAATGGTGCTCGTCTTGAACAAGACACGCCCCAAGCTGCCAGTCGCGTCTTGGCGCACCCGAATTCCACGGGGTGCAAGCGACGTTCGTGCGCGCCGTAAGGGCACATCCCGTGTTCATCAACCCGGGACTTCTATCTGCTGGTGAGTATGCGTCGCAACGACACATGGTCTCCGCCCCTGACAGACTCCACCCCTCTTCCAGGGTTGTCCGTCAACGGTCTTGATGTCACGTAAGATGCCAGGGCGCAGCGGGCGCACCTCAACAGACCTCGTCCGCCGTAGACCGCCGCACCGGACTTTCCCCTGTCCGGAGGACCACAACAAGGTTGTTTGTGCATGCATGTCCCCGCCCGGCGCCGTATTTCTCCTGCTGTTCATCATTCGGCTGTGCGATTGGTATCGATTCATGCTAGCGGCTGATTCTGTAAGGTCGTCTCGGGCCCGTCACCCGAGATGGCTGCCGGGACGTAGTTGACGCCTGGGCCACCATCGCGGCGCCGGAGACGGCCGTCGGGGAGGAGCATGTCATCATGACCGCGCCGCATCTTCTCATTGATTCCATTACCGCAATGCAGAGTTCGGGACCTTCCTGCGCTTCTCGTGGGTTGTCTCAACGCTGTCCGTGATATTCCCAGGTTCGTATCCCGCCCAAACGTGTAAGAGCCTTGCACATCCTTATCCTGAACTGCGTCGCTATCCTGCGTCCAACTCCCGCTGTCCTACGACATGACCTACACAACGACGACCTTGCGGCCCTTGTTGCCTAGTCGACGCGTCAAGGATGGCCTCAGGCTGATTGCGAAGCGATATGTACCGGAGTTCAGCGATCGCAAGGGTTTCACGCTACTCTTCTTCCACTGCACAGGCTCCCGTACGTCAATGCCTACTTGTTTCGCGTGATTTGCCGTACTCACCTCAAGCCTAGATAAGGAGGTGTGGGAGCCTACGATCGCCGGCATCCTTTCCCCAGAGGATGAGGCCGCGGGAAAGCCCATAATCCGCGAGATCTGGTCTTTTGACATGCAGAACCACGGGGAATCTTCCTCCTGGAACAATGAAGCCCTTGCGCAACTGGACACTCCTCTGAGTAAGCCGTGTTCGTATACCGATGAGATGCGCGCTTCTCAGTAGATATCGAATGACTGTAGGTGTCGATGACTGGGGTGAGGGTCTCGCGGCCTTCATCGCGTCCGGAGTGCTAGATGGACACAGACTCGTCAGTATCGGGCACTCGCTTGGAGCGAGCGCAATGTAAGCGCACACATTGTTCACCGGCTGCGCGCATCTTAACCTCCCACCTTTAGGATCTTGGCTACCATCCCGGGCCCCCTTCGTCCGGTGAATTACGAGGCGATCATACTCGTCGAGGATGCCTTAATGTCTAGGGCGATGTATGAGAAGACGCGTGACGAGTGTCACGCTACCCTCGATGCTGTCTTCAACGCAGTCAAGAAGCGACGCGACACATGGAATAATCGCGACGAGGCGCTCGAGTACTTCCAGAAGCGCATCCCTTGGATTGTATGGGACGAGCGGGTGCTCCAGCTCTACGTTGTGAGGCTCTGAGACACTGATTTTCTTTCTGGTGTACGAAGCAAACTAACTCTTTCGCAGAAACACGGGTTAAGGGACATTAAGGTCCAAGAAGGCGATAAGAGCGTCACTAAGGTGTCGCTGGCCTGCGCAAAGAGCCAGGAGGGCCATGCATACCGGTATATCGACCCGCACTTCCGCGTCGGGGACAGGCTGCGCATGCTCGAGCCTGTGCCCATCCACTTCATCCAAGGCGAGCGCAACGACAACATGTACGTGCATTGTAGCCCTTTGAGAGCCGCTAACCGCAACATGCATAGGAACCCTGAGGGCATGCATGAGTCGGTTATGAAGCTGTTGAAGAATGTTGCATCCGTCCAGCAGGTGCCTGGCGCGGGTCACTTCGTGAGTTGCGCTTCTCCGTCGCCCGTCACGAAGCGACTCACGCCGTCGACATACAGGTCGTTCAAGAGAACCCGGATGAATTGGCGGTGGCCCTTAACCGCATCCTCGTCTCCATGAGCGGCCCTCGGTCCAACCTGTGAACTCACAGTAGGACAACGCGGGGCTTTACAACTGCCAACGCACGGATTCCACGACGACCAACTATTTCACTGACCTTTTTGTACCAGTATGGACGAGCGAGTCGAGCGAGTATAACATTTGTGAGTGTGCTGATCCAAGAGTGATAGGAGATCCGCCCTGCACAGCTCGACTTTCGTGCGCAGATTCTACCGAGGGTGAAGGTGAGTAGAAGACATCGGAAGCAGCAGGAGGGACACATCTGTCAGGATGCTTTCGTTCTTGCTGCCCAGCCTCGGGTGTTGCCCAAGACGAGGGCATGCCATGTTTGCGGCAAGGCTGCGCTTTGGCTCGTATGCATGCCCCAAGGCTTTACAAGAGTCTCGTGCATGCGTCTGCGCTAGAACCCGGTGTTGCTCATGGCGACCATGGCGCCCACAACACGTCCGATGCAGCGCCGGCGTGGCTCAGCGGGTTTATCCCGTCCTGTACGACCTCAGCGACATCACCGGGTCATTGAGGGAGCGATGGAGATCGTAGTGGCGGTATACTCTGCTATCGCGGGCGTCCTGCCGCGGTGAGGCGGTCCGCGATACAAGGGTCGTATTCGAAGTCGTTTCAGGAAGCAGTGTCTTCTTGGGCGCAATCAGTGAGCGCTTTGAGAACTCGAGAAGCATGACACCGCGAGTACAATAGATCCTGCAGCGCTCAGAACGCGCTCCGGAGTCCTTCATTTCCCGGGCGCTGGGAGCAGATTGTGCGAAGATGAAGCATGCGGAATGTGCTCATGGCGTCTACCATTCGCCAAATTGAGCGCGAAGATCCTTGCCCACGCACAAGTTCCGGCGGAGCGCTGGCGCCGTGCCGCGCAGAGTGGGGACAAGGCCTGCGGGGATCACGAAGTTCGATGAGTTTGAAGACAGGTCGTGAGCGCAATCAGTCAACGTACATACATAGAGCAGTGGGTCTTAAGAAGAGGAAGAGGGGTCATCTCCGACGGGGGGCAGCTGAGCTGGGAGGCTGCGGCACGAATCCATCGGACGGGCGCGCGGGGTCTCACGCGTTTGTCGGAATGCTTCCCTTCATGGGATAGGCGGGGCTTCTGAGCGCCCCAGCCGCGCCTGCATGACTTAGGTTCTGGTGGAATTTATGTAACAGATTCCGTTCGAACGTCGCGGTACTGCGGCTGTTGTGCGCGCCGCACACGCGTACGGCGCTAGCAATGATGATGAGCCTGGGCTCCGACAGCCTCATGACCACTTATCGCGGAATGCGACCCTGTTCACGGACGCACCGCGGCCCGCGATTTGAAGGCGGTGTGAGAGACACGGTCGGACAACGCGCGGTACATGATGAGCGCCGCCGTTGGCGAACGCTGAATCTATGGTGGCATACATGAATTACAACAAGCGTCCTACATACAACCAAGAACTGAAGACGAGGTGCGTTGCATTCGAATCATGAAGAGTAGGGTGGGGGAGTGGTGATCGACGACGACGAGGGATGGGGGGACTACTACAGGCCGGAGCCAACGCTCCGCCGGAGGGCCGCATGCGCAGCTTGGGGCGAAATGTCGACGAACGTTTCCCTCGTCACCGTGACATCGATGGTGGCTGGGCTTCTCTGGAGATCCAAGAGGGAAGGTCGGAGTCAGACGCTGATGACGAGCGAGGGACAGGGGCCCGGGTGTGGCACACCTTAGCCAACGCTGGCAAGATAGGCCTAAACGCGAGTACGCCGAGACCTGGGGACGAGGGCTGGATGGGCTTCTCCGGAGCCTCCAGTCCGAAGGAGCCCGTTTCAAAGCCCTCCATGCCTTTGTCGAGCAGCGAGCGTCGGGAGTTGAGGCTAGAACGCTGAGAGTTAGTAGTGGCACGGAGAACGAAGTAGGAATACACATACACTGCGAGCAAGGAGTTGGAGTACACTGAGAGTGAATGTCAGGTACAGAGCATACGCCAAATGACTGAGACGCTGGACGTACTCTTGGAGCAGATCAGAAGGATGGCACTGTAAACCAGGTTATCGGGCATGACAAGGGCCTAGACGTAAAATGTAAGCTGGGGACAAATCAAACGAGGTCGAGAACGTACGCAGATCAATGCAGCCACGCTCAAGATGCTGAGGATACTTTAGGAACGAGGGCGACTAAAAACAAGAAGAAGCGCACCTGGTGGAGAGGCCTGGAAGGACAGTCAGCACGGTTCGTCATGCAGTGTTGGCCCACTTACCCGTGTTGATCGCGTACACCATTAGTATGTCGACCATAGAGTCCGTCCTACATGATACCATATGAGCAGAACTTCCCCCGACGTCGCCTATAATATGACGCACTTTCTGAACCCCGTGCGACTCTTACGCAGGTAGTAGGTCAGGGTTCCAGCCGCGAGAACGTCGATTGCCACCGCAACGACAAGGATCGTCCACAAAAGATACTATAGACACTTATTGTCAGCAACAATATGGCAGCGAGTGCGATGAGAATGTCTTGCGTTGTATCTGATGAACTTGGCAAACGAGACTTGAACGAATCTGTACACGCGCTGGGCGTTAGATGGGGACATATTGATGGTGGGCGCGGTCACGTACGACTCTATAGCAGCGGCTGCAGCGTCCAATATCAGTAACTGACGCGCACTGATTGTTGTAAATGTATCATACCTATGCAGAAACCTGTGTGATACATGACGGCTGAGTGGGTGTGGAGCGGGAGTGATTAGACGTACTTACCGATTTCCACGAGTAGCAGGGAGGCCTGACAACGGTGACATGGTCGGGATGGGATGTCCAGCGCAAAGATTTTGGAAGAGCACTCACAATTGTAGCGACAGGAATCCAGTTCCGATTGCTGACTGCGACCGCCGCTCAGAAATATCACACAACAAGGACCGCTCAACTTACGGAAGAAGAGACGCCTCGCGTAGAAGCTGTTTGTCGAGTAAGGTTCGTCAGGATATACTTGCAATCGGCAGCAAGTCAGACATACCAATGGGAACAAAGGATGATCAACCCCTGATGTAAGTGTTTAGTCGATGCTTCTTGTAGAGACATGGGGCGGACTTACTGTCTCCAAGATGATAAGCTAGGTTCGCGGGTCAGATGAGTCAGCACTTAGCATCAGCGGGCGCGCAAAAGGTCTTACCCTGATAGACCTGCGGACAAATAAGCGTCAGAGGTGGCGTTATACGTGGTCGCCATGACCCATCCGCTTACCAGACACCGTCGGCGAGGCGGCCAGGATTGAAGAAGTTGGTAACGAGGTAAAAGTAACTGGTGGGATTCGTCAAAAGAAGCCAGGTGTGTTGACGGACTGGACGTACCAGATATGAATGCCGGAGATCGTATGCAGCACGTCAAGCATCCTGGGCAATGTCTTAACTTTGGAATGACGAGAGCCTTGCAAGTAGTTACGCACAAGATAATGAACACCTGAGTACGACATGATTAGAAAATCAAAATGACAGAACGAGGATGCGCCGCACCAGAATCTTGAGGCTGAGAAGATCCGTCGGATACAGGCGATAGTACCTATAGGTCTGGTGGGTCGTCAACCCGAACATGCTGCATCGAGAACAGTCAGGCGAGTGCGCACGAGAGGGAGTGATGTCAGACTTACATGCACGCCAGACAAGTGCAAACCAAATACGCCCCGAAGGTGCGCTCCAGATCCACGGCGGCGATGATTGCAGCGATGGCCGCGGGGCCGGGTAGCTCATCCTGAGGGATAGCAGCCATGCTTGACGATAGGGTAGAACTTGAATGAGGTTGCTGCAGGCGCGATCTCGTCTTCGAAGAAGAGGGTGGCATATATACCTGGGAATGCTTCTTTTTGGGCATCAGGAGTATGAGCGGTCCCGGTGGCGCTCGTCATGAAAGCCATCGACAAACGAAATCAGCGCCCATACAGGCACGGGGATGCGATCCGGACGTATACACAAGGATTGAGAATCCGACCATGGACTCTCGTTCTCGGGTGCCCATGTGGCGTGCATGAGGCCTGTGAGCATCCAGCGGCCCCCAGCGCGAAAGGATTGGGGGAGCAACAGAGATGCGAGAAGCGTCACTGGTGCATACCGCCGTGCACAGCAACAGGGCTGTCCAATAGGTATGGAACCGTACCTCTGAGAAGAACATCGCTCCTATCATAGCTGAGGTGCATAACTCCGCAGGCGCATCACCACGTTTAGTCCTTGACGGTGGCGTCGATTTACCACGGACAACTGTCCGGACTCCAAAATCGACGACCGACCAACAGTGCCAGTCAAAATCCAGGTGCTACAAAAGTGAACACCCGCTCGCGCGAGCTGATGACCTGGTACGCTGGGCACCTCAAATGAACCTCGCAGATGAGGGACGGATCGTATCAGCTTGAAGCTTCTCGGAGCGCTCGGACGAGCAGATGGAACAGCGCCAGCACAGTGGAAAGTTCATCATCGGGAGCACGAGAATTTGACCGTCGTGCCGCGGATTTTGATACCGGAAAGCGTGTACCCGATGTGCACAAGTTCCTATGTCAAAACGCTTTAGTACCGGTCGTAGATAAAGAGTCGCAAACAACGCTACCGTGGGTAGACTGAGGTACTGACAGGCGAATGCGCTTGTTGAGAAGCTTCCTCACATGATTTGGAAAGGAGCGTCGGTAGTATGGGCTGTGAGGATTTTTTCACGTAATCACGCCCTCAGAAGTTACTTTCTATGGTGTTGAACGAATCGACTAGCGACTGCGCTGGGCAAGGACCGTCGTATGGTAGGTGGTGGTACGTGTCGGCAAGGGCCGGAGAGGCCGGCCGGCTTTGCCGAGCTATAATAATACAGATTCTCACGGTGCCCAAGTTCGTACATGGCGTGTCTCCTCACTCACTCACTCACTCACTCACTCTTGCACTCCAATCTCACCGCTCACCCTTGTGTCGTTCCATCTATCTGACTCACACAGTGAATACAAGACTCGTATGCGGTATATGGCGCGCCGCGAGACGCAGTCGACCGTGAGATACCCCTCTGTCTCTATGAGTCAACACCGTTCCCACCGATTGGGCCCGTCGCCCTGGTGCTGGTCTCCCATGTATCGTGGGGCTGAGCCCCAAATCCTTGAGATGCGCGCGGAAGATGGCGACTTCCATTTCACGCCCCAAGCACAGACCGTCGCTCGAAGGTCATGCGGTAAGTGACACCTCCAGGCGTGCTTGACGTACCTCGCGGGTACGTATTCTGCCCATCTGCCGGTACAGGGATGCGTCGGATACATAGAGCGCTAATTACGATTGTCTAAGCATCGGAAGGCATCGTACCGACGTTCTTCCAAACCACACGGAGATGGAGGAAGCCCGCTGCCCGCGCGGTGAGGGCTCTCGCTATCTGCGTAACTCCGCTGCCAGCGCTGGACCGTTCGCGCCCCCAAATATCAGGTGATTGATCTTCCCATGGACCCACAATTCTTCAATTGATTCGGGTGCGGTGCGTGGCATGCCCGCCGCCCGTAGAGGGGCTGCTGCGGACGCCGACTCGGGGGTGCGTGGACGAGCGCGAGGCCCTGGCGGAAAATCCATCGCGTCGTTGGCTGCGTGCGATCGTTCGCCTTACCAACCTTTGTGGGCGCATGAGAGAACGGTGTCGGCGTAATTCCGCTCCGTGCGACGAGCGGCCTATTGGACAGCCATCGGGAGTTATAGACTCACGAGGAGCACATTTCGCCCTGTCGAGCCGTGAGCCATGCGCGGCGGCTTCTGTGCATGGGACTCTGGGAGGGTGGATGGAGAGAGCTAGCTATTTCCGGTTGATACGGTGAGCGTTGTTTGCGCGCCTGTCGATAGATCGCTTACGGCGTGACAGGGGTCCCCTCGCTGCGGATGGTCCCTAGCCCAAAGAGGATGTCTGGTTGTACTTCGGAAGTGCCCATCTCCAGCGCACGTCTCTCCTTGTGCTTGGGCGTCGGCGTCTTCCTTATCGATATCGCACAGCCCATCGTACACCCTCCAAGGCCCTCGACAGCGCTCACTTCATGCTATAAATCTCAGTCTGTGAATCCCGTCTTTCCAGCACTCGACTGTCTCCAGCCCAGTGCAGACCCGCAATTCAGAGTACGCGCGATTGTATCCTATATGCATGCACAAGACTGTGTACCCCACAGTTTTGGACATGTATATATTGCACCATCGCTATGTACACGCGGGGAAGTACTGGGTGAGACGGTGGATCGTGCTTCTGCTTCGACTGTATCATGCTTCTGTATGAGAACATTTTACGACGTATAGATGTGCGCAGGAACATCCTTAACTTGAACTTAAGATCTCAGAAGCCCGGAGTCATGTCCGATAAACCTGCTTGTACCTAGTCCGAAGCTCCGTGACTGCTCGTACATACGACAGTTGTACTGTACCCGCGGCGTTCGAGTGAAGCTCAAGTTTGGCTCATCAACGCCATGTTCAAAGTCCTACTAGTACAACACGGGAGCCGTATTGTTGTAGTCATGCTATGTCTTCGATGATGCGACATAGACAACGTTGCGGCTATGAGTGCGGCGCTCTCTGGCCTCTCTTAAGACTACGTTGAGAATGTGCTCGCAGACGAGCCCAGTCTGCCACTTCCTTGCTCACTCGCTTTATGGCTCACCGGTCTCTCGTAGACTTGCACCACTTCGCAGTACATTGCACCGATCTCGCGTTGCGCGGCAAGTTGTTGAAGTTGGTAGCCGAAACGAGTCTCCCGCGAGAGGCCATCTCAAGTTCTTGATCTTCCGCCGTCCGGTATCTGAGAATTTCGCACTCTCTGCTGTGCTATTGTATTCCCCAGACCCCGATCAATGGAAAGATGCTCCCGCGACGATCGAATGTAGTGGCCGCGCCCGATGTGGCGGTGTTCTCACCCTCGATCAATGTTGCCCGACGGCGGGATGTCAGCGGACGCCTGATGAGGCCGGCGCGTCCGTTCCGCGACCCCGCTTCGCAAGAACTCGGCTTGTCCATTTAATAAGTACCCGCGTGTCGTACTTGCCGGACTACGAGGAAATTTATGAAAGCGACACGCCACATGTAGAGAAGCAGACGACTCAGAGTTCGCGGTTGACATCGTGTATGTATTGGGTTCCGAGAGTCCGCTTCTAAAATCGACGAAGGTAGCTACAACATCCCCGATAGATACAGGGGATATCAGGCATGCACGAGAAGACAGGTAGGATGAATGGATGGCATGACATGCCCACGCATCCTGCCTGGCGCGCGCATGCAACATGGAGAAGGGGGGTGGTGATACAACCAGCATTGTAATACATAAAAAGAACTGCGCGTTGCTAATTGTCCGATGCTAGTACCTAGGGCGCTTCGACGCTCAACGCTGAGGTGCTCTCGCCGATACGCCCCTCGCTGATGTCCAGAACGCTGCCCCAGTCAGGGCTGCCCGGGGGAACGGGGACCCCGTCTACATAGATCTCCTTTGTGACTCGAACGTCAATGACAGTCTGCGCGGGCGGCACCTGTGAACGCAGCAGTCAGCGGATGGGAACAGAGAGCACGGGATCAAGGCGTGATGACGCGCCACGTACCCGTGGGTTAGAGGGCGTCTTGAAGTCGATTGGGTTCAGGTCGCGTGCGTCAACGACCCTCATTCCGAACGAGCCTGTATCGAAGCCTTCCATATCCCTGTCCACCAGGGCCCTGCGGGAGTTCAATCTGCGGCATGTGTGAGAGGAAGCGCGATGTGACCGTGGTTGGGTGGTACGCACACAGCTAGGAGCGAATTCGCATACACTGCAGAAGAGAGGTCAGTATAGCTGAGGGGACCGCGACCGCTGACATGAAGCGTACATTTCGACGATATGATGTACAGTCCGCTGTAGACGAGATTCCTGGGCATGATAATCGCCTGAGAGGAAGGCATGTCAGAATGCATTTGCGGAGATTGTCAGGATTTGTCGTACGGTGAGTGCCGCCGCTAGGCTGACGATGCTAAGTGTGGCGAACAAGGCGCGTGAGATTCCCGTACAAAAACAGGTAGTACGAGGCGCACGCACCTAGTAGATAAGCCTAGAGATAGGAAAGGTGTAATTAAGTAGATGGGCCACGGGGACGTCGGTGTGTCTGCAGACTCACCAGTATTGATAGCATAGACCATAAGCACGTCGAGGAGAGAGTCCGTCCTGCCAGAGCAGATGGTAAACGTGAACATCTAGTGCGCAGTGCGTTATCTGAAACAGCTGCATACCTCTTGAAGCCGGTGCGGCTGCTATGCAAATAGTAGATGAGGGCCGCAGAAACGAAGACGTCCACGACCACGGCCGTTCCTAGCGCGGAACACACCACCCACTATTTAGAGGAAACGTCAGCACTAGAAACGAAGGCTATACGAACAGGTAACACTCACAGCATATTTCGCGTAGTTCTCGAATGTCACTTGAACGAAGCTGAAAATCGCCGCATCAGTGACCGCGGTCCGCGATAGCGTTATCAGTTGGAGTACGCACGCTTCGACTGTGGCGGCTAGTTCACGTTGTAAAGATTAAAGCATTCCCACTGTATGATGTGCACCGACTCACCAATACACAATCCTGGGAGCCCGCATGGAGGATGTCAGGTTGTGATCAGGTGGCGAAACGACACCCGTGCTTACCGAACTCGACCGTGAGCAAGGTGATCTACGGAATTGTTGTTGTGGTTGCGGGCATATAGAAGATGTTCAGAAGACTCACGATGAAGACGATCGGCCAGAGCCGCCCCCCTCCCACTGGATAGTATACAGTGAGCGAAATCCTCCATCGTTGGCTTGATCCTACTCACATAAGTACATGCGCCGAGCGTAGAAACTACGCACGCCTTGTCAGCAAAAGACCACCTTGCTGATGTACCGGACTCACCAATGGGATACAACGATCACGCAGCCCTACGCATGTGAAAGTCAAATCAATACCCTCTAGAAGGCAAACAGCGGTGCACGAACGGTCTGCATAACGCTCATCTGGAATGCGATGTTAGTCGATGTTCGTCGTCGTCAAATTGAAGTCTTACCCTTATGGACCTGGCGAACCGGAGTATTTGAGTACATACGAATGAAGTGGCGAGCGAACTGGACGCACCATACACCCTCGACAAGTCGGGCGGGGTTGAAGTAATTGTTGATCAGGTAAAAATGACTGCGACGTTGGCATTCAGTTCGGCTTCAGAAGCAGAAGTCGGCCAAAGCGCACCACATGTGGATGGTGAGAACAGTATGAAAGACGTCGAGGACGCTGCGTGAGGTGAGGTCACCGAAGATCCTCACAGGGCCCGGTACTACTCACAAAAGTACAGTAACCTGTGTCGAGTAAATGAGTACGTCGGGCACGCTCTCAAAGAGGAGTGTACCCACGAATGTCTTCAATCGCCATCCATCTGTCGGGTAAAGACGGAAGTAGCGATAGGTCTGATGAATCGTTAAACCGAAGAGCCTGTCACGGTAAATGAGCCTTCGCTAGCTGGCGAAGCAGGGACAGACTTACATGCATCCCAGGAAGGTGCAAAGGAGAACCACTCCGACGGTGTTGTCGAGCGGAGGCACCTTTGGAAGCGCGGGGATGGACTCGCTTCCTGCTGGGATCTGCGTCATGGTGGGTGCCATTGGGGTACTGGCGATGCAAGATTGTGGCAGGAAGTAGATGGCAGGGAGGGTGAGTTTAAGGATTTGGGACAGGGGCCCGGCATCATCGATGGGGTGATGCATGCCGCCCATATTGAACTTCTTCCTGGGGCGAGATCACAGAGCTGTACGAACCAGCTCTGCGAGCAGCGCTCATGCGCGTGGACAGCAGCTTCGTTTGTGTATACACGGTGAGAATCCCTGCTTACAGATAGCGCCCTCGGAACAAACCAAGATCAGAGCCCGACCACATGTGAAAGCCGGGCCGACATATCGAGCACAGAACATGTGGACGGTGTTCAACCGTCCTCCGACCATAGCACGGGTATGCGTTGTGTCCAGACGTGAGGAGGTAACGTGTACTCCGGGTGCGGGTGTTCCAGCAAGATGCGGTGCTTTGTGGGCGCTCCGAAATGCCCTTTCCGGGTGGCTGGGGTCCATTACAACTCCAGAGGGACCCCAAACGCGTGCTGCATACGGGCACCGGACTTTGCGCTCGACCTGGCCGGGAGTGCTGAGGAACTTGAAAAAACCGCCATCTTGATAATTGAGAAGCGATCAGAAACGGTCGGAATATACCAATGAGGTGTGACTCAACGGACGGACATCCGAGTGTGGCGTGAGTGAGGAGGGCGCTCGTCTGTTCCGTGGGCGCTCCTCGGATTTTTCCCTGTTTGAGTGTCTCTTCCACTAGCTTCCACCCCGTTGCCCATACGGTGCACCTCCGCAGCCTCTGCGCGCCCCTCCTGCGCTGATTGGTCGCGTGTCTGTTTCTATGCTTTGCATTCTATCGGGGTCTCGTACGGTTGTGGATCGAGCACAATGCACCATCCTGCCACTGGTTGCCAGTGAACTCGAAGTCAGCCTCTCGACGCGCGTAAAATTACTGCGCCAGCCCCGCAACTCGAAGTTTACCGCAAATCCCGGATCGTGTTCAAGTGGTGGTCCCCGCTCTCTCAGTCGGCTGTGGCCCGTACTGGGAAGCGTGTGAAGCGGTACGCCACTGCCATATATATGGTTGTAGCTGCTTACCTGAGTTTTACCATGGCAGGTCAAGGACAGACGTACAGAAGATGTGCTCAAATATGAGCGTCTGACACGCTACTACCACCGTCCCATCCATTTCTGGTCTGTCATAATTCTGCATTAGCGATGCTGATGACGGACTACCGAGATGGATGTCACTTTATTGAGGTAGGCATGTACAGTCGTCGCTCGTCTTACTCTTCTACTCGTTCACTTATTTGTTCACAGTACCGCCACCAGCTCATACGGCGCAGCTCGCCGAAATATGTGGCCGACAGGGTGATGGGCAAGGTATCGCTAGCTCGTAGGTTCCGAGAATGATCCTTGCATCCTTCGGTGTAGCGTTGATCTATTTCGACCTTCTCGCCATTGAATCGCACTCGAGTTCGATTGGAGGACAGTGTCGTGATGTATCTGCTAGCAGGTGGGAGCACGTAACATGATGCCGGATCGCATCCAGTACAGAGAGGTGAAGCAATTGTCATTCTCTCTCTTAGGAAACTGAATTAGTAGGACACTTGCGAGCGATTCGCAAGCTAAGCGCACGGACCTCACTCGTGTACAGACGCCGGGCCTTCTTCGGCGATGGGCGCGCCCATTCCCAAGACCAGAACGCGCGTCGTACCTGTGCGTGCTTCTTCTGCCCTGTTGGACGGATGCCATCGCTCATCGCTCTCTATCCTCGACATCAGCTGTTACTGTTATGAACAAATCTATCCTTACAACGCCGCAGCTGCGGAGCATCCCTCAGCTGTGCAGGCGGCTGTCGATCCGTTGGCACCGGTCTGAGCCTGAACGTCCTACAGTGTCTAGAACGACGCCACTCAACTTGGCTCTTCCTCACTGAGGGTGCCTCAGACTGCCCCTGCGCTCCGAGAGCGGATTTTAGCTTATGGGATGATTGCGCAACTCCTCTAACGTTCTGCTCTGAGTTTACAGACACTGCGGTATCAAGGGGTTTGAACCTAATAGACCGAGCGGCCGCATGCCGGCGGGCCTGCTACAAGGACTGGCGCGCGGCTTCGAATGTCAATGTCAGTGCCATATTCTGCCACGGGATTCCCGCTCCCAGGCCCATCAGGTAACTACCCTCCGTGTGTCCGCCGGACGCCCAGATTAGCCTCGGTGGCCGCGCATCCAGATTCTCTGCAGATGCGCAATCCGTCTTCCCCGTGCGCATCTGCCTGATCTATAAGTATAGGTGTACCTCGTCGAACGCCCCTCTAGACTCTGCATCGGCCCGCGATCATGGCTACCTCTCCGAATGCTACTGACCCATCCTCGAGCAATCCGCTGAGTGCGTTGCCCAAGATACCTGCCTTGGACAACAGTTATGGTGCGATGCTTTTGGGTACCTCCCTCGGGCTCATGTGAGTTTACGCTCGATGCTAGAATAGTGCGCGAACTAAAACCTTGAACAGGCTGTACGGACTCACCCTCCACCAGACCTACAGGTATTTTCGGCTCTACCCTCGGGACCTTAAGTTGTTTAAAATATTCGTGAGCACCCCCATACTTGCCTGCGTTCAGGACTCGCCACGCTGATAAAATGCTGTTTCGCATCGCAGGTCCTAGCGATAGTGTACGTCCGTACAGCTCCACAAACGATTGCTTCTTACGCGTCTACAGAACGATGGAGACGGTTCATACTATCATATGGATGGTAGCGTGGTGCGTTCACACCGCGCCCTCATCACCTATGCAAACAACACCTCACATCTTTCTTGCCTAGTTATCACTTCCTGATAACGGACTACTTCAACCCCGCAAGTATACTCACCGGGCACTGGTGAGTCATTTCAGCGACATTCGCGTTCCGAAGGTTCCCATAACATAGGGTTCCGCCACAGGTCTGTCAAAGTGAGCTGCTTGTCAATCTCGAAGTCGATTATTGAGTCCTGAGCCCGAACTCCCCGCGGCAGATCAATGTCGCAGTCACAGTACGTTCAGCTCGTGGCGTTGGGCGTTGACACTCCACCAATACTAACACCTCTCAGGGAGCGTCAAACCTCATATGCCAAAGGTCAGTCTGTCTATGAAGAACAGCACTTTGACCAACTGACGTCCTGGGACGGAATGCAGTTTCTATGCCCGGCGTGTCTTCCTTCGTGAGTTCCTGGCCGCATGACCGGATCTCACGAGCATGAGACTCAAGTAGCTCGTGCGAGCAGTTGGCCCGAAGAGCCGCTGGGTTGTCGCCGTTGCTGTGAGTGGCGTGGTTTCTGAGATGAGGCGTCTGTTGATGACCTAGAGTATAGGGAGTGTCCATGGTCGCTTGTCTAGGTAAGCGTGATCATCGCTGGGCCGGCGGGATATCCGCAACTGACACTATCATTTCTGACAGGTTTCGACATTGGTGCGTCGTGTTGTCTTGGCCCATCTGTCAATTGTCTCACGTTTTGTCTTAGGCGCGAGCGTCGAGGCGTCAGTCATTCCGTATCTCAAACGCCTCTGCGCGACTGACTCCTAGGGCGGCAGATTCAAACTGAGCTTGTCCGATTTCCCGCGGTTCAGCGTAAGCCCATGCACATTTGTCCGCCTCCGCGCCCTTCGGTGACCGACCGCGGTCATTAGTGGCTCGTATCCGGGGCGTATGGTTGCGCAGTAGCGACTGATGTGCTCTTGACGGGAGCCCTCATTCGTGTTCTGCTGCACAGTCGCACCGGTTTCAAGCGGTACGCCTAACTTTCGCTTTATCTCCTTCACGCAGCGCTGACCCGGGACGCTAGCACCGACTCCACGCTGGACACACTTATCGTATACTCAATCAACACTGGTACGTCGGACGGGTTTTGATTCCGTGCGTTCTACTGATACTTCTGTGGTTTGATCACAGGTCTCCTAACCAGGCAAGCAATAATTCTTTGGCACGTCCTGGACGAGGTACTGAAGTCTACACGCGTAGTGTTACCGGCATCCTTGTATTTGTTTTCGTGAGTAGAGTGCACGCCTCCGAACTGGTGTACCTTGGCGGCCTGACATTGCTCTTGAGGCGCTCATTTTGCCAGGCAACTACATATACGCGGGGATCAGCATCGTCAATGCCAAACGTTTGTTGTCTTTCCGCACTTCATCCGTCGCTCTCGAACTGACACATGTAACAGTATACGCAAACTCTGTACTTGCTGTGTGAGTGTTGACGTCGTCATCTGCGGTCTCCTCGCGCTAACCCCGTGCGTATCGTACGGCAGATTAAACTCACGGCGCTCTTTGGCTTCGAGCAAGCGGGTGGTAGACGATTTCGAAATGTACCCGACCTCAGGATCCCAGTCGAGCCGCACACAGCGGTCGCACAACGGCGCCGTGGATACGTGGAATGGACCTCAGGTGCGCGCGAGTGATTAGGTTCTGTGCCCGTTGACGTCTGACATCTGGGTCATGATGGACTGTTCTATTCTAGGTCTCGGTATCTCTTCACCCTGCTATGGCCGCCGTCAAGGTACCTGCACCACACGATCGAGGTCATGTCCTGGTCCTCGGCCGAGAGGAGAAGGATGGACGCGGAGGAGACCTGATGGCGGCATCGTCGGTGGTATAGAATCTGTTCGGGGGTATCAGGGCCCGAAGCCGGACAGGCCGCAGTCTCAGAGTTTACAGGGGCGGATGAGAAGGGACAGGCACATGGACATAGCATTGTAATTCCATGTATTTATTCTATTGGTTCACCAGTCGCCTTCGTGTATTCTGGGCATGCGCGGCCGTTTGAGTTCGTACACCATGGTGTGGACGGTCGAGTTGGCGGTGAGCGTACCCAGGGTCTTCGGAAATTGCTGTGCACTGCCTGGGGCCTGAGCCGTTACCGCGAGAGCGAGCACCTATCTTGAGAAAAATTGACAGATAGAAGCGGATCCCCCGACGTTCATCCAGTCTGTATCAAGTTCGAAGACTTGCAGATACCAGCCACGATCACTGCCGGCGGGCGATCGTAGCGCCCATCTTCCATCCTGAGCTTCGAAGCAGATGTACAGCCCGGAGAAGATGATGAAGGTGGAATACTACAACCTCCAACGCGGTACCAGCTCATGCACGAACATCTACACAACTGGAAGGAGACCGATTGGTACGCAGCGTCCGCGTCGTTGCCGAGTTGTACGACGACTACGCTCTATCTCCGAGATCATCGAAGTGCACACCGGGCCGCCGTTGGAACGTCATCTCCAGGGGTACTTCGAGATTAGGTACACCCCTGCCCACAATGCCCTCGCGGAAGGCTTGCACGTCGAAGCCAGGCTTGAGGGACATATCGTATGCGAGGACGAGGCGTGCCAGGACATAACGCATTTGGTTGTAGGCAAGCGTCTTTCCGAGGCACGCGTGCTGGCCTGCAACGGGTCAACGGAGGGCCCGGGGCAAGCACGCGATTGTAATACGTACCGTATGAAAATGCCGCCAGCGCTGTTCTATCCGTCTTCGTGTCTGGACCAAGACCCTCCGGTAGCCAGCGCTCCGGTCGGAAGTTCTGGTTTCGCGCTGTAAGAATGTATCACAGACGAGAGCGGCTGTGTTGGACGCTCACCATAGGTTCCGGGTAGAAGTGGTCCGGGCTTGTCTGGATCGAGTACGACGCGAGCGCGACGACGGTGTCGCCCGGAATGTGAACGCCGTCAACCTCAACTCCGCCCTTAGGGGTCACTCGGGGCAAGAAGAAGTGCGATCCCAGGCGCAGCGCCTCGTTTACGACGCCATCGATCAAAGGAAGCGCTGCCAGTGCGCTTTGAGAGAGAGGTCCTAGCGGGTCTGGGAAGGCTTGCTCCAGCATGTCCCGCAGTTGGTGGAGGTACTGCGGGTCGGCGGCGAGGAAGTAGCAAGCCAGAGCGAGCGTGATTGTGGTGTTCTCCGATGCTGCGGCGACTGTGAGTGATCGGCGGCGCGCCACACACAAGCTTGTTCCGCACCAGCTAGTATGGCAATCATGCCGTCCCGCTCCATGTCGGCCATGGGAACGCCGCCGTCGATCTGAGTGTCGACTGGATGTGAGCACCTTGCCCGAGGGCACCGAGAGGCGGACATACCAAATATGACAGCAGGTCTCTTGACGTGGGAGGCTCCTTGGACCCCACGCGCTTCCGTGCCATCTCCGCGGTCATCGTAACCAGCTTATGCATGTCCTTCGTGGCAGGAATGCGCCACAGAACGTGTAAAAGCCATGGAGAGTGCCCGAACCTGTAGAATGCTGAGCCATAGGCAGCCAGCGGGAGTGTAGGGCTACGCACGTGTCCATCATCGCCGTCGAATACTTTCCGGTGGCCACCAGATTGTTGACGTCTCCATTTCTCATCAACTCCTGGACCTCTGTGAGTAACAATAACAACCGCGAGTGGCTAGGCACATACAAGCTCGTTGCATCCACCGAATACTATATCGCCCTGAAGTCGAAACACTAAGTCAAGACAGTCTTTGCAGCGCAATGAGAAGAATACGTACCCCGAGATCACACGACCAATGATAGAAGGCCTCTGGAAGGTCGATGAGTCCGCCGCCCACGGACTGGCGTTGCTCGATACACTGCATGAGTTGCCAGGTCCTCCTTTCTAGGGCCGGGGTCATGGCGGAGATACTGCGAGCACGGCCAAGCGGGGTTCAGCGGGGCTTGAGCGGCGGCGCGGAGAGTCTTACGCACCTGCTGGGGGTGAACAGACCGCCCCAGATGCGGCGGCGTTCCCGGTGGCCCTCCTTGCTGTCCTGCTTGAGAAAGATGGAGGCCACCCCATCATGGACGGGGAAGCGGTACGATTCGCCCTTTTCGAGATGAGCGTAGAGGGAGAGTGCTGAGAGTGAGTTGATGGAGAGGGCATTGGGGCCTGATGAGAGAGAATGAGACTGGTGCGGACGACAAGTGCTAGCTACACTATCTACCTATCCGGACGAATGGGCCATGCTTTGCGTGTAGACGGTCCATAACGAGGTGACGTCTCCCGGTGGATGAGACGTAAGCCAGCCATAGGCTGCTGATACGTGCTAGGAAAGGTCCTGGATGGGATGCCAGTGGATGCCATGGGGAGAGGCGATAGATGACGGTGGCAACGGAAAGACATAGGGCGTGGATTGATGTAAAGACAGTAGTCGTTCTTAGCGGGCTCTCTTGCAAGCCGGGTGAACGTTGGAGGAGCACATAAAGCGTGCCTGCACAGAGGGTATAGAAGGATAGTGCATGATCCCCTCGCACGGTGTGCCCATGCAGGTATATCCAGGCGGCCTGCAAAGTACATGTTGGTTAATGTAGTACGAAGACAGGCCGGCAAGCTCACCAGACCGGAGACCGCGGCGACAGCGTGGAGTAAGGTATCACGAGAGACATCCATTTACGCGAATGAAGGATTGGCGAAGTTCGACTCGCTTGAAGAACCACCATGCGTCTATGCGGAAGACGCCACTCTATGTTGCGTTGAAGAGCTAGGGAGCGAGTGAGTGGGAATACGATACAACAGACGAGCCTCTTACCTGCTGTATTCATACCGCGACAGCGCCGAGAACCCTGCTGCCAATTCCCCGCTGGCCTGGACGGCGGAAGCCTGTCGCGCGCTGGCATCAGGATCAGGATGTCAATCGCGGCTGCGGACCCGCGCGTGGGCTGTTCAAACCAGCAACGCCTCGAGGACGCCCCCACAAAGAGTAGCGCATGCGGAGGCGAACCATGATCTCAAGAGCGTCGATGGGCCAGCATCGGCGCCGGTCCCACTCGCAGACAGTTGCTATCATCCCGCCGATCGCATCCGAGTTGGGGGCGAGCACGAAGCAGGCGATGCGCCTCAAGGAACAGCCCCAACGCACGCCGGAGAAGGCCGATGGCCCCTAACGAAGCATCTTGCATGCCACGCCAGTCTTCTGCCAGATGTCGGGATCACACGCAGCTCGGTGCGCTCGTTCCTGACCATGTCGGGAAATGGTATTCCGAGCCGAGATGAGCTGCATAGGCACGTTCAAGCAACAAGGTGACGCGTATCGCGGCGTACGGGGTCAAGTGTGCGGGACTCCGTGACGCACGCGGGGAGTCTGCTCTTGAAGCCCTGGAAGGAGTAACTGTGTTGCGCTGTTTTAGTATCGGGTATCGATAGGGCAATGCGGGGAGGGCCTTACCCGGACATTGCGGTAGTAGCACACCGCTTGGGAGCTAGCGTCGCGTTGCGCCCTAAGCCCTTACTCGCATCGGTAAAAGTGGACACGGCACTTACCCCGGGCAAAGATGACCTAGGAGTGAGGGGGCGCCTTGACCTTGAACCACCACTATCAACGTTTTCCCCACGCCCTTGCCCCAGCGTGCGGAAGGCGATACCCCCTCAATAACGAAAGGTAAGGTGCCCTGAAGACACAAGACACCCAAGATGGCTGAATGGAAGTGATACTCAGGCTAGCCTGTCTCGAGACAAGAGAGCGAGTTCATGTCTTCAGAGGTGCGACACATCCGGCTGAACAGCTGCTGCCCGCCCACCCGCGCGGATGCCCGCGTAACGAGTGGATGCCCATCGGAGAGATGGATGCCTGCGACTCTGGTACCGGTAGCAGAAGGCTCAGTAGAAACGCTGGCAGACGAAGCCTGGGAGGGCAGCGAGAACATCCTGCGGCAAGCTGGCATGGGCGCTAAATACGATAAAGACGCCCATAGAGATTAGATCAGACTAGATTGACCGCGATATGCGAGTACAGTCATCACCCGGCTGATGTCACACTATCGCCTAAAGTAACAATTCTTCTCTCCCTCATGGAGTTCTGCCCCGTTTGCCTTGAAACCTTTTGTAAAGTATGCGTACAATGTCCCTGCATACGAAGATGTACAATAGAGGAGCCAAAATTGTGAGCGAGTGAATATATGGCCCATGTAACATTCTGATTTAGCTAGTGCCATGCACTTTGAAACATTTGCAGGTCTAATGCTGCTCATCCGATCCATTTTATGATATTCAAACTCCCTTAGCATATCATATAGTATGTGGGGAGACTCAATGTAAATTCTGGAATTATCAGGAGCACTATTGCGTGGGCTACGAGTACGTTTGTTGCTGCGAGGAGGTGAAAACACCGTCACAGCTAGTCACAGCCCGTACCTCTTATTGCACTGATATCTCCTGACACAAGCCTGGGACACACTCCAAAATTCACGGAGAGCTATAATACATTTTTTTGATTACATCTAGATAGTTTGAGGGTATATGCGGTGTGGAATTTAGTAGTTATTGTATTTGGTTGCGAGCAAGATGAGCTCGCCTTGTTCTCGTAGTAGTTACAATTGTTTTATTGTTTGTTGTATTTACCTAGCGACGTGCCACTCATGTATGTATATAATGGTCCACTTGACATCAAATATACGCACACATTTGCACTCAGCCAAACACGACGATCCCGCGCTCGCTCTCGCTCGTACCCGCGCGCTCGATTCTCCTACATGCGGAGGAGTCTGCAAAGTAAGGAGCAGAAATTTTGCAGATTGTGACTTTGGGTCGTTAGTGCCCAAATCAGACCCGTTGCAATGTTCTTGATATAGCTTGGCACTATGCCTATGCCATACATAGAGAGCCTTATATTACGAACACTGGAATGCTGGGCTACAACGCAGTACTAATTTCTGTGCCAGAAGATTGAGTGGAAGAGCAGGAATGGCCGAATACTTTTTGGTGTGACAATGGGCGGGTGATGACTGTACCGATTATGGCAGAGACGCTGCGGCGGGCGCTAAACATCAGTCGCTCTCTCTCTTCTCCCACCACCACCCATGGTGCTCACGCTCAACACAGGGGGCCACCCGGAGGCGAGCGCACCTATTTTATCGCGAACGAGGAGGGCCTGAGAGCGAAGAGATGCAAGAAAGAAGCAGAGTACGGGCCTGCGGACGAGCACTGAAGGACACACGAAGCCGTCCAATCCGGGCGCACGCGACTTGACCTAGCTTCCGAGCTGAGTGATCCGGCCCTGTCGACAAGCTGTCAGCTGCCTGAGAAGGCCGAACCTTTCTGAAAGAGACCGGGTGTGGCGAACACATGCGGCGGCACTGAGAGCATGACCTAGCACGGGGCGTGGCGGAAGCGAGACGGCCCTCTAAATTGGGCGAGGCCAACCTCACACACGAATGGAGATGTCTACTTACCCCAAGGTTGTGTCGGTGGCAGCTTCACCTGCAAAGACTAAGCACAGACACTGCAGCAGAGCGCTGCTCCTCCGGCCTGAAACCCCACTGCTCCCCGCAAGACCACGATTTTCACAGCTCCGCTGAACAAAGACAAACGGAGTAGGCGCATCTGAGCAAATCATAACGAAAACAGGATGAGTATACAACACTCCTGAGTACTACTCCGGCAGCTCTGTCAACTTTCCCGAGTAAAGCCGACCTCCACCGATGCGTCCAAATGCCTGGCTGCCCGGACGCGCATCGAGAACACGAGGCCACTAAGCTCTCCCGGGATACCAAATGGGGGAGGAAAACCTTGCTGGGTCTGCAAGGCATGAGCCCTCTCCCAGTGCAACTGAAATGCCGATCCTAACCACCTGAGCCTCGGAGGGCGGAAGTCAACTATTCGCAACATGAACAAGAATCGTGGTTAAGATGTACTGTACTAATTGGACCATAGCGGGGCATCACAAGTCACAGAGGCTCCCCGCCCCGCTATTTCCCCGGCTGTCCTCAGTCACAGAGGCTGCCGCCGGCTGTGACATACGGATCTTTGGCCCAGATGGGTGTAGGCGCCCAAAATTTTCGCTCCCGCCGCCGCTCCGCTGTGGCGGTTTACGGTCACAGTGTGGCCCCAGAGCCCCACATCGTATCTCACCTGTCACAGGTCACAACCGGGCCTGCTATGGTCCGATTAGTACAGTAATACAAGTGCAGCAATGACTGGCCACGACCGAACAAGACGGAGATATACCTCTCATCATTTAACACCTCTGTGGAGGGGGGGGGTTTGTTTTCTCTCGAACAGGGGAAAGCCAGACATACACATGCGTTAAGGGTATAGAAGGGCGCCCCAACCATGAACTGCAGCAGCCGTGAATATGTGTTATTTTCCCGGAAGATCCCCAAGTCTGGCGGCCTATTTACCGGCAATAGTGCTCATGGCAGCACATCTAGATGCCACAATTGTTTCTGGCTTACCCAGCGGCGCGAAACCTTTTCACCTGGACCTAGACTTCAGGTGCAGCATTGAGACTGAGCTGCTGCGTCCAGAAGCTAAGTGTCCCTCTCAGCAACACCAGCTCTTATTGGGACCTTCTCTCCTCAAACCAAACCAGATATTGTCAAGCAGGAGCAAACTAAGCCACAGCATTCTCCTGGTTTGTTAGACGGATTTATTTCTCAAACTAGAACACACTGCAGCCTAATTCACTTCCGTCGGTGGCAAAACATCAGATAAACCTGGATAGGGAACTAGCTGCCAGGTTGTCCTACCCATGCAACCCCCCTTTTTGCTGGCCCCTTCCTACTCCATCCTAAGGCCAGCTAAAGTCCAGTACACATAAAGTCTCCACTAAGCAGGAGGTAGAGAAGTGAGGCCCTTTCCCTAAGCCTGTATGTACCTCCCTTTGCACACAAAGCCCATAAAAATCTCCACAGGCTAAATTGCCTCCGCTGAAGGTGGCTGTTTGATGAGAAATTGAGAATATAGCCACATCTAGCCAATTAGAATAGGGAACCCATGCTTCCCACATGAACTGACCCAGTCAGCTGAGACTGAGAAGGAGTCTGTCATCAAATGGAAGTGACCATTAAATTTATCTCCCCTGCTTTTAAGAGAGGAGCAAGAGTGCCAGGAAACACACGTGCCACCCCCCACACCTACTCACTACTGCCTACCTGCCACCACACTGCAATGCACTTAGTCACTATATTTGTGAAGGAGAGAGGACATGCGCCATCCAGCCTACCTTGTAGTGACCTTATCCTTGAAATCTCCTTCCTAGATGTTGCCATTCCTCCTCTTGTACTGCTGCAAATTAGGCAACACATCTGTGTGCAAGTCTTAACAAAGCAGTGAGCCCGCAATGGCACACTCGAGCCAGCATCTCCGAACCCGCTGGGATGGAAGAAAAAATCGCGGGGATAAGGATGATGGAGCTGGCGGTCACAGAGTTCATCATTACGAATGAGGACTTCCAATCAACAATAGGGTACACTTACCTGTCAATCCAACATGTTGAGGGAGCCACGGTGCACCTGGGCTTGTGGTGCTGAGCGCTGCAAACCTTCCTACTCCCCATCCTACCACACACACGGCACATCCCGCTAGATTGTGATGCCAACGTCACCCTGAGGTCCTACACACCAGCGATTGGCCGCTTCCGAGACGGCTTAGACATGCCCAAGACACTGGAAGGCCAGGAGGACTGGACAGATGGGGAGATCTGAGAAGGGGGCGCAGAACCAAATCTGGGAGGGCGTGTAACAAGCTGGAGCGAGGAACATTGAGAGGAGAAGCTGGAGCAATATATCGCTGATGCACTCAAGTCTCCCGTAACGGCCGCTAGGACGTCGGGGTCGCTGGGCCGAGAGGACAAGACCCGAGAAGTGTCTTGTGTGAGCGGGGGATTCCAAGTACGATCCCGAGTTCCCTACAATGCAGAGGGCGCGAGGAGGGGTCGAGCGAGCTTATCGCTCCTGACCTAGGAAGAGGGGATTGCGTGGATGCTACAGGCTATATGAGGTGCGACACTGTTACATCCCATGCGACAACAACTCCGATTTCCGGGACTTCATTCCAACTTCCGGGACTTGCACCCTTTTCCGGGACGTATCTCATTTCCAGGACTTAGTACTGTACTTCCGAACCCCCGGAACTCCGGCCGTACCTCCGGTCCTTC